GGTCGACTACATCAATGCGTGTGCGCTTCGAAACATTGCCGCCGGCTGTCCGGATTTCATCGCGACCCAGGGCCCCATGCCGAACACGATTGAAGACTTTTGGCAGATGGTGTGGGAGCAACGCTCCACCCTCATTGTCATGCTCACATTGACTCAGCAGGGCGGCAAGGAAAAGTGCGCCCAGTACTGGCCTGAGGGCACGGAGGAAATGCACGTGTCGCATTTTACCATCCAGCTCCAGCGCGAGCAGTCCAAGAAGGATTGGATTCTGCGCACTCTGAAGCTGTCGAGGCCCCGGACTGGAGAGTTCCGGTACGTGTACCAGTTCCACTTTATCGCGTGGCCCGACTACGACATTCCCGACTCGCCGCAAACCTTGTTTGAGTTTCTGCTTGATGTTGACGACGGCGTTCGCCTGCTCAAGGTGACCACTCCGATTGTGGTGCATTGCTCGGCAGGCGTCGGCCGCACTGGCACCTTCATCATGATGCATGCAGCGCTGTGCGAAGTTCGTCAAAACGTTGGTGCCAACATTAGCGTGTACAACCTCGTCAAAGCCATGCGTCGTCGCCGAATGGCCATGATCCAAACACCCGGGCAGTACATTTTCTGCTACCAGGCTCTTCTCCATCTCATTACCAAGCTCGAAACGAAACTCCTGCTGGCGGCAGCGTCCAACAAGCGAGCTGCGGTTCTGCCAGAAGCTGCAGCCGCCTTGCCCGTTGAGCCTGCCGTCGAGGACGATCCTTTTGTCGCCCCGGTTCTTCCCAAAGCGCAGCCCAATGCCTCTCGGGACATCTATGGGCAGCAGGGCTCTGGTGTACTTGTTCCGAAAGCAAGCAACGATCCGTTTTCGGTTGGCGCTTCGGAAGCCTTGGTGTCGGCCGACGATCCTCACCCGTACACTGATCCGTTCGATGATGGATTTCTTCCGCCTGTTTTGGTGTCGGCCAATGCCAATGCCGATGCCAGTGACAATGCCAGTGCCAGTGCCAGCGCGAGTGCCGGCGGTAGCACCACTGCGCTGAACACGGCTGGGACCTCTGAAACGAGTGCCATCGCCGCGGTGGAGGCTCCTTACGCCAAACTCAAGAAGGTTGCTCCGCCCGCCGCCACCACAGTGCCGGATGCCGACGCCAAGGAAGCTGCTAACGCGATTGCTGCGCAAGCTGCCGCTGCGGTTGCCGCTGGCCACGCTAGCTTGGCCCCTGCATTTGTGATTTCTCCAGTGGTCGCATCTGGCCCTCCTCTCTACGTCAAGCATCATGCAGAGCTGACCAAGCTGGGTATCAAGCACTCGCTTTTGCGCAATGGCACGCTGTCCCTGCAGTCAGATCGCTACGTGACCCTGCTGTCCAAGCGGCAGCCGGAGGCCGCGTCGTTCGACTCGCTAATTTGCGTGGATCTTTACAACCCTCAGGATTCGGCCAAGAACAACATTGCGGCCGAGCATGCGCTCTTGCATCCATTCACAAAGGTTGTTGCGCTCCGCTTTGGCATTCGCGTGCACATTTTTGATATGGTGGCCAAGTCCAAGGTGGCGTCGTGCGTCTTCCGCGATACCGTTCTGTTTTGGGCTTGGGCTACACCCCACTTGATTGTTATTATTACGTCCGACGCTGTCTACCATTGGCACATTCAACTCGGTGCGACGAGCGCAGACAGTGTCGTGGGCACAAGCGAGCCGATCAAGATTGTCGAGCACAGTCTCAATATTGCTGAAGTGGCTGGCTACTGCTGCTCTGCATCCGAAACCGAAGCCAGCGTCCAGGAAGACGCTGTTACGGGTGGCGAATGGCACGCGTTCAGCGCCCGCAACCCTGCTGGCAAGCACACAACGTTGCTCTTCTCGCCTTCACGCAAAATCCAAACATTTGTCGACGCAAGCGCAGTCTCATTCATCACCATGTCTGATCCGACTGTTTCTGGTCTCTTTTTGATTTGTGTCACGCCGGACGAGAGCAATCCCGCACTCGAGCGCTTGCGCTTGTTGGAGACATGCGATGATGTCGACACCAACCCCTTGTTCCGCGTGAATCTTCCGATTCCAACGTTGGCTCTGGAGCCGGCGTCTCAAAGCGCCACGCCCGCCGATGGCGCTCCAGAGGCAGCCGCAGCCGACTCCAATGAGACTTTGCAGCAGAGTACCGACACGCACAAACCTGCCGTGGAGCCAGACCGCGTTCTTGCAGTGGCGACAGGTGAAAGGCGCTCGGGAACGTGCATCATTACCCTGTCTCGCCGCGGTGTGGCGAACGTCTTTGATGTCCGAGGCGGTGGTCGACATGTTCATGGAGCGCGAATTGTCGAGGATGGCATCATTCTTGCGACTCACCGCACCAAGAATGTCGAGTTTGCCGTTGCATGCATCACAGGCACTGGTCTGGTGCTTTCGCTTGGTGTCGATCCGTTGGCCTTGCGTCAAATTTCGAGCACTGCGCCGGCGTCGATTGTGCAGTCTCGTCCTCCCACTCGTGCGGCTGCGGCGGCTGTCAGCAACTCTTCTGACAATGTGGCTGCTGCTGCTGCTGCTGCTGCTGCTGCTGCTGCTGCTGCTGCTGCTGCTGCTGCTGCTCCTTCCGTCGTTGCCGAGACCGCCGTCGTCTCTACCCCTGCCGCCGCTGCCGCTGCCGCTCCCGCACCCGCAGCAGTCTCGTCCGCACCCACTGTTGCACCCGCTGGCGCAACAGTTGCTATGAGTGCTGAATTCGAAGGAGATTACCTGTTTGTTGACGTTGCCAAGCCGACTCCCACACAACAGCTCCCCGATGCCGACGAGTACATTGAAGCGGATGTGATTGACCTGATTGCGAAAAGCTCAACCGCTGAACGCAAGCCACCACCGACGTCTCTCCCGCCGCCCGTTGCGGTGATCCCACGACCGCACAGCGATGCAGAGTCCGATGAACCGGCCACCCCGCTTCCGCACCCAACGAACATGCCTGTTGTACGACCCGGCGTGGCAGAGGAGGTCGCTGAGACGGTTGCGGCGGCGTCTGTTGCGGCTGCTCCCGTCCAATCCACCTCGGAAAATTTGGAAGAGGTTGCTCAAGAGGCTACACAGTCCGAATCGGCATCTTCGTCCACTCTGGAGCTGAATCGTGATCAAGACGCCCCACCCGCTGTTGTTGAGCCTGTGGTGGTCGCAGCCCCTGCTGCATCTGTGGCTGTTGCCCCTGCCCCTGCTCCTGCCCCTGTCCCTGCCTTGGCTGCCAAACCTGCTATCGCACCGATGGATGAACTTGATACCCACGTCGAAATCCTCCCTGAAAGCGACGCTGCGGCCCTTGCGGTTTTCCTGGACCACATCAAGTTTGACCGATTCAGAGAGGCAGCCGCGCTCGCCGCTACCCCATCCGGTGCATTTTTGCGAACCAATCCAACGGCGTCGGCTGCTCTTACCGCTTGTGTCCTGGTTTCGCTTTCCGCGTTCCAGTACTTTGTTGCCCTCGTGGACCTTGTCAAGCGTCTTGATGGACCCGAGACTTTGTTGCTGGCCCGGGCACTCTTGTTGCGCAAGCGTCTGTTCATTCTTGAGCGCCTGCTTCGCGAGAACATGCTCACTCCCACTCTGCAGCTCGGAGAGATGCTTCGGCAGGAAGCCACGCAGACTGTCCCGCTGCTCGGCGAGGAGAGCGTGTTTGCCGTCCGTCTTGCAACCACCTGCTATGAACAGTTGCACGCGCATGACAAGGTGCTGGAGCTCAAGATTCTCTTTGGTGACTACCAGGGGGCGCTCCAGCATATGGAGAATATCAACTCGTTCTGCACATCGCTTCCTGTGCTGGCATCCTTTGTGACTTGGTCAACTCCTGCCCTCGCGATGGAATTGGCAACCAAGCGCATGGCGCAGCTGCAGCCTGGCCATGCTTTGCGCACTGTGCAGGGCGTCAATACTGTCATTGATATTTTCCTTCACTGCCGTCAACCGCCTCTTCTGACCGAAGCTATCAAGGTGATGCACCACGCCTTGAATGCTGCAGGCGACCTCCGAGACGATGGTCCACTGCAAACTCGGTTTTTCCAGCTCATGCTGACCCCGACCGCTCTCTTCCCGCCGTCCGTCGAGCTTGCTGAGCACACCTTGACCAACGAAACCTTCAAGCACTTTGACCGACTTGTAGTGGCCAAACTCTGCGACGCTGCCGGCCTCGCTGAACGGGCGCTCACGTTGGTGATTAGCGCTGGATTACCCGAGCCAGAAATGCAGCATGTCTTTGTGAGCTGTCTGACCCGTCACGTGCAATCCCTGTCGCTCCGCAATATCATGACTCTGCTGACAAAAGTCGTCGCGGACGTGCGACTGGCTGCGTTCCGCGGCCTGCTCGCCGCGCTGGCACAGTCCAGCACGCCTTGGTTTGCTTCCTCCACGTCCTTGTCGCTGTCAGATGCTGCGTATGCCGCACTGCGACCTCTGACGGCGCCCTCTGTCTCTGCTGGTTCATCTCAGTCCGGGACGTTGTACGCTGCCCAGTCGCAAAACAACACCGCCAAGCTCTTGTCGGTGGTGTTGAAGCTGGCATCGCATCTGCATGAGACGGATGGATTTTCCACCGTTTCCATTGTCCGCATGATGCAGTTCTACGCCTGCGACACGGCATTGTTTGAGTTTGCACTCAAGTACAGCAAGCCGTCAGGGTCCTTCCTCGTGCTCGAGGTTGCCGCCGAGATGGGCTTGCGACTTGGCCGTCTTCAGGAGGTCTACCAGTTGCTGCAGCCATTTGTTGATCGCTGCGCTGTCCGCTCTGTCACGATTGCGTACATGCGGATTTGCCTGCAGTTGCGAGATTACCGCGAGGTGCTCCGCTTCTGCCGCGAGTGCAACACACTCGACCCTGTTGTGGCCAAGCGGGTTCTCATGTCGCACATTCCGCTCGTCATCAATCCGTTTGACGTGCCGACGGTGAATACGACCGAGCAGCGCAACGATGGCGCGTTGCGGAACGCCACCATGTCACCCGTCGTGCTGGCCTTGTTCAACCTGGCAGAGCAGCACCAAATGATGCCCGACGTCATTTCATTCTTGAACAGCGAAGGCATGCTCGAACTGCTGTTCCACTATGTTTCCACGATTGCTACAGCCACCGCGACAGCCCTCTGGGTGGAGACTGCCTCCCGCACGCTGCTCGCTATTGGCTCGTCACCACGCGTGATTGAGCACTTACTGGACCTCTGTTCTGCAAAGCTGCCGCAAGTCGCTGTGACGCGCGCTCGAGAACGTTTGCGTGGCTACGAGACGGAGCAAGCAGAATGGAAGCGATGGCTCGAAGCCCGCCAGATGGAAGACAGTGCCATCCTTGCTCGCCTGATGCAAGAGTTTTCGGTTGCACAGGTGCTAGCCTTCCTCGTCGCGCGTAGCTCTGTTCAGTTGTGGACCATGGCCATCACCCACAAGGCCAAAGAGCTCGTCATGTACATTTCCAGCCATGGCGGCTTTGCTACCTTCCAGAGCAGCGGTCAGCTGCAGCCTGCAGTCTCTGCATTTTTGCAGGCCGGTCGAGAGCTCGAGCTTCTCAACATTCTTGATGCCATGCTGACAAAGCACCATGCCTTCCAACGTCATGGGTAAAGTTTTTTTTTTTTTGATGAATAACGTTTCCTGGTACGTGTGGTTTTGTAGCGTATTTGCTCACTGTTCCTGTCCTCGTCTTTGTTGTTCTCTTGCACCCTTGCAGAAAACTGGAAAACCTCCTCCTGACGTTTGCGATGAAGCTCGACACAAAGGTAGGATTGATGGAGCGTGAGAGTATGCTTTGGATCGCTGCTGATTGACTTTTCCTTTGATCTTGTTCGATCGATTTTTTGCTTCCTTCTCCAGCGCTTCCATCTTCTCTTGCTGCGTCTGGATCAGTATGAGGCGAGTGTTCTGGCCGAGGTTGCTGTTCAGCTTGGACGCTTGGAGGAGGCATCGCTCGTGTACCGCCGTCAGGGCCACCATGTTCTCGTTGTGAAAATGCTTCTTCGGATTGTTCCTGATGGCGTGCGTCGGGCCATGTCCTACGCTCACGAGATTCAAGACCCGGCGCTGTGGAGCTTGATTTCCGCGGCCATTGCGGCCAACCCTGCCTCTTCGGCTGCACACCAGCAAGCGCCCGGTCCGCTTCCTGGTCTTGCCAACACACCCATGCATTCTGCAGCAGGACACGCGGGACTTGCGCATCCTGCTGCCGGTGCCGTCCTCAGCAACGGACCTCCAGGAATGACTGGCCATGCTCCAAACATGGCGCAAGGCCACCAGCCACCCCTTCCTGGCTCGCCCGGTCACGTTTCAAGCATGGCGCAAGGACACCAGCCGCCGCTTCCCGCCACTCCTGGGCATGCCGCTCCTGGCATGCACCACCAGCCTGGTCCCCCAATCACTGGCTATTCCGGTCCGATCTACACGTCCAGAATACCAGTCGCCACTGGGCCTCCGCCGCCCGTCCCCACTTCTCGGCGGCCTTCAATGCTGCTATCAAACACTGCGCAGCGAGAGTAAAACCTCGCTCTTTGCTCGCAAGTGTGAAAAGAGTTCAGAGTTTGTTGTTGGTGTTATTGTTGTTGTTGTAGTTTGTTGTTGTGGCTTGTTGTTGTTGTGTTTGTTGTTCTATTGCGCAAAATTTGCAAAGGAGATGCTGACCACTTAAACAAACAAACCACAAAAAAATCAAAAAAAAATCCACATTCGACAACCATCGCTGGGCGACTTGTGCAGCTCGTGTCAAGAACGGATGCACTGCCAGAGAGACAGAGGCATCTAGCGGCGCAACTGCTGTTGAAGTGCCTCCCTTGTGCGAGCGGGTAGGACGCTCGGAAAGCGCCGAAACAGCCATCTGGCGACGAACGGCGTGCCTGCCACCGTGAGCGCAGTTCGTACAGGACCAGTGATGCCCGTCGCCACGTAGGCAACCAACACTGTTCCCAGCGGGTGGTCGAGGGTGGCTTGGTCGACCAGCTTGTCAACCCCGAGCATTGCGCACAGGGCTGGCACGTCCACCCCGAGCTCCAGAGCGGCGTAAATGGCCGCCATGGTCGTCGCAAACACGGATCCGTGAAACACGAGTGCTACCGGCCCATATCGCTTGAGCATGAGCTTGGCACGCGTCCCGAGCGGCAGTTTCGCATGCTGCTTGTCATCGTTCTCGATTTGGTCCTGCTCTGCGACTTCCACGTGCGACGACGCTGGCTCCGATCCAGCATCAGCCTGGCGCTCCGTGGTCTGCGCACTCTTGCCTGGAGTTGCCATCCGGTGCGCACTCGCGTCCGACGCTTCTCCTCCGCTGGGCGAAGTCGTCGTCGCCGTCATTGCCATCGTCGTCGTCTTGGCGGTTCCAGCCTTGGTCTGCAGTCCTCGCCGCTGCAGCCCTATCCGCAACGCATCCTCAGCAGCAGCCACGGTTGTGGTAGCAGCAGCGTAACAACAATAATGATAATAACGATGACCGGAGGGTGATGATACTGCGAGCGGTTGATGGTCTGGCACTCGTCCGAGTCGTGGTGGCGATGGTCGTAGTGGCACTGCGCCGTGGTGGTTGACTGTCATCGTCCCATAGTACAAAACGCGACCACTCTTGCTCATCGCCGACATGCAATGTGCAGCAGAAAGTAGCCGCGATCCAGCAGCAGCAGCAGCAGCAGCAGCAACAGACGTCACTGCGGCGGATCGACCCAACATTGGACGTTGATGATGATCAGCGTTTTGACAGGAGATGAACGAAACAAAACAAACAAAAAAGTGACTGAGACAAACAAAACGTCTGAGAAAATTAACGTATGCAACTATAGTCTCAGAAAACAAAAGCGAAGCGATGCAGGCAATGCTTCTCGAGCCAAACTACTGTACAGGTGAATCTCTTACGCTCTGAATCTGAGCATCTGCGTTAAGGCTCAACAGCGCTGTTGATTCATGGGGTCAGAATCAGTCCTGTAATTTTTTGCATTGTGTCCAATTCGAGCTGGACTGGACAATTCTGATGGCTGCGTGTTGGCGGATCACTCGAGCTGAAGCTGCTGCTGCTGCTGGGCGATGCATTGCCGCCGAGCGATCGTCACTCACCGCGACCGGAATCTCACGTCGCCCAGTCTCGTCTGCTGCTGTCTCGAGTGCAGCTTCCATGCACGGTCGCGCGTGGTACAGATCGGTCATCACCGGGACTGCAACATGTGCGCCGAGCAGCAGAGCCAATGCAACGCTGCCTCGCTCTGCGCCACTCTGCCCGGGATTGCCGCACAAGACACTGGCCAGTGCAATGCAACAACACCGTGGGAGCGTGCTGGATGGCGGACGCGCGAGCTCGAGACTGTTTGATCCGCTGCTGGGCGCTCACGCTCGCTCGCTCCATACAACCAGGCCAGGTACGTATCGAGGTCCCAAAGTGCGATCGGATGACAGTATGAAAGCAGCATGAAAACCGAGTCACAAAAATGCTGATATCGGATTTGGGACAAAATTGCTTGTGACGTACAGTGCTGGCATCGGAGCCAACGAGTTCAACCGAACAGGCAAAGGGTGAAATCAAGTCCAAGCTCACTCCTGCAATCCGAAGCTACCTGTCCAACGTGACTCGCGATTACCAAGCTCTGACACAGCAGATGACGTCCATCTCGGTAAGACTTGTTTTGCGAGAGCAGTATCATCGGTTGTCTTTTTGTTTTTTGGTTTTCGGAAATTTTTGTTGGCGTGCTCACTCAGGTCTCGTTTCAACATTTGCAGCCGTCAGCCACCAAAGAAATCAATGTCTTGAAAGGTCAAATCGCCGCCCTCAATCCATTGGTGGATGCATTGCAGCGTATGACTGCGAAGCGAAAGGTGAGAATTTGAGTTTGGCGCACGTTTTCGTTTTCTCGTTATTCACGCATGAACGCCTGACGAAATATGCTGAATGTGTGCGCCATGACAGGACATTGATGATCTAGACGCAATGGTCGAGGCTTCTCGCAACGAGAACGACGTGGAGATGCGGAAAATGGCACAAAGTGAATGGACGGATGCAGTTGAGCAGTTGTACGAACTCGAACAGGAGCTGCTGAACGTGCTTGTCCCCAAGAATGAAGTGGATGATCGCAATGCGATTTTGGAAGTTCGCGCAGGTCGGTTGACAATCCCTGCAGATACGCACTGCCGATCGTGTTTTGTTTTTGTTTTTTGACTGACACGTTCATTCATGACATTTTTTTCCTTTTTGTGGTTTTGATTGTCAGGAACTGGTGGTCTCGAAGCATCGCTATTTTCTAGCGACATGTTTACCATGTATCAAAACTATGCAGAAATCCGGGGATGGAAGTTTGAAGTGATTGATATTTCTCGGTCGGACGTTGGCGGATTTAAGGTTTGTCGCAGCTCGGCGATTCAGCGATTCATGGGTTCTTTTTCTTTTTTTCAGCTTGCTCACATTGACTTTGCTTCCTGTATGATGCCTCTCGAATGACGCGCAGGAAGCATCGGCGACCATTTCAGGCTACGGGGTCTTTGGCCATCTCAAATTCGAAAGTGGCGTGCACCGAGTTCAGCGGGTTCCACAAACCGAAAGCCAAGGACGTGTGCATACAAGTACCGTGACCGTGGCGCTGCTTCCGGAAGCGCAAGACGTGGATATTGAGCTGAACGAGAGGGATTTGCGCATTGAAACCATGCGCGCCAGTGGGGCAGGTGGTCAGCACGTGAACAAGACGGAAAGTGCCATTCGCGTGACGCACATCCCGTCTGGTATTGCCGTTCATGTTCAAGAAGACCGTAGTCAGCACAAGGTAGGGGGGAGGAGGTTGACCGCGTTGTCAGATTCTACGTTGCTCATGGATTGGACACTCAATGACCCCAATTGAAACAGAATCGTGCCAAAGCGTACTCTGTTCTACGAGCACGGCTGTACGAGATCCAGCGAGAGAAATTGGCCCAAGAACGCGCCGCTCATCGCGCGGAGCAAGTAAGACGCAGGCATTTTGCTTTTTGTGTGTTTGTTTTTTTGGCCCTCGCTTTTTTGTGCTCACCCTTTTTTTTGCTTCATTGTTTTTATCATTCAAAGGTCGGTACTGGATCCCGTTCGGAGCGAATTCGCACGTACAATTTCCCGCAAGACCGAGTGACAGACCACCGTGTCAACGTGACTCTGCACGGCGTTCCCGAATTTCTGCTTGGCGAAGGTCTGGACGAAATTATTGCATCGTTGCGCACCCACGAGCACGCCGAGGAGCTTGCGCACTTGCTGAACAGCTCGGACAAGGCAGCGAGCAATAGTGCCAAGACAAAGTGAGCGTTTTTTTTCTGGTGCGTTTCCGAGAATACACCTTTTCCCCTCAACCTCCGCGAGCGTTCAGTCACATCCTGATGCAGATGAATGCATCATTTGTTATCTCGACATGATCAAACCCAAAACGTTGTCCTTTTTCTTCTGTCCGAATTTGGACTCGAGCTCACTCCCTCTCAACTGGACCTCGGCCCCCCCCCCTTTCCGTTTCAAACCCCAAATCCAAAAAAACAACAACACTATGTCCATCCGCGGTGACAAGGCGATTGTGAAGCAGGTAAATAACAACAACAACAACAAAACCCCCCCCCCCCCTTCAAAATCCCCAATGTTCTCAAACAAAAAGCCTCAGCCAGCATAAAAGATAAATAAACAAAAAAAAAAAAAAAAAAGATCTCAAGTGACTTTTCTTTGGCTTTGGCTCTGCTTGTCCTCACGCGCTTCCACTCACACTGGATTGCTGTTGCGTGGCTCACACTCACCCTGTTGTTGACACACACCCCCAACTCCCTTTTGTCATCACAAACAAACAGGTGCTCTCTGGCGATACGATTGTGCTGCGCGGCAAGCCCGTGAACGGCCCGCCGCAAGAGAAGACGGTCTCGCTGGCCAACCTGGTCGTCCCGCGCCTGGCCCGTCGCTCGAACGACGCGAACGCGGCTGCCTCCGAGCCCGAGGAAGCGTTCGCCTGGGACGCGCGCGAGTTCCTGCGCACCCGCCTGGTCGGCCGCGAAGTCACCTTCAAGACCGAGTACACAATCGCCACGATGCAGCGCGACTTTGTCTCCATCATTGTCAACGGCGAGAACATTTCCCAGCTCCTCGTCAAGGCTGGCCTCGCCAAGACTCGCACCCCGACCAACGCCAGCAAGATTAGCGAGTAAGCTTTTGCTTGTTGAGCATCGTGTCGCGTTTTTTTTTTTTTTGTTGTTGTTTGCGTACATGAGCGTCGCCTCGTTTTTTTTTTGTTGTTGCTCAAATGCGTACCTTGCCTAGGGAGCTTGTCGAGCTGCAGCGCATCGAGGCCGAGGCACAGGCAGCCGGCACTGGCCAATGGTCGACCAAAGAAGGCGAAGCTGCCAAGGTCAGTGTTCAATTCGCATTGTTTCAAACGTTTCAGTCCAGTTCTCTCACCCCCGGCCCCCAATGCCCTGCGAACGTTCGTTTCCACTTGATTACAGCACTCTCGCCAGGTCGTTTGGAAGGTCGAGAACTCGAAGGCGCTGTTGGAGGCACACCAGGGCAAGCAGGTCGATGGTGAGTCTCCCCGACGTTTTTTGACCTCGTTGTAGACTCGCTTTCGCTCATTTGTCCCCATGGTCGATGTTGTTTCGCTTTCGGCGCGGTGTAGCTATCATTGAACAACTTCGTGACGCCTCCACGGTTCGCGTTCTGCTGCTGCCAAGCCACACGCATGCCACCATCCAGTTGTCTGGCGTGAAGGCACCGGGCTTCAAGCGTGCCGAGGGTAGCGACAAGGAAGAAGCCGAGCCGTTCGCGGAAGAGGCGCGGTTCTTTGTCGAGTGCCGCTTGCTCCAAAAGGACGTCAAGGTTGTGCTCGAAGCAGTTGCACCTCAGCCAAACACTTTTGTCGGCTCCATCATCCACCCTGCCGGTAACATTGCCGAGGCTCTGCTGAGCGAGGGTCTTGCCAAGTGCAACGACAAGTCGATCGGCCTCGTTTCCGTTGGCCGTGAAAAGTACCGCGCGGCAGAGAAGAGCGCCAAGGACAAGAAGGTCCGCCTCTGGAAGAACTTTGTCGCCTCTGCAGCATCGTCCTCGGGTCCCGTGGACACTATTGGCAGCGAGCGCACCGGCGTTGTGGTTGAGATTGTTAATGCCGAGACCATCATTGTGAAGGCGGAGGATGGCGTTCACCGCCTCAACCTCTCCTCCATCCGTCAGCAGAAGCCCAACCTCAAGGCGGCCAGCTCGGATGCCGCCGAGGGTGCCGAGGGTGCTGAGCCCAAGAAGCAGGCCACCCCCGCAGCCAAGCTGACCATGTACGACATCCCGTGCGGCTTTGAGGCCCGCGAGTTTTTGCGCAAGCGCCTGATTGGTCACCGGGTCAAGTTCACCGTCGACTACATCAAGGCCGCCAGCGAAGGCTTCCCCAGCCGTACCTTTGCCACGGTCGTCCTCGACAACACCAACATTGCCGAGGCCCTCGTCTCGCAAGGCTTTGTCACGGTCGTCCGCACCCGCAACGACGACGATGTGCGCTCGCCGATCTACGACGACCTGCTTGCTGCCGAGGCTCGTGCCGAGAAGGCCGCCAAGGGCATTCACAACAAGAAGGACGCGCACACGCTGCGTGTGACTGACATTACCGCCGACGCCATCAAGGCCAAGCAGTTCCTGCCCTCCTTGCAGCGCGCAGGCCGCACCACCGTTGTTGTGGAATACATCATGTCGGGCTCCCGCGTCAAGGTCTACCTGCCTCGCGAGAAGGGCACGGCCACGTTTATGCTTTCGGGCATCTCCTGCCCCCGTGCATCCCGCGGCGCGACCGAGCCCGGCCAGCCTTTTGGCGACGAAGCACTTGCTCTTGTGCGCGAGCGCACTCTGCAGCACGATGTGGATATTCTTGTGGAGGGCATTGACAAGTCTGGCGGTTTGATTGGTGCACTCTACCTGCCCAACAACGACAACCTTGCCGCTGTTCTTGTGGACCGAGGCCTCGCGACCGTCCACTCCTCTGCCGAGAAGCTGAACTATGCCCGCGACCTCATTAACGCCGAGCAACGCGCCAAGACGGCTCGCCTCAACCTCTGGAAGGACTTTAAGGAGGAGGTCAAGCCAACTGCCGCCGAGCTTGCTGCCGCCGAAGAGGTGGTCGAGCGCAAGGTTGAGTACTCCACCGTCGTCGTCACCGAAGTCACAACCGCTGTCAACCTGTGGGTCCAGAAGGAGAGCGATCTCGCTCGCCTCGACACCCTGATGGAAGGTCTGGCCAAGAGCTTTGAGTCCAACCCGCCCGTCACTGGCGCGTACAAGCCCAAGCTTGGCGATCTCTGCGGCGCCAAGTACTCTGCCGACGGCAACTGGTACCGCGCCAAGGTCACCAAGGTGACTGGCAACCAAATTGGTGTCCTGTTTGTCGACTACGGCAACTCGGAGACGACTACTCCCGCCAATCTTGCTTCTCTCCCCGCTGCCTTCTCTGCTGCTGCCCCTGCTGCCCAGGAAGTGTTTGTTGCCTTTGCCGCCCTTCCTTCTGACGTAAGTGCTGTTTTTGTCGTGCATTCTAGCTACCACAACCAAAAACGCGACGGTTGCTGGGCGTTCTGTTGATTTGCTGCTGACTGCAACTGTCCTGTGCTTGTTCGTATTTGTAGCCCGAGTGGGCAAATGCTGCCGTCGAGTTTGTGCGCGAATGCGTTCTTGTAAGTTTTTTTTTCTCCCCCTTGCGGCTTGGTGTTTGTCACGTTTTATTGACTGGATGTGCTGCTCCTGCCGTTCTACTCACACAGGACAAGCAACTTCGCATGAACATTGAGTACAAGCGTGAGGGTCGTGCCTATGTCTCGCTGCTTGATCCCGAAACGAAGGACGATCTGGCTGGCATCCTTCTCGAAGAAGGTCTCGCTCTTGTTGAGCCTCGTCGCGAGCGCGCGCTGGCTGCTCTTGTGAGTTTTCTTTACCGACGTTGTTTTTGAGTTTTTTGTTTGTTTGTTGATGTGTTGATGTGTTTTACTTTTGCGATGCTTTTGCATGGGCTCATTTTTTGTTTGCGTCCGTTTTTGAACATGTTTGGCAGGTTGCGGAGGCAACCAAGGCGCAAGATGCTGCCAAGCGTGCTCATGTAAGTGTTGACACCTCACACCTTGGAGCGATTCGTCCGTTGTTATTTTCTTTTCCCCTGCTTTAGTTTTTTTTTTCGTGATTGCTAACCGTTGAGATGACTCATTGATTCATTGCTTCATCCATTCATCTAACACACAGCGCGGCATCTGGCGTCACGGTGATGCGAGCGTTGAAGAGGCGCGTGAGTTTGGTTTCACCGGCAAGGCTCGTTAATCGTTGCACTACTGCAGTGCTCTCATCGTTCCCTTTCTGCGTTTCTAACGCGACACACACGATGGTCTTTCAATAAAGCGGTTTGTCAGCTCTCTTAAGCCTCCACAAACAAAAACCAAAAAAAAGGCAAATGCATGAGAACTGAGAGGGAAGCGAAACGATTGATTGATTCGTCGCAATACAGTTCTCGTTGAAGGCGCTTCAGGGTCCAAAAATGAACGACAATCGGCAGTTGAGTGGATCGAAATTAAAACGCAGTTGCCAGCGGCTGTTTTTTTTTTTGAAGGGCCGGCACAAGTAGTGACTGGGCTGTGAAATGGGGTTGGGTTGGTTTTGCCCATTTCCTCGCATAGCGTTCCTGCGCCTGCGTTCTGCTTCCGGGCGTGTGTTCTCGGTTGATGCGTCATGCACTCGGAGCATTGAACATTGCTTCCGATGTGTCGCTCGTTTTGAATTGGTTTCCAACGCGTGATCGGCGACTGATCTGATTCCTGCAATTAACTCCAGCTTGCATCCGATTTCCCGCTTTTTTGCTTTTGAGTTTGTTTGAAAAACAATTTGAATGTTGTTGCATCCGAATTGACTTTCCGAGTTACATGGTGGAGAGCACTTTGGCCGGGATGCTCAACCCTGAGTCTGAGCTCGCTCAGGAGCCTTCCACCCTTGGACATGACAGGCGCGGCTGGCTCGGATCACTCACTATTCTCTATTTCAACACACAGGTAATTTTTAGCATTCCCTTGCCTCTCTCGTTTTTTTTTGTATTCCCCCCCCACTCTGTGACTCCCCTCCTCTCCTTCGCTGCTGTTGCTCCTGCCCTCGTCACTCGTGATGCAAGCTCAAGGAGCATCGCGTTGCATGTCAATGGGGGCCAAGGGGCGATCGTGTATGGGAAACGTGTTGCTGAATTGACTTTAATTTAGCCGAGGCTTTTTTTTTTTTTTTCCGTCCCTATTCTCCTTCCACGTTGCAGGGAGGGTGGGGAAAGAGGTCGAATGCGCGTGTCCATCGTGCACGTCCCATCTCCAAACCTGCAAACGTACAGAGGCAGTGCGCTTTGTCCCATGGGTCAGTGCCCCATCCGTGATACGGTTTCAACCCCGTGGTTGTCAACTGTTGATTGGGCCGTTTCCACGCCTCTCAATTCATTCGCTGCCACTTTCACGCCTCGTCAACAATTGTCTCGCAGTACTCCTTCACTCTCTAGCGTCACCCCATTTGACCACCATCGATTCGTTGGTGTGGATGTGAGAGACTTGGTTGTGTCCGTTCCTGCGGTCGTGATTAACGGCAAGGTGGGTGGCTGAGCAATGTGTCATTCTCCACAATGGACAATGTGCGTCGAATGAACAACCGTTACATCCTTGAAGTCATCCGAAAAGAAAAAAAAAAAAAGGACCAAGGAATCGCGCGGGGCATCATGTACGATGTTGCAGGCCTTTGTGTGATGTGTGGTGTGATGTGATGTGGTTTTGAAGCGTGCGTTTGGAACGTTTTTTAACGGCACCGCCGTTTTTCAACAAACCAAAAACGAGTCATCCTTCGCGAATCGCATCGTCTAGCAGATGTCCGATGTTTTGTTGGGCTAGCAGCATTTTTAAAAAACACAACAACTTCAACGAAAAAAACAAGAACAAAAACAGAAAAAGAAAAAGAAAAAGAAAAAGAAAAAGAAAAAGAAAAAGAAAAAGAAAAAGAAAAAGAAAAAGAAAAAAAAAAAAAAAGCAAAAGAAAAAAAAAATGCTCCGCTTGCTTTTCGATCTTTCGTCGAGCTGCTTACACGCCAGTCACACACACGAACATATTGGGTCATCCTTGTCTCGTTCTTTTTCTGTTGCTCGTTCATCACCGTTTGCGCATCCGGTGCTGACGACACGTTCGACGACACAGCATCGCGACATGTGCGCGACGATCGCTTGCAAACGATTTGCTCTATTGGCTTTTGCCTGTCTGCAATTCCAACCCACTTAATTCAAAATGGGCAGTCTCACTTTTCTTTCTCTTTCCATTTTTTCTTTTTCTTTTTCCACTTTCTGTAAGAATCGAATCGTGTTTCTTGCGAAACAACACGCACGCGACACTCGTGTTCCCCTGCATATCAACATTTTGCCCTCCCCCACACCCCACCCATCGATATCCACCCATACACTCTGGTTCAAACCACCTCAAAACTGCTCATCGCAGCAGTAACCGCAGTCTGGGGAAAAAAATCGGAACAAAAAAGAACCGTTTTTCCTTCTTTTGTCTCTGCCGATCGCGATTTCACACAGCTGCTGCAGCAAAACGTGGGCGTACTCTCCGCACGCATCCCAGAGGTGCGAGCCAGCGTCGCTGCACAGTGTTTCAGCAGTTGTCTGGGTTGTGGCTCGCTGCGTGCGTCGAAAAGGGGGCGGGGCTGCGCAACCAGCCATCTCGCGGCGTTGCCATTGGTCTGCTAGCTTCCGTTCCACTTTTTTTTCTTTCTTATTTTGCCTTATCTTAACAAACAAACGCACATGTGCTCTCGCACACCTGTTCCTCCCCTTCCGTGCGTGTCATGCGAGTGCGTAAGGCGCTCTTATGCACAATGGATGACGGCACTGTCCATCTGCTTGCGTCTATTCATTCGTGGGGTGATTTTTTTTGTGTTTTTTCGAACTCCGACGTGTCACGACTTTTGGGATCTTTTTTTTTTTTTTTTTTAAACTATTTTTTTTGTTCCCTTTTTGCTCGAACAACTAGAGCAAGAAACCTACTGATTGGTCGTGAGGCATATTGCAGGGCAGTGCTTGTACGCAATCGCTTCTCGTTGAGGCAGCGACAACAAAAAAACAATACAAATCTCAAATCGCTTTTTTTGTGGACGGGCTGACGCTCCTTCGGCGATCAGCCCCCCTTTTATGGTGCTTCTTCTGCTTTTGTGGACGGGCTGACGCTCCTTCGGCGATCAGCCCCCCTTTTATGGTGCTTCTTCTGCCTTCTCTTTCGTTGCTTTGATGCGTTAGCAACAGCCTTTTTTTTAAAGCAAACATAGAAGAAGGCAGGAGCTGCTGCGCAATCTCTAGACAACCCAAAAGAACCAAACAATCACAAATAGCAATAACAAAAGCGAAATCGATAACTCGATCAAAAAAAAAAAAAAAAAAAAAAAACCACGAAAGCTTATCCCAGAATGCCATTTGCTAACAGCACGCAGCACCACACGATTGACGATTGTGGGCGCCAAACACTGTGCTCCTTCGATGTTTTTTTATCTTTCGCTTTCGAGCCTCCCACTTCCCGCCCTTTGCGCACATCCTTTGGGAACTGCAATGCACGCATGTCGGATGTGGGATGAGTCACGATTCGCGCCTTGAGATAGGGGCAATCTGCGGTTTTGTCATGACGATGCGAACAATTCTCGCTTCAGTTTCGTTTATTTTTATTGATTTGTTTTTTTTTTTTGCGAGGCCCTTGAATGCGTCCGTTCTCTGATTTCTTTGGTGTTCCATTGCTTGTGATAATCATTGTATGGTTTCCACAAGCGTGCGCGCGCGCGAGAGAGAGAGAGAGAGATAGAGAGCAGACTGGCGAGCGGCAGTGCCCTTGTTCGCCGTATTGCATTTGTTTTGTTTTTTTGTCCCGTTTGTTCCCTTCTCCCTTCAACGAAACAAAACAAAAAACCCTCAACAAACTTCACAGAAAGCAAATCCCAAAAAACTTATGCAAACCCGCAAAAAGCCACTTTGGTGAACCAAAATAACGCAACATAAAACAAAAATCGCGTAAACAAATGCCATATGTTCCTGGCCCTGTGGTTTTTCCTTTTTTGTTGGGTGATGGAACGGAGCCGCGTTTGCGACTGGCCACCAATTGTGCACTTTTGCCCTCCTGCTGTGCATCCTCCGTCGAGAATGAACGACCCTGCATTTCTTGACAGGAAGATTGATGAGCAGGCTGTGCTGAGGTGTGAGCTTGTGTGGGGTTTTTGATTTTTTGATTTTTTTTTTTGGTTTTTTTTTGTTCGTTTTTTTTTTTTTGGTTTTTTTTTGTGGGGCAGCTGCCACATCCACCAAGCCCAAAATGCTCGCTGATGCATCAGGCTTGTCGTGGTAAAAATGCACTTCCTCTAGCGGTTACTTTTGGGCTCGGATGGTCGTTTCTGGGACCTGCTGCCCGAAGGAGTTGGCCTTGGTGGGGTGCAGCAATTGAGGCACCGTCAAATGTTTGCAAATCACCGTTGCCTCCCTCCCGCTAATTTGTGCCGAGTGCCACTATCAACACTTTGGCCGCGATATGCCCATTTCTTTGCTGGATTTTTTTTTTCGGCGGTACATGCTTCAAGTCACGCATATGCATCTTCAGACGTGCTTTTGATTTTTTTGATTGTTTTTTATCAGTTTTTTGTGTGGTTTTTGATCTGCTGCCAGTCTCGCTTTTTTTTTTATTGGCTTTTTTTGAGTTACTTTTTTCAGCAAGTGCTGTTCCCGAGTGGTATGTTGCCACTTGACTCTGCACTTTGCATTGCTTTGCCGAGTTGGTGCTGGGGCTGCTCCCAAAGCCCCTTTGGCGGACAGCAGCCGTCGGGCTTGGTGGTGGTGATGTGAAACACCACACCGCTTGATCGTTCGTGATTTTATTTCCCTTTTCGCTGACTCTTTTTTTGCTGCGCATGACAAAATTCGCATCGTCTTGGTCTGAATTTTTTCTTCTCAATGGTCCTCTTTGCTCCTTCCCCCCTCTTCCCCACTGCCCCTTCCTCCTAACTGCCGTGGTCTGTCCGTTCCACCTCGTTGAAGGCTGGTTGGCGACCAATTTTTTTTTTAAAAAAACAAACACGTAGAAAGTAAAAAAAAAAAAAAAACAAAAGTAAAAAAAAAAAAAGCTGCTTACCCATGCCCTTGATCTCCAGCGACGCAGTGCCCCTCCGCTTCCATGCGTTGATGCACTGGGCGTTCTCGCTGGTGCCTCTTGCTCAACACCTGCTTGCCAGCGCGCTGTGGGGGGTGTCATGGAAATGTGCATCTCGTGCACTTTTTTTTGTTCCTCTCCCTTTTTTTTTTATTTTGATAAAATGGACTTTCTCCACATCTCACCTCTTGCTCGCCCCTTTTTTCTCTCTCGCCTATGGGGACGGGACGCGCAGCCGCCGCCGTCTGCGGCTTGGCCAACTCCTTCCTTCTCCTTCTCCTTCTCAGTCGCTGGCGACGCGCCGCCTTGATTGCAGCCGGGCCCTTCTGCTTATTTCACTTAAGGGAGACAGCTGCTGTTTTCTGTTTGCGAATTGTTCAGTTGAGCACTTTTCCTCTTTTCCAATTTTTTTTTCAGCTTGCGATTGTGTGCGTCATCTTGGAAGCACGGCTGGATGACTGGGCCGTGCACTCGGTCCAACTCTCAGTGGTGCTGGATGCCTCTTTTTGCGGGTGGGAGTGTGCTCGCGAGCAGGAGGAGGAGGGGCAGGTTCGGTGACACAATTCGATGTTCTCGCCAATTGTGGGCAACAAATAAAATCCCAGCCTGCCAGTTGATTGATTGCTACGTGCTGCCATCACCCAGCAATCAACCCCCCCTTTCAGCCAACCCCTCCATATTTTCCCTGCCTCGTATTTTTCGTTTGCCGAGCCATGCACGACTTTATCCTCCTTCTTGTTGCGCTTGCGCTCTGTCTTTGTTGTCAATGACGGAGTGGCAAAAAAAAAAAAAAGCAACAGGACAATATCCTTTTTTGTTGGCGCAATCGGCGGATTGCGGTTTTAGCAAACCACAAGTTGCGATTTTTCGTTTGTTTACGATTCATTATCTTGACAACGCCATACCCTCAGCACTCGTGGTGTATACCCCCCTGTCTCTGCTTTGTGGATGGGTGAGCAGTGCTCTGCGAGTTGCGCGCGCAGTGTCGTCTTCCCTTCTCGTCTCATTCCTCTGTCTTTTTTGAAATTTCAACGCTTCCTTCCTTTTAAACCTTCTTTCCCAAACGCGCTTTGCGTTGTCTTTTGGGCTTGCCGATCGTGGAGATTGTTCGACCCTTTTTTTTTTTGTTTCGTATTTTGAAAAATTCCTTCCATTGCTGTAAACTGATCGCTGTGCTTCTCCAAAAACCCCCATCCCCATGCTTGTCGTTTCGACCAACAACACCCCCCGCCTTCTGCTCTTCCACAAATTCGCAAGTTTGCTTGTTGGTTTTTTTTGCTCATCGTTCTTTCACCTTGCTGTCTCTTCCACCACTTTTCATAGTTTTCGTGTTCGCATCCTCCTTCTCGACCTCTGTTTTTGTTTTTCGTTGTCCCACGTACCTTCACACTTCTCGCATTACATGTATGTGTCACTTCTTTTCGATTGTTTCTCTCACTTTGCTGCTTCTTTCGCTATTTTTCGATTTTTTTTTTTTGGATTTTATTTGTATTTTTATATTCGCTAGGTGTGCAATTCCAATCACAAACCACGCGAGCTCGAGCTCTGCTAATTTCGACACCAATCTGCACCTCGCACCTTCTCTAGCGAAGCTCAAGCCTGTGCCAGTCTTCATTTTTATTGCGCCCTTCCTACCTTGCAGTTTCAACAAGTGTTCAAGCCAACAGCTTCGACGCCCCCCTCAACATCGTCACCACACCTCCTGCTGTGACTCACCCTCTCGCTCCCTTCCCCCCTTCTCCTCTTTCGCGCTTCCGCCTTCGTTCCCACGCTTTGTGGATTATTCCTGATCAATTCGAACAAGAGCCACAGCAGCGCTTCACCATGGACGGTATTTCGATGCTTCTGGGCGCCATCCAGTTCAATCGCGCGGCAACCCCTCAAACGGTGTCAGACCAGACCTTGTTCGTTCAACACCCTCAATTCCAGCAACAACAGCTCTACCCCCAGCAACCACAATTACAACAGCCACAGCATGTGCTAGTACAGCAGCTTGTACAGCAGCAACAGCAACAGCAGCAGCAGCAACAACAACAACAACAACAACAACAGCAGCAGCAGCCAATGATGCACTTCATGTACCCGACCCAATCGACAGTGCTCGTGCCCGCCCCCCAGATGATGCAGTACTACCCGGCACAAACACAGCAACAGCACCACCAAGATTCGCAAATATCACAGCAACAGCCGCAGCAGCAACAACAACAACAACAACAACAGCAACCGCAGCAACAGCAACAAGTCGTTGGCTATGATGCCGCCACCCAGCAGTATGTCTCGATGGTTCACCAGCAGCAGCAGCAGCAGCAGCAGCAGCCGTCTCAAATGCCTCAGCAAGAACAATTGGTGCAGTATGTGCAGTACGTGCAGCAACCCATGTATGGCTCGCAGACACAATTTTCCGTCGTCAACATGCAACCTGCCTTTGTTCCCGCCGCTGCACCACACTCATTCCAGCCCCAATACGCACCCGCCATGCCCTCTGGGCCGGCCCCTGCGATGGCGATGGTTCGTCCGCCTCAAATGCTCTCGCAACAACCGGCTGGCTACCTGCCCCCATCCCCTAGCCCCCCGACGGGTTTCCTGACCCAGCCTGCTGTGAAGAGCGAGCCAGTTTCCAAGTCTTCGAGCCGCTACACGCCTGCTTCTTCGCCACCCTCCACGCAAGAGCCGACTGGTGCTGGTGCTGGTGCTGGTGCTGGTGCAGGTGCATCAACAACAAGCTCCCGCACGCGCCACCACTCGTCCGGCTCGAAGCGCCGCACCTCTTCTGGCAACGACGATGCTTCGGTCGCAGGCGGCCGCAGCAAGACCCGTCGCCGGACAACCATCACCCTCGAGCAGCTCGGCATGCTCGAGGAGGCGTTCAACCGCAACAACTTGCCCGACTGCTTCCAGCGCACCGAAGTGTCCCGCACCACTGGCCTCTCCGAGCGTGTTATTCGCATCTGGTTCCAAAATCGTCGTGCCAAGCAGCGTCGCAGCGAGCGCAATCCCGATGTCAGTGCTGCTGCCGCTGGTTCTGCTGGCTCTGCGCGTCGCGTTCTGGCCCCTTCATCCACCGTTTGCATCCCCACCAGCCGCAACGGCTCTGGAGCCTCGCGCCGCCACACCGGAGCGGGTTCGCGCCGTGTCACCGCCAACGGCATGCAGGCCACTCGCGGCGTTTCGTCCACCGACTACTCGCCTCTGCAACGGGACCAGGACGAGCGTTACGACGATGACGAGGAAGTCGAAGACGACGAGGACGAGGATGAGGAGCTGGGCAGCTCGGACGATGAGGATGGATTCCACAGCCGAAGCTCTGAGGGCAGTGCCTCTCCTGCTTCCCTCTCGTACACTGGCTCGGCACAGCACCGCATCCCCACTGACGAGAGCCAGTCAGCCCAACAATCCACGCTGGTCGTGTCTTGAGCGCTCTCCAAGTCGCCGTATTTCTTTATTCAAATCCCCCTCCCCACCAAAACCACCGCCGCTGATTGAACGTTTGCCTCATTGCATGTATTTTTTTTTCAACTCCTCGACCATTCTGGCGCTACCGCTTGTTTCTCGTTTTTTTCTTTGTTGCCTTTGCTCTGTCGTGTAGTTTCGCCTGGTTGCGAACCACGAGATGAGCTTGGCCGATTGTGTTTGAACCTTTTTTATCTTTTTCATCTGGTAGTTCTTGTCTGCTGTTTTCCTTCCCAAAATCTGCATCCAATACAACAACAAAAAAACAAAAAAAACAAAAAACAATGCGTTATTTTACACACTGTATCTGTTCACAAGCGAAGCAAGCAGAAAGGAATCAAGCACGAAGGCTGAATTTGGGCTTTGTTGATATTTCAGTTTTTCAGTCAACCTTTTTTTTTTTTTTTCCTTGTTGTTCTTTCGTATTTATTATTTCAACGCACAAACACAGCCTAGTCAACCCGCACAGCCTAGTCACACCCATGTTCGACCAATTGAGCACATTCGGGTTTCTGTTCCAAGGGCCAGTGCTTCCGATTGGCACCTGGTCCTTCCTGCTGACCGTGGCATGCTTCTTTGTGTCGACCCCTTTCTACCGCTTGGTGTCGTCGCACTACCGCACACTCTCCCGCGAGCAACAAGTCGACTGGAACTCCAGGTTCTGCTACACACACAAAAAATCCCCTCTTTTTTTTTTCTCTCATGCTGAGCGCCCAGCCGAGCCCAGCCACAGCCAAAAGAAGCGCACCTATCTCTTTTTGCTGTTTTGCTGTGCTTGTTGAAGTTCGTCGCGATGACAAAATGATGGAAGCCGTCTTTGATTTTTCCCGCCTTTTTTTTTTTTTTTTGTTTCTTTTGTTTGTTCTTTGCTTTGCTGCGCCCCCCACCCCCGGTCGCGCTCTGTTGTGTGTGCTCAGTGCCAATGTCACATTCGCTTCTGCCCGCCTTTCGTTCGCGCCGTGTTCCTCCCCTACTCTGGTGGGGGTGGGGGTGGCGCGGATGTGGTTCCCTCGCTGTTTTCGCTGCCGAATGCTTTTGGCTGGAAAGTGGAGAAGAGCTCGCTCGTCCGTCCTCTCGTCCCTTCCTTTCCTTTCCCTTGAATGGGTCTCTGCACATGTCTTTGGCAGTGTCTTGGCGGTTTGTCGTCCTTCTCATGACAACAGGCTGATTTCGTGCCGCGATGCGAAATGGCTGCGTGCGGTTTTTGGCTTTTCCTCGTGCTGACGTTCGCTACCTCCCTCGGTTTCGCTCGATGACACTCGTCCCCCCATTCTCACCAGAGTTGGGGGATCAGCAAAAGCGAGTGATGACCGAGGGGGGCAAATGCTTGAACTCGGCGACGACGGGAAGCGCCTGAACGAGTGAGTGTGCGGCTGGTTTTGCCAGCTCAGCCTCTTCCAAACCGAGCGCTGCGCTTGTTTGCAGATGAAGCGGATGCACTGGAGCGTCCGCCTTTGTTGTCTGGGAAGACGATGCCAAGACAAAGCCACGAAGATTTGCAGACATCGGAAGCTGTTGCTTTTTTGTTTGGCTGATGGCGCAGCAGCTCAAAGCAAACGCACGAGATGGTTGATATTTTTCGGTTGGAAGCTCTGAGCGGATCGGATGAGGCAGGCAGAGTGTCTGAGACGACGCACAATCAAACGCACACACACACAGTATCAGTGCCGAAAAGGTGAAGGGCATACAAGTGAACCAAGCACCCTCTCCCTTTTCGTTAAGGCGAGATGTTGTTTGCTTTTGTTTGTGTGCCCGCCAAAAGCAAAGGATCAAACGAAACTTACAAAAACAAACAGAAAGAAGGCGAGAATCTTGACGGCTTTACCCCAAACAAATACTAATCTTCTCTCTGACTGTCACCGATTCCCATTCCTGTCTTTCGTGCTAGTCTTTTCCTGTTCATGTTGTTTGTGTCGCTTTTTTGTCTGCAGCGTCTGACTTTGTTTTGATTTTGCCCTTCGTATTTGGCTGTTTCAGATCCGCTTCCTCATTGCATGCCATTGTGACGACCATTCTGCCATTGTGGCTCATGTTCACAGACCCAGAGCTCCGCGCAGACCCAGTCAACTACGCGCCGGTGGTGGCCCATCAAATGATGGCCATCACTGTTGGCTATCTCGCCGGCGACTTTCTCGTCGTGTTCAGCCACCAAAAGCAGTTTGGCGTTGCCATCTCTCGGCAGACCATGCTCCATCATTTCATTGGCGTCGTCGGGTTTTCAATCATGATTGTATGTCCGCTTCTGCCTGCAAAATGTCTGTCTTGATCGCCCACCAATCACTCACGACATTTTTGGCTTGCAGCTCTTCCGCGTGTTTTCCTGGTTTGCCATCTTCCGACTCTCTTCTGAGGCGTCGACTGTATTTATTAACATTCGGTAACTCTTTTGTTTCTGCTGTTTTGTCGTTTGGATTTTCGGCTCTTCCCCGGTTTGGTTTTGCGACTGACTTTTTTTTTGTGTTGAAACTATCATCAACAGCTGGATGCTGGCGACCAACCCGAAGTGGAAATCATCGTGGCTGTACATTCTGAATGGCAGTGTTATGACTATCGTGTTCTTTGCCTTCCGTGTCGGTTCGCTACCGTACTACTACTACGTTCTGGTGGACGCTTGGCCAAACATGGTTGCCACACGCGAAACGTGGCAAATTATCACCTTGCTCGTCTTTGGCAGCACCATCGATACCCTGAATGTCTATTGGTTTTCCAAGATTTGGGGTGGACTTATGAGCATGGTACGACCGCGGTCCAAGACCCAATAATAATAATAAAGGATTTGTTGCGACTGAGAAAAAAATGGATTGAATCCGTTGAAGGGGGAAGGCTGGTCAGTTGGTTTTGAAATGCACCAGATCACAAAAGTGGTCAGCATTGACAGGAGATGCATTTTGAACTAAAATCCTATTGGTTGAACTTTCCCCAGCCTCGTAGACCGTGGGTGTATCACATTGAATACTGAGAAATACAAAATACTAAAAATTACTTGACACTTCAGCGAGAGGCAGGCTCGTACTTGCACACAACATCAAAAATGCTGCCTCCAAACTGCTCGCCGACACGCTGGTTTTTGATCACGGCCAGCTTGAGAGCCTCGTGCCTGAAACGGGCATGGAAATTCGTGTGGACAACTCGCCCCATCCCGACAATCACCGTCAGGTCTGCCTCGGCCGCCGCTTCGGCCACGCGCTCGTCGACACGGCCCAGATCAAGACACGGCGAGCCGCTGCCGGACGGAACAAACTGCAGCTTGCCGTTGGCCAGGCCTTCCCGGAACTCGGGCACAATGTTGGCCGCACGCTCGCTGAGCGCTTGGATTTCGCGATGCGTAATGTCGTTGATTGCAGGCTGAGTATTGCAGGCAACCACAACGCTGGTGCTGCGCAGCAAGAGTTCGCGCACGAATGGGAAGACGCCGAGAATAATGTCGACCCCGCTGTTGTCGGCAAAAATGATGGCCTTGCGATGCGGGGGATTGGGCTTCTTGAGGCGCGCAATCCAATTGGCGAGATCATCAAAGAGCCAGGGCGTGCGCAGCATGCGCCGCGCAATGCTGAAATCCAGCTTGTCGTGCTCGAGCATGTCGACCACCGCCTTGGCCTCCCAGTCAAACATGTTGCCAGAAAGCACGCCCTCAATGATTCGGGTTTGACGCTCCTCCCACGACATGGAATCGAGCTGCGCCAACCAGTTGCCGAGCAGAATGATGGCCTTTTCGTTGTCCTGCTGTTTCACCGCCCAATACGGATCCGGGAAGCCAAACTCGTTCAAGTACTGTTGGCGGACATCGAAGAGCACGCGAGGAGACAGCAGACCGAAGGCGCTGTAGCAAACCCGAAAAAAAAAGAGCAAGCGTGAACGCAAACGTTAGGCAAGGCGAGGCTCCCTAAAAAACAACAACAAAGAAAAACAAAACAAAAACACAGACATAACCGCCAAAACGTACGTCGGCGATTCGCGAACCGCAGCCAAGTGCTGAATAAACCGAGCTTGGAAGGCCTCAATGCTTTTCAAGGTCTCGACTTCAGTGCCGTAAAATTCGCGCACGCGAGTTGCCAGCTTGGGCAATGTTTGCTCGAAATTGTTCAGCCAGTAGTCGCGCAGCTCGGGATCGGTGCCAAGATCGACAGCGTCGGGAACGTAGGCGCCGGCAGTCTCATCCAGCAGGGGATACGGCACGAGGTTGCCTTCGGTCTGGTCGAGCACGTGTGCGCCGCTCTTGTTGTGCAGAATGTTGTACTTGGCAAAGTTCTCGTCCCAGCTGACACGCCGCACATCCACTGCGTCGTCGGCGCGAACAAAAGCGCCAATCGCGCCAAGATACCCTTCGTGTCGCAGGAACAAGGCATCAATCGAGCCGCTCGACCAAAAGTTGACGGCGTACGAGATTGCGTGCATTGTGTACGAATGCCCACGAATGAAGAAGCCACCGAAATAGATTTGCTTGATGTTGTGTTGCTTGGCAGTCATATAGGCAATCTGAGAACAAAAGTTAACAGCAACAAACAAAAAAAACCCAAACAAAGAGATAGTGAGCCAACATGGTGATTTCAGAACAGCGAGAGAGAGGGCTGGTCATTCACAAAAAAAAAAAAAAAACAAAAAAAAAAAAACAACAAAAACCGCCGAACGCCTCACCTGGCCAATGTTGTTGCTAATCATGTGCAGCAGACTCTTGGCAACATCTCCGTCGTTGAAGTGAGCAGATTCGCGGTTGCCGTCGGACTTCCATCGCGCGGCTTTGCCAAAGGAGGAGGCAATGGTATCCGAAGTGAGCCCAATCTTGGAATAGTCCCGGCCGTAAATGTCACCGACAAGCATGTCCACATTACGGTGGTTGCCATGTGCGCTCATTTCGAGCATTTCATCAAAGTCCGAGCACTTGGTCAGCAGCGAGCACAGGCCGAGAAAAGTGCCGCCGCCGAGCGAGGTGCCGCCAACGCGCACGTAGTCTGTCTCGCTGTTGACCTTGACGAGACTGACGCCCGAGCCAATGTTGACCAGCAGGTAAGGGAAGACGTGGCTGCCTGCCTCCTGGGCGCGGTAGGGCATGTTTGCGTTGCGATTGAACTTGAAGACCTCGTTGGGGACTTTGTGCAGCAGAAAGTTGCACCCGGCAATCAAGCAGTCCATCTCATCAGCACGGTAGACCTTGACGCCGAGCTTCTCCTCGAGCATGTCAATGTACTTGTAGGCGCCTCCGCCAGTCGCCGTGATGACTGTGGCCTGCTCGCTGACGTGGATGTACTCTGCCGCCTTGTCGCCGTCTCCCGCAGCCGCTGCCGCCGCCTCGCGCTCTTGCTTGGAGCGCAGCAGGTTGTCTCGGATGAACTCGATGCAGCGCTCAATGTACTTTGTCTCGAACTTGATAAAGTGGAGGCGCGTCCCCGCCGGCGCCCCAGCAAACCCAGCTGGCTCGGCTTCGCTGAAGCTGCCTGATCGTGATGGCGGCCCAACAGCAGCCACAGCAGCCACAGCAGCCACAGCAGCAGCCACAGCAGTACTACTTCCACCATCGGCGTTCGTTCCAGCTGCAGTTGAACTCGTCGTAGTCGATGTGGTTGTGGGCCTGTGCGTCAGATAGACGAGCTTCACGAGCGATCCGCCTGTGAGTTTTTTTTTTTTGTTGGGAGATTCAGTCATTCAGTAATTCAGTCAGTCATTCAATCATTCATTCAGTCATTCAAACATGAAACAACGATGAAAGATCAGTAAAGTTATTATTATAAGAAAGAAAGAACAAAAAAACATACGATCATGAAAAAGTGGCGCGTTTTTTTTCTTTCTTTCTTTCTTTCTTTCTTTCGTTCTTTTTTTCTTTCTTTTTCTTCTTCTTCTTCTCAATGAAAGAGCTCATAAAAAAATGTCGGCTTTTTTGCTCGAATCTTATTTGTTAAAGTCGGAAAATAGCAAAAAGTGCTGAAGCAGAATGGCTATTTTGTTACCAATGTCGATCGCGAGGAGCCGCGTCGAGGCAATCTCGGCCATGAGCGTCTCTGGCGGCAGGTCGATGGTGCGCTCGCCGTCTGCACTCATTCTAGTAGTGTGTGTTTGTGTGTGTGTGTGTTCTTCGTCTTGAAGGTCTTTTGATCGAGCTCAAATAAGCCTGGAGAACAGTGCTCAACGCAACAGGAAAACAAAGACTGAGAAGTGTTTGACAAATGTAGATGTGATTCAAAAGCAATAGCACACTCAATCAGCGATCACTGTCGGTGATGGAAAGTACCAGTGCTGTAGTCACAGCCAGCGAGAGACCGAGAGCTTGCGTTTCCAATGGAGCGGGGGGGGGGATTTCCATTTGAATCTGAATCCGCTGCTTCCCACTTCCATACAGTACCATCCATACCATGCCCCCAACCCCAGCTTGTCTTCTTTCTTTTTCTGTTTGTTTGATTGTCGATTGTTGATTGTTTGACCTTCTGATCATTTCCCCCCAAAATCTCAGTCTTCTCTCTGAGCAACTCATCTCGCTACAGTATTATGCCGTCCAGTCTCAGTGCTTGGCTGCACTCGCATCCGTTCCCGCCGCTCATCCACAAGCAGCTCGAAACGCTCGGTCTGCACACGCCGATCAACCATCTGGCGCCCTTCCGCCTCGAGAGCGCCCTGTCCAGGTAGCAATAGCCAAAACGCTTCAGAACAGCTCGCCGCTTCGTTGTCGCCCCTGCCCCTGCCCCCCGTTCACAGTCTGTCACTCGTACGCTTACTGCAATGTGTTCCTCATTGTGCCGATTTCCCCAAAACCCAACAAATACAGCGGCGCCGTGCCTGGGGTGAACGACCGCATCCAAGTCCTCGTTCCGTATTGCAACCAGACTCTGCGATGTAAGGGCACTACGATGATGTGATATGCCTGAAGAACTGGTTCCTCATGACAATGCCAAGTGTTGCGCTTGATGGTAACAAACGGATGCAAAACAATGCCGGGTTACTCACGATGCTGGCTGCTGCTGTCAATCTTAGGGGAAATCTTGTTCAACGCTTTGGACCCGGCAGCACCGCCAGACTTTGTGTTCATGGGCGCTCCCCAGTTTGCGCCTTCTCTACAGCAGATTCCAGTACGACCGAGCGAGCGAGCGAGCGAGAGAGAGAGAAGAGAGTCATGTTGCTGTTGCTGCTCTGGATTGCACGTACCAAAATTGTCTTACTCCCCTTGTTCTTGTTGGTTGCTCAGAACTTGCTCAACTGGAATATCAACGAGCCTCAAGCGCTCTTTCTCGTGTTGTGCGAGTTATCCTTGGTAGGTCCCTCTGCTGATTGTTCGACCCGATTTCTCTCATTCACTTTTTTGACAATGCTTCTCCGCCTCGTTCGGGCGCAACACAGGCCTATTTGCAGTTTGAACTAGAGAGGGTGCAGTGCTGCTGTCCCGAAGCAATCCTTCCGATCGTTGATAGCTTTGCAAATAGTTATGAGGTCGGCCCTACGGTGCAAATCTTGCTCGAGCGGTTGCCAAATGCAAGAACTCCCAGCGCCAAATCGGCAGCTGCCTCTTCGAGCAGCAGCGGCGGCGGCAGCAGCGGCAGCAGCAGCAGCAGCACTACTGGCCCAGGTGCTGGGGGTCATGGACACGGGTCTTCGTTGCCCGTCAAAAAGGCTTCCGCCGTGTCCACCGATGCAGAAGCCCTGACTGCTCTTGCAGCAACGGAAGTCATTATCGGAGCCGACGGCCACTCCATCTTCCCAGCACAGCGATATGGCCAGCAGCTTCGCGTTGCCTTGCAGTTTGCACTGCACATTGACTTGAGCAAGCTGCCAAACCTTCCAACGCCCCTCGATGCTCGGCGAACTGCGTCAAAGCCGAGTACGGGTACTCATACGCCACAGACACTCAATTCGCCCAGCGTCGAACAAGGCAATGTACCGCCAGCCTTCCCTGGAAAGGAGCACATCGCCGACACTGCCGCCGCAGCTGCTGGGCCCGCCCGAAGCACCTCAGTTTCTCCTCAACCTTTGAAAAATTCCACCGCAACTTGTCGGGTGACAATAAGCTTCACGTTTCCAGAAGCCCGGACGGTCCTACCGGCCGACATTGCCGTTGCCACAAACATTACCATCCCGAACGAACTCTTGCCGGGGGTGTTTGCAAACGCTCAGCTTCCGCGCTATACACTCCCCACTCTTGCGGACGATTTTCTTGGAGCGATGCACTCGGCGGTCTCCGCCCACATTGAGACGTATGTTGAGCGCGTGAACAGGCGCTCGGCCTACGTGAGTGCCTTCTGGACCGAGTATCGCTCGTCCATCCTCGAGTTCAGCGTCGCGGATGGAGCCTCAATGATTTCCTTCCACCTGGCTCTCAAAAACCACTACGCTGTAGCGCTCCTTGAAATCTCCCCACGTTTCCCGCAGGAGGCTCCGGTCCTGACTCTTACTTGCGCTTTTTTCGACAACGGGGATCAGCCCTTCCGCAAGCAATTTCGAGATTACCCATATTCGCCACGATGGAGTCCCGAGGAGATGGCGCAGCGGATGCGGTAAGTGTTGAGTTGTGTGCGTGGTGGTTTGTTTTGAGGTCGATCGCAAATTTACACCTTCTCTGACCTGTTTCGTCTCGGTTTTGTGTGCAGGGTTTATCTGGATACGGAGCTCCCTCGATTCTTGGAGGAAGCGAAATCAGCAGGCGGCGTCCAGACTAACGTTTGATTCTGTGTTTGCCGTGAATGAATTTTTTGTTTGTTTGTTTGGTTTTTGCTGTATTGCGATCGAGCCCAAGAACGTAATACACCACAATGGCACGTGATAGAGTATCCACTCGCTGCAACCGAAGAAAGCTGAACACAAACCAAAAAGAAACACATTCTGCACCAAAAAAAAAAAAAATTATTTCTTGGCGGGCTTGGGGGCAGCCGGCGGGTAGACGTAGAAGCCCTCGCCAGTCTTGCGGCCAAACTTCTTCTCGGAAACGAGCTTGGTCAGCAGGGGCGAAGGGTTGAAGAGCTGGACGTCGGGGTAGGACTGGTGCCAGCCCTCAATGATGGAGTGGCAGACGTCGAGGCCGACAAAGTCGCCGAGCTCGAGCGGGCCCATCGGGTGGTTGGCGCCAAATTTCATGGCAGCGTCAATGTCCTCCTTGGAGGCATCGCCGCGCTCGAGCATGCGGATGGCCTCGAGCATGAGGGGGACGAGCAGGCGGTTGACGACAAATCCGGGGGTGTCCTTGCACGAGACGGTGACCTTCTTGACGCTCTTGCCAAAGTCGAGGAGCGCAGCGTGAGTGTCGTTGGAGGTGTCGTCGGTGCGAACAATCTCGACGAGCTTCATGACGGGCACGGGGCTGAAAAAGTGGAGGCCGCCAACGCGATCGCGGCGGTTGGTGGCGGAGGCAATGTCCGTCACACGCAGCGAGCTCGTGTTGGATGCCAGGATGGCATGCTTGGGCGCATGGGCGTCGAGCTTGCGGAAGAGGTCTTGCTTGACCTTGATGTTTTCGACAATGGCCTCAATGACGAGATCGGCCTCGGCGACGGCGGACTCGAGCTTGTCTGTCGCCTGGATGCGGCCGACGATCGCTTCGACATGCTTGCGTTCGCTCTCCGCAGCCTGCTCTGCGGATGTCTTGGCGAGCTCGGCAAACTTCTTGCGGGCGTCGCGCGCAACGTTCGACTTGATCCCAGCAACGCCCTTCTCTGCTGCGGCGCTGCTCACGTCCACCAGCTTGACGTTGTACCCAGCCTCAGCAGAGACCTGTGTCACAGTTTGTGAATCAGGATGGAAGTGAGTGAGTGAATGAGTGAGTGAAGTGAGTGATTGAGAGCAGAGTGAAAATCACGTTCTTGTTGATCGTTGAGAGGGTTGGGGTTGGAGGGGGTTTACCTGGGCAATGCCGGCGCCCATGAAGCCAGCGCCAAAGATGGTGACGTTCTTGATGGGGTGCTGGGCCTCGGCGCGGGCAGCGAGCGAGGAGAAGGCGCGGACGGCAGATGCGCGGGAAACAGCAGACAGCATTGTTGGATGCGAGATTGGTGGAGAGTGAGCTCGGACGAAAAGAGATATCGAAATGGAAGATGAAGATGATTGTGACAAAGAAAAAAAAAACCCAGCAGATTGGATGTAGCGGAAGAAGGTGGGGGAAAAGGCTTGGGGTTGAGAGGGCGGCAATCTCGTGTTTCAGCCGACCGCGACGCAAAAGGTCCATTGAGACCCGTGAGTCGGTTGGGATCCAAAGATCAAGTTGCAAAAATCAAGGCTTGATTCAAGTAGTACTGAGCTCCAGCCTTGTGTAGTGAAATCACAGCCGCTCTCTCAGCACAGCTCAAAATCGCTCAATCCCGTTCCTCTCCATCTCCTCTTCTCCTCCTCACTCTCTGTTATGACTTTCAACACTCCACCAAACCAAACTCGCCAATTTCAGCTCAGTCATTCATTCATTCATTCTCATCCAGTCAGTCCATCTTTTTTCTCTCTGAATCTCGTCCTCAATTGGCCGTGGATGCGGTTCTCGATGATTGCTCCCGTCGGGTTTGCTGCCCTGCCATTGCTATTGCTATTGCTGGCGGCTACTTCAACAACTGCTGCTACTTCAGCTGCAGGCGTCGACCCGGCTTCCATCAAGACCGTCCACGTCGTCTACTCCAACCACCTCGACGTTGGCTTTGCAGACAACGAGGTCGGCGAGCTGGGTTTTGCCGCGAACGTGGTCAACACGTACTTTACCGACTGGTTCCCAAAGGCCATCAACACGTCCGACGCCATGCGCGCGCTGCACGGGGGCAAAGACAGGTACATCTGGCTGACCCAGGCGTGGCTCGTGTCGCTCTATCTGGACTGCCCGACCGGCATGAAGCTCAGCTGTCCCTCTGCGCAAGACAAGGCCAAATTTGAACTCGCCGTTCGCAGGTGCGTGACCTTTCCCATTCAAAATCTCAACAACGAGTGTGCATTGAACTGGTACTGACTACGAAACAAACAAACAAAACAAAAAAAAACCCGGCGATGGTGTGCTTTGGAAACAGGGGCGACATTACATGGCACGCCTATCCGTTCAACGCTGAGGTACTTTCCTCAAAACAGCTCCATTCTCAGTTGCAAGGGTCACAATCTCTGATATCACCCACTAACTGTCTTTTTTTTTTGAAACACCCTTCTTGGTTGTTGGTGTTAGGCCGAATTCATGGACGAGCTCTTGTTCGAGTTTGGAGTCGAGCTGGCCCACTCGCTCGACGATCGATTCGGGTTGCCGCGCAAGACGGTCATGTCGCAGCGAGATGTGCCTGGAACAACCCGTTCCATCATCCCGATTCTCGTCCGAAACAACGTGACTGCGCTGTCGATTGGCGCCAACGGCGCATCCGCTCCGCTGGGTGTTCCTCCGGCGTTTGTGTGGGAGGATGTCGTGTCGGGCGACAGCATCATTGGGCTGTACCACCCGGGAGGCTACGGAGGTATCGAGCTTGAAGACTGCGTGCTCGTGGAAGGGCTTGATGTTGCTCTTGCCATGGATTGGCGTGGCGACAATGCTGGCCCGGCGGAGGTCGACGAGGTGCTCGCGGATTTGGCGCACCTGCAGGGCATCTTCCCCAATGCCAACGTGATTGCGTCCACATTCGACGCTTACATCAAGGAACTCTCAGCCGTGAGGGACAGTCTACCCGTCGTCCAGGGCGAATCTGGCGACTCTTGGGTGCATGGATGCGGATCCGATCCGAAGAAAGTGGCTCAATTCCGGGCGCTCACCCGCGAGCGCAGTGCCTGCATCACTGACATTCACTGCGACTCGGACCTGCCGTCCTTTTTCAACTTTAGCCGCCTTCTGCTCAAGGGCGCCGAACACACCTGGGGCGGGGATGTCAAGACATTCTACCAAGCCGAAACGAACATGGCATCTGTCTACTACAACTGGTCCAATGCTGCCTTCCAAGCTGTACGAAGCGCCGAGCCAATCCTAGCCCTCGAGCTGTCCTGGAAGGAGCAGCGTGACTGGGCCATTGACTATGCCGTCGAAGCGCTGGGGTCGCATCCGCTTGCCTCGCGTGTGCGCCTTGCCCTCGCCGAACTGGAGGTGCACGGGCCGCCATCGCTTGCAGGATACAAGAAGCTCACGCCCGGGGCCGGGTCCATTGCCTGCGGAGGCTTTGACGTGACCATCAGCCCTCAGACGGGAGAAATTGTCGGACTGACCGAGCGCCGCACGCTCGCCAACTGGGCGTCCTCGCAGCACCCGCTCGGCTCCTTCTTGTACCAGACGTTTACGGAAGACGACTTTAACGACTTTTTCAGCGAGTACCTCTTCATTGATCCGTCCCAAAACTCGTGGGCTGCCTACGACTTTGGCAAGCTGAACGTCAGCCAGGCCAATCCCCAACGCAGCGATACTCTGGCATCGCTGGTGGCCTTGTATCAGCGGGATGACTCCAACAGCAGCACCGCAGGAGCGTCCCATTTGCTGTTGGAGCTGTCGCTGCCGTCCACTCTCGTGACCCTCTACGGCGCCCCGCTGCACGTCTACGTCCAGTATGATTTCTCTCCTGCCAGCGCACCTGCTGGCTCTGTTGTTGCGACAGTGACGTGGCTGAACAAGACAGCCACACGCATGCCCGAAGCCATCTGGTTTTCGTTCAACCCGTCCGCTCCGCCAGCCCAACCGAACGCAGCGTGGTACTTTAACAAGGTCGGCGAGTGGCTGTCCATGGATACCATGATTGTGAACGGCAGCGCGCACATTTCCAATGTCTGGGACGGCGTCATGCTGGCCTCTTCCAGCCATAGTCTGCACATCCGGTCGCTCGATACGGGCCTGGTTTCGTACGGCTCTGCATGGCCCTTCCCAACGCCGCTGACGCGTCCGACTTCGACGTCCAGCGTCTCGTTCAATCTGTTCAACAACATCTGGGGCACGAACTACGTCATGTACTATGACGAAGACGCTCAGTTCCGCTTCTCGCTGTCCTTTCTTTAGTCCTTGAACATGCGTCTGAGAAATTCAAGTACAGTCAATCAGTTTTGATGTTGTATTACCATAACAGAGCAGAGAAAAAAACATAAAGATCATAACGGTCGACTGACAATATCAAGCGTAGTCGTAATGAGAGAAGCAAATCGAGAATCGAGATAGAGCAAGAGCAAGCACAAAGAAAAAAAAAATAACGTCACCACACCAGCAACAAGACGAACAGAGTGACAGACTGCCAACTCGTCAACTTGAATAGATGTGACAAGCTTGAAGAGAGCGTAGGCGAGAGAAAGGGCTCGACCAACGACCTTCAAAGGGAAGTGAGAGAGGGCGCGTTGCTGGGTTTTTTGTCGTAAACTCGTACACAAAGAAACCCACAGACGCCAGAGTAACCGTGAAAATCGAAGCCACGAATGTTAACAATGAGGAGGATACGGGGCGAAGAGGGAGCGGGCACAAAAATGAGGATGGTTGCCAAAAAATTTGGCACTTAAGAGTAATGTACGAGGTTTGAAGAGCCAAAGCGCGAAAATCGGGCAGCAGACGCCGAGCGCGGGGTGAGCGGTGGTGTTTCCGGCGGTGTGACAGACTGCTGCTGCTCGAGTTTGACGAGCTTGCAGTTTTGCTCAAAGTCACCGAAAGCATCACAGCTGCTGCGCTTGGCCTGTTGGGGGTGAGTCGAGCGCTCCATGTCGGCAGCGGCAAGCAAGAGACTCAGCGGATTGGCCGATTCAGGGATGGCGGCTTGCTCTGCAATGGGCGAGTTGGCGGGCGCGGCGCTGCGCATGTCTTCTTCAATGTCTCGGCCGACCATGTCCATGCGCTCGTGCAGGCTCTGAGCAGAGAGCAGGCCGGGCAGCGAATGCTCTGACGAGCGTCGCGAGCTCGAGAGCGAGGCCACAGAGACGGGTGTTTGCATTCCGAACGGTGTCGAAGAAGCTGTGAGCGAGCCGGACAAGTCCGACATGAAACCGGCGCTGTGCATGTGCTGCGTCTGGAAGGTCAAGTAGCTGGCAGTGGTGGCGTGCTCGGGCGCAGAAGCAACCGCCCTGGGTGGGCCATATGGCGGCGGGGAGACGGTTGGCAGCGAGGCGCGTCGGTAGCCTGAAGCTTGCGTGGTGACGGCCGACGGGGCAATCATGGGCGCCACAGCCATGTACTGTGATGACTCGACTTGTGCTGGTTGGTGGGTCTGGAAGACCAGAATGCCGGGGACAGACTGCTGCGTCTGGAGCAGAATGGGCTGCAGCTGGTTTGCGTGTTGGTACACAACCTGGTTTGCAGTATCCATCATGGTCACCTGCGACAGGGGCTGCGAGGTCACAACCAGCTGTGTCTGAGGCATCTGCAGTTGCTGCTGTGAGACGAGCACCTGAACCTGCGGCTGTTGCTGGAGCTGTGGCTGGTACTGGTGGAAGAGCAGCTGGGGCTGTTGTTGTTGTTGTTGTTGTTGTTGTTGTTGTTGTTGCTGCTGTTGTTGTTGGACGTGCTGATGTTGTTGGACGTGCTGTTGCTGGAATTGCTGGTATTGGTGTTGATGTTGCTGCATCTGCAGCTGTTGTTGCTGTTGCTGTTGTTGCTGTTGTCGCAATTGCTGCTCAAGTGCAGCGGAAGTTGTGAGCGACAGCATGACCGGAGAAGTCGATTGCTGCTGGATGTGAGACGTCGTGAACGAAGGGGCAGCAACAGTGCTGAGACTCTCATACACGGGCGCCTGTGCGGCAACTTCAGGGTGAACGACAGCAGGGGCGGGCGACATGATGTTGTTCAACGACGAGCGGCGGGAGGAGGATCCAGACACTGTTCGAGAATGATGCTGCTCCGAGCGCATGGACGACAATACTGGCAAGGCCGAGGTGATTTCCTCCACAACGCTGGCGAGCTGCATCAAGGGCACATTCAGCCACTCGTCGCGCTCATTCGTCCGGGCGGGGTTGAGCACAAATACACCGGTGCGTTTGGGATCTATGGTCAAGTAGAGTTTGAATTTTGTGAGTGGGTGGGGTTTGAAGGATGGAAGAAATCTGGACCACTTACCCTCGGAATACAGAGTCAGAGGGCTGTACGAATCACTGAGGGTAGCAAGAGCGGAAGAGAAGAGCGCGAGGCAACCAGTGGTGAGTCAAAGCGTAAAACACCTCCAAGCAAAGCCAACGCCAACAACAACTTACACATCCGCTTCACGGTAGTAAACGACAAGCTTGAGCTGGTCCTCAAGATCCGCGGTGGTATCACCAATCGTCTTCTTCAGAAGGCCATCCGCCTTGGCCATCTGGACTGGTTTTGGCGAGGACGACGAATCGGAGCGAGGCGAAAGCGAGCCGGCACTGCCGGGGCTTTGTGGGGACGACGATTCGTCCATGAGCTGGTCGTCGGCACTGTTGTTGCCGGCTGATACCGTCTTGCGTTTGGATTTGCCCGATTCCATCACTTCGCGATAGATGCGAGTGTTGCCGCCAGGGTGGAAGGCGTCGCCCCACTTGTGGCCGTCCGTCCACCGTTTGATCTTGGAGCGCGCTGGGTAATAGACGTAGCCGACACCTGTAAAAGCCGAGCAATGAGTGAATGTAGTTGAGAGTGGCGTGAGCACATTTTCATCAAAAAGGAGGGTGAAGCACATGCGAAAAGAGGATTGGAGACATTGACAGCTGGCTTTGTGGGTTGCTGTAAAAAGACGAAAAAAAAAAAAAAAAAAAAAAAGAGCAAAAGTCTCCCGCTTTGGGCCTCGCAACGTTGCGGATGTGCTGCTTGCGTTTCGCTCGCACATCTTAAACACAACCATCTGCCCCCACTCATCGGCACGAGAGTGCTTGCAGCGGGATGTGCAACAAGTGGAGTCAAGGCGAGTTTCCGCAGAGCTGAGAGGGTCACAGCATGTTTCGCCCCTAAAACCCCAAAAAACCGCACACTCTGCTCGCCACCGCACACAGGCCACTATCTGCGTGTGTGTATGTGTGGTTTTTTGGGGGTGGTGGTGGTTTGCGGTGAACTGCCGGAAGGACATGTGCCCTTGCTTGGTGATCGGAACAGAAAAAAAGTCGAAAAAAAATGTTGAGGGAAAAAAACGGCAAAAAGCCGATGATAACTCATTCCAATTCGGACGGTTATCAGGGCATACATTGCCACCCCATCGCAGCCGATCGCACGACAGGGGATCCACGCACACGGTGCACTGGAAAACACGACGAAATGGAAAGCAGAGCCAAAAAATGTCACCGCAGGACCACCAGCGCGAGAACAGGCCTGCCGCTGCTTGCTTTCAAAAATGGCATCTGCGCGCGTGCTAATCAAAAAAACTCCCAATCTGTCATTGTCCATCTCCAGTGACTTTTGTTGGTGCTCTTCAGCGCTCTGAAGGAGATTGCCGTGCATCCAACACCAAAAGCGTCGAGCATCTTGCAAACGAAGGGTGATGGGGGAGAGGAGTGTGGTGGGGGAAATACAGGGTAGACGCGTAGTGGTGTACGCACCTGCTGCAATCGCCTCCTGCTCTGCGGGCGTGAGACGTGTGACGACGCGGCAGAGCCCCGAGCGCACTGCACGGAAGACGGCCTGTGCTTCAGCATCGCTGTGGACAAAGCCTGTGAACGAGAACGGCATTGAATCGAGCGCGCGCGAGAGAGATAGCGAGAGAGAGAGATGAAGAAGTAACGGAAAAGAGTGAAAGTGTGCGAAACGAATAGTGTCCGAAATGGAATAAGAAAAAAAAAAGAAAAAAAAAAAAGATGAAATGAAAGGTCGCCTTGGAAATTGATGAACGGCTGAAAAGCAAAAAGGTCACCGAAGACGGACAAAAAGCGAAAAAAAGAAAGAAAAAAATTAAGGAAGAAGAAGATGAAGACAATGGAGAAACCTGTGTATGGGTGGGAAAAGACGGAAAGCAGCAGCGGCAGGAAGAGCCGGGGGAAAAAAAAAAAAGAAAAGAAAAAAAAAGGGAATTTTCCAAGCAGAACATGACAAAGTGAGCTACAATGACGGCAATGGCGACACAACGACACAATCATGAGACGAAAGATGTGCATACAAGAAAAAAAAAAGAAAAAAGAAAGAGAGACACAGAGAGAAAGCGTGATCACGACACAAACGGGCAACACGGATGGAATTTAATACGAAAAAGTTGGGCGGAATTAAACGAAAAAAAAAAAAAAAAAAAAAAAAGGTGAATGAACCCTGAATCCCGTGCTTTTTAGCAGTAAGGCCGTCAAAGCCGGAGTCATGCACAACTCTGCGCAATGAGCAAAAACCGGATGGAGGAATGCTTAAAAATGCAATGAAATGAAACGGAAAAAATGGGAGAATAAAATGGACCGACTGATGCAGCGGAAGCTCGATCGTGTCAAGCAAAAAAACGAAAAAAAAAAAAGTGTCCCAATTCTCACTCCAGCGTCGCCTCCTTCTCATCGTTGCTCCCCGTAGTGCGTACTGCTCCCCCTCCACCCCAGCTCCCTTTGATCTCGCAATGCACGCTCTTCAGTCTGGCGTTGGGATGATTTCGGGTCATTTTTCAGTGCCCTAGTTTGGATCGCAGCGTCGCGATTGTTGCTGCCTTTTTTCGTTTTTTTTCTTTTTTCCCGTTTCTTCCTCGTGGGTGGTTTTTTTGATTAATGAATCCAAAAAAAAAAAAAAAAAATTAAGCAAATTTGGATTCCACACACGATCTTGCGCTGCGACCTCGTTCGCAGCCACAATTGCCGCAGCGAGACGAAGGCAGGGACACAGAGGAAGAGATGGACGAGAACAAGCATAACGAAGTTCAAAGTGGATGCAGACCAAGCGCCGCATAGACGGTGATGACCAAAAGACACGCTCAGAAACAGCTGCCATCGCAGCTGCGACATTTTTTTTTTTTTTTGGGAGGAAAGGATCAGCCACGACCGCAGCGACCTCGAGCCGTGAGCAAAGTGAAGGTGTGGTTGTATTGGAGTGTCCGACGAAATGGGGGAGGAGGTGAGCGAGTGAGAGAAACGGGGGACAAGAGCGAGAAAAAGAGGGGAAACGGAAGCGAGGAACGGAAGGAACGAGATTTCGCAGCAATCAAACCGCGCGTTCGCACGTGGAAGAAATGGCGTGCACAGCGGCAGAGCAAACGAGGCTGCACAAACGCCACAACCCGAGCAGACGGTGTGGGCAGCGGCGTTCTTGTGAAAGCGCAGCCCGTCGCCACGCGGTGTGCGCGATCGATTTGCAAACGCAATGCGAGAGCAGGGACGCGAAACGCCGTCATTTTTTTTTTTTTTTTTTTTTGCAATTTACATAACGGCACAATCCACCTCGTGTGCCAAAAGCCACACAGCGGCACCCCCGTTGGAACTCCTTCTTCACCCAACCGAGACAGGGCAAAACAAGCGGTACTACGCATCCAGCGATGGATGCACAGAGAAATGCTCAATGAGAAGGAGAGAGAGAGCGCGGATGTAAGCCCTTGATGCTCACCAAAGATGGCAACTGCCTGAGAACAGGAAAGAACAAGACTGATTTTGGAGGCAAAAAAATGGAAGGAGCAAATGAGCAAAATGCCAAGACGATGATGAAAAGGCAACAGCAACGTTTACAGCGCGATTCCGAGGAAAACGCAGTGGAGGAAGTGACTGGAGCGATCGAGAGGCGAATCGGAGGCGCGAATGAAGCTGCTCGCTGCTCCTTTTGGATCTCGGAGTTCTGTCAACCAATGACGATGGATGGATTCATTCCATAGATCCATAGATAGAGGCAAGTGCAATAAACACAAAGAGACGATCAGAGCGGCAGGGCTCACGATGAGGATGACGATGATGACAGTCCGTGGGGCCTTGCCGCTAATCAACTCGGGTGCTGCCACGCTAAAAACGTGATTGCTCAAAGATCAAATGCCCCTGAGACTAGGAGCAGTCCCACATAGTACGCAGCTTTACTCATTATGTATCTGTGTGAGGTACGAGGTGGGTGACTGCTGGAGGGGGTGAAGAAAGCAGCTTGTGAGTTGCCGGATCGAGGGGAGCGCATGCCGCTTTTCATTGCGCTTAAAATGAGCAGCTGGTTTGGCTATTTGCAATCCCACCGAATCTCCAGCAAATGGCTGTTATTGTGTAGCGTATTTACTTGCACACACTCCATGCACTGCTGTGGATAGGTCAAGGGGAGGGAGGGGAGGGGGATTCCAAGGCGCGACCCGTGGAACGTTTCGCAAGCGGCTGTCTCTCCTCCATTTGCAGCACATTCAACGCGTTTGTCATCGTCTCACACCCTCCATTTTTGTTGCCACATTTTATTCACACTGTCTCATTGGGTCGATTGTTTCGAGTTGTGGAGCGTTTTTTTGTGTTTTTAATTTTTTCTAATTTCAATTTTTGTTTTTTTAAATTCTGAATCGATTGTGTTCTCGGTTATCTCGTCTTCTTCCCGGGCACATTGGTGGGCATTGCACTCGACATGTCTACACAGTCATCCCCTTCGATCGCCCCTTTTCCACACAGGCTCCGTACAATGGCAAACGATGATCGTCAGTCATCACAATCATCCTTCCAAATTCGGCCGACCACGTTCCCGTTGGAAGCGGTTAAAATGCATTTGTTTGTGTTTTGCTTTTAATATCGCTGCGAGCGTGTGAAAGTGCGTCTCTGAAAAGCTGTTTGAATGCGCGAGCGCATGCGGGGGACGAGCCGCGAAGCGCGCAGCAGAGAGCGCGAACGAAGCGCGAGGGGGGTCAGCACCAAGAAGCATCGCACGCGCCACGAAATCCGAGGGCGCCGGCTCGCCCACACATCCTCCAACGGCTCACGCGATTCATTCCATCCTGCCGCGCCCTCCGATTTCACTTGTGGCCTCTTCTTTGATCAGTTCCCAAGGTCTTTCATGCGCCTGCGGATGCCTGTGCTCTTTTCCTGCATCACGGTTTCTCGACGACAGCTCCGATTTGTGATTCGTCGACACTCCCCCGCCCGCTTGCCGCTCGCCTCCCTTTTTTTTTTTGTATCTCAAGGCTACTATTTATTCCTTGACCTTCAGTCCTTTCTCTAGCCAACTCGACCATTGTTTTCTTCTGATTCTTGTGGTTTTTATTTCTCTTTGCGGTCCGCTGAACGGATTTTTTTAATTTTTTAATTGTAATTTTTTATTTTTGAGTTTCAATCACGCGTCGGTCCGTGCCCCAGCCCAGACCAGCCGCGTCCTCCCACAGTCATGTCGTGCCCGTCCATGTTGGCCGAGTGCAACAGCACGCTCCAACAATGCAGCGAAGGCCTGTTTCAAGCAAGTGTTCCAGCGATTCTGTTGCGCATTTTTGTCAGCCTCTGGACCACTGTTCTCGTGCAGTTCTTCTGCATCTTCTTCTTCTTCTCCTTCTTTCTACTACTTCTCGTTCACACATGAATCACATGTTCTCGCCGTTGTATGCTGCGCTGAGGGCGTCGGGCGCAACAATGGCGATCATGGAGTTGGGATGGTTTGCGGTCGTCCGAGCGTTTTGTCAGACCAACCGGCGTTTGCATTGCTGAGCATTGCTAAGCGTGCGTCTCTCTCTCTCTCTCTCTGAGTTCTTGCATATCATTGGGATGGATGATTCGATATTGGCCCTGGTCTGGTTTTCTTTCCCACATTTGCTCGCTTTTCGGCGACGGTTTTCATATTGTTGTCATCAGCAATCAACCAATGTTATTTCCTCCGTCTTTTTGTTTTTTGATTTTTGCTCCTTTTATTAAAATGCGTTTTTCTGAGCCTTTTTTCTGAGTTTGCCTCTCTTTTTTTATTCCCCCTTTTCCTTGTTTGTTTTGCTTGCGATTTTTCTAACTTGTTCCGCCAATGTCAAAATCCTCGCACAGTGCAAAGACGCATTCCCGACAAGCACCACCCTCTCCTGGTTTTCGACGGCCAACATTTTGATCATCATCATTCTGGTGGCGACAGAGCGTTGCGTACATGCGCTCTTTCGGCGGTTTTCGTTTCGGTACCGCTTGCTCACACCGTCGCACCAGCACAACACTTGTGCCTACCAGCTTCAAATCATCTACACGACCGTCTGCCTGCTGCTGTCGCTCATCTATGGCGTGCCGCTGATTCTGGACAACCAAAACCCTCACATAGACGTGCACACACTGGAAATGTGTCGGCTCAACTTGGCCATCCTGGCCTTCCTGTATGCGTACGAGTTGTCGTACCGGCCGCAGATGGGCCTGCAGCTTGCAGTACACCATGTTTGCACCATTCTGCTGTGCATCCTGGCCGTTCGAAACTACGAGGACGAACGACAGCCCGTCGCGATCGCCATGACCATCTCGCTCGGCTTTACCGCGAATACCGAGCAGCTCACGTTCGTCGCCCTGACATGGTTCCGGCTCCGCTTGAAGGGAAGCAACCTTCTTTTCAAAATTGCCGCCATACAAACGCTGGTCTTTAAGATCTTCTTCACCGGTCTCACCCTCGGCCTGTGGGGAAAGTATCTGGCCCCGCAAGACGCAACGTGGTGGCTTGTTCTTCGGCCACTCGTTCCCATTCTCATCTCAATCCTGTTCGTGACGCAAGTGTACGGCGCTTTTATCTTGTGGAAGCTCAGCTTCCGCGAACGGGCCATGACGATCGAAGAGGTCTTCAAAGCTGCCAAGAAGAAGCCCGGTCTTGGTCTGCATCGTCTGGATGCCTCAGGAGGTATCGCACCCAGCTGGCCTCGCGTGTCTCTTCGTCAGTCGATGCGAGAGGTGGTGGAGCGACGATCTTCTTCTGCACCAAACATGTCTGACAGCAGCGCGACTGGAACCACACCGATGACACAAAGACTAGCCAGCGACTCAAAGCTTGTGACCAAGCAGTATGTGCTATCTCATCAAAAGAAGGGCGGGTCTCAAGTAGTGCTGCAAAATTTGCCACCGCCTGCAGGCGTGTCACAGCCAGCAGAGCGCGAAGGAGCAAGCTCCAGCAAGCAGACCAAAGGGAAAGCCAAGTCCAGTGACAAGGGAGGAGCACTCGGCGGAGCAACCAGCGAAGCCCATCTCATGTCTTCGTCGGCAGACCACGACGACCACGACGACCACGACGGAGCAGGAGTAGAACCAACCGCGCAAGACAACTTGCAAAAGTCCACTTTGGCAGCATCCCAGATGTCTCTCTCGAGCGCAGGCTCGGAGCACACCGTGCGTGCCTCCTTTACATCCGCCGAGCAAGGGCGAGCGAGCGCGTCGTCCTTCCAAAAAGCAGTGGTGCCAGTCAAGCGGCCGAAATCGGTAACACTCAATTTGCCGCCCCCAGATCCAAACGAGGACGAGGGCACTGACAGGATTGCCTTCCGCTCCGACGGTGTCGTCGTGCGCGGCGGTTCCAACGAGGGCTACGGCACTGTTCGCGGCATGTTCCTGCCGTCCGAGCTCGCGTGGAGCGACCACAACGAACTCATCCGTGTCTCGTCCAGCACCTCCTCGACGTCCGCCTCGGAGCTTCTCGCCGCTCACCGCAGTCCGGACGACGACGAGGAAGATGTCGATCTCGAGGCAGCCGACATGCTTCAAATGGACGAGATTTCCAAGCCCTCGTTTGGGTAGGGCGCTACTCTTGTCGCTTTCTCACCCAATGTCACTCGAGCGCAAACGAGGGGGGAAATTATACTGACTCGATTGCATTGTATTCGTTTCGCGTCGAGCTCGTATTGAAAGTGCGGGGATTATATGCCAACCATGCTCCAGCATTTCATCCGTTTTTCCGTACCACTCCACACGCTCTTCCTTTATTTTCTGTCGTTGCTTGTGTACTGTATGTGTATGTGATTTGTACTGTACAAGGACATGTTCGGTCCGATTCCATGTTTTTCGTAGTTTGAGTTGAAACAACCTTTTCAGCACTTCTCCTTTTTGTAACTTTTTTTTTTTTTTTTTTTTTTTTTTTTTCCCTTTTCCCTTCAATGACCATGCATGCGGGGGCAGCCGCTGCAAATACGCCCGCACCGAGCACGCTCCACTCGGGCGTGTTTGGCCGTGTAGTGGTGCATGCTGGCCGCGTTTGGCCGTGTAGTGGTGCATGCTGGCCGCGTTCCTACGCCGTCATCACCGCCGCCAACGCTTGGCAGCAGCAGCGGGATCATCGCCGTTGATTCTTGCATCTGCATCGCCGCCTTCGACGATCGTGAGAGTGACGCCCGTCTTCCGACAAAGCCCAGGCGTCAGTGACGCCCGTCTTCCGACAAAGCCCAGGCGTCATGTCGTGCGCCGAGCTGCGCACCAAGGCCGCCGAAGAGGCCGCTCCGATGCTGCTGCTGCTGCTGCTGCTGCTGGACTGCCTTGTGGTCCTGACGGCGCTGCTGCTGCTGCTGCTGGTGCTGACGATGAGCCTGCGAGTAAACGCGTGCCATTTCCTGACGCGGTTGACGCGAGCATTGGCGTTGGGCTCCAGCAAGTCTTCTTCACGGCAGCGTCGTCTGCACCCGAAACACCCGCCTCGGCCAGCAGCGGGAGCGAGACCCCTGCCCTTGCGCCGCTGGGTGACGCCGCGTCTTCTCCTTCTGCTGTTGCTGCCGTCTCGGCGGCAGGAGTCGCCGCAGTCCACTCTGCGAGCATCCTGCTGGAAGGCTTCCCGTTGAAGCGCGCTCGCAACCCGGCCTTGTCGACCGTCGTCCCGTCGTCCGCAGCAAGTACGATGGGCGAGCTCTTGGATAACTACTTTGAGATTGAAATTTCGCATCTCGAGGCGCAATGGGCGCTCTTTATTGGCGTTCGCGAAGGCCCGCCGCCACTCGTCAACGAACGGTGCTGCGGCGTACCAGTCATTGTTCCTTCATACGCGGAGGACGAGGGGAAGGAGAAGGAGAAGGAGAAGGAGCAGCGCGTTCCAGATGCCGAGTCTCGCGACAATCCGATTCCAGCAATCTTGCCAAGTCCATCAGCGTGCTTCCGGATGGCTCCTGGAACACACGGCGTCTTGTCATTCGACGGCTCGTATATTTCAACGGGTGCGCTCGAGATTGCTGACAGCTCCGAAATAGCCCTGCCACTGCTACATTCTGGCAGCGTCCTCACCACTGCCGCCGCCGTTGTCACGTCCTCGGCCGCTTCGTCTGCTGCCGCGTCTGTCGACTCGCAACCGCCGTTTCCGCTGCCACCACAACACCAAGTGCAGTCTCCCGCGTTCTTGCCATCCAACAAGCAACTCTCGCCCGATTGTCCTCAGTTGCTTGCCTCGCCATTGCAAGTCATTGCTTCAGATTACTGCGCGCGACCGCTAAGATCCGGTGATATCGTGGGATGTGGCGTCAGTCGCGAGTCGCAGCAGCTCTTCTTTTCGCTCAACGGCGAAGCGCTGGGGTGCGTTCGTATCGCTGAATCAGCCGCTACTGCCGCGTCGTCGTTGACAGCTTGGCTCTACCCGATTCTGTCTGTCATGCCGCATTCCTCCGCCGCTGCCGCGGCAAGTGTTGCGCCGAGCACCAATCACACTCTGGCTTGCCACGATGGCGTTTCAGAGTCGGTGGTGTGCGCCGTCCGACTCGTCGCCGGCCCCCTGTTCTGCTATCGTTGCGTGCCGAGCCAGTACAAGATGGTGCGAGCGTCCCAGCGATCATTTACAGCCCTGCTACCACTGTCTTCCGACCCAACCGTCCTCTCTTCGACGTGGCTGCCCAGTTTTCTCATGCGCTCCCTCACCCGGCAATGCGATCTGCACCCAGACACGCCAAATCACCTCGTCACCGTCTCCAGCGCTACTGCGCCAGATTTATCGTCGCGTAGCCTTTGGCTCGGACTTGGTGCTGACAAGATTGCCTCGCTTTTGAGCGACCTGCGACTGAAGGGCCCGCTGCCAGCCATGCTTCACCCCGAGCGCCTGGCCGTTGCGCCAGCCGTCCTCCGTGGCAGCTCGTTCATTATGCCCTGGCGCATCTACCGCGGGTTTGCCTACTTTGAGTGCACCCTCACTGACACGTTCAACACGAACGACCCAGACCTCCAGCTCGGCATTGGTGTGACGTCCAACTCGTCCCGATTTTCCGGTCTCACCATCGCCTACTCGTCGCTCGGCACGCTTTTGACGCGCTCGGGGCTTGAAACTGGCCACGAAGAGACCGAACAGTCTCCCAGCCTGTCCTTCCGCCGTCCCCGTGCCGCGTCCCACGCCCCTCGCGTCGCTGCGGAATCTCTGCTGCCCCGGGCAAGGAGCCCGCAAGACCCCCCATTAGCATCCTCGTCCACTCCCATCCAGCCGTCATCTGCTGCAATGTCCGTCGACACTGCTGGCGCACCACCCACTTTCCCGCTCCAAAAGTCGCCATCCCCCTCCGTCCTGCTTCCCGCCGGCACATCGACGGGCTCGCTGTTTGCACCTGCCTCGACTGCAGCTGGCGGGTCTGCCTTCGCTGTTCGTCGTTTCTCCGATGAGCAGTACACGAACGGCGATACCATTGGGTGCGGCATGAGCTTTGAAGCAAAGGAAATCTTCTTTACCAAGAATGGCGCCTTGGTTGGAACGGTGCCGTGTCCTAAAATCGACGGCGAGACCGCCGGCATGTTGCGGCCTTGCGTCTTTTTCTTGCGGAGCATTGAGTGCGCCTCTTCTGGTAGCCCGGCCGCAGCTGCTGGCGGGGACTCGTCGACGGCGAATGCGACAGCGAACACGACAACACCAAACCCCCTCCCGACAACCCCCGGTCGCGACCCTGGCGCCACGCTCGCAGCGCTGTCCGTCTGCATTTCGGTGACCCCACCGTATCTCTTCCATATCGAGCGCCACTTGCAGCGCAACGACTTTGATTCCTTCCTGCATTCGGACGACGTTTCGCTCGATCCCGAGCGGGTCATTTTGAGCTATCCTTGCGTGACTGCTGGCGACGTTGCGCTTGCCGCGACCGCGTTGTCATGCCGCGCGTTGATTGCGACGGCTGACGAGCCATGGCAGGCACCACCCTTGTCGACAAGCTTGCCAACCAGTGCGCCGACGCCGGCAACGCGCACTCGCTCTTGGTCGGCATCTACCCCAAACAGTGGACCGAGCTCGGTGACCACCACCACCACATCCGCTGAAGGCGGAAGCCGGAATCCCAGCTTCGGGCTGTCGGGCTCAAGCTCGCCCCATCCCCTGCCCACCCCGTCTCGTTTTGCCTATTTTGAAGTCACCATCTTGGACTCGGCCAGAGGCGTCTCGTGCTCTGCACCCATCTCGATAGGGCTTGCGCTGCCAGATCACCCTCTCGACTCGCTTCCCGGCACCACCCCGTACTCGTTTTCCTTCAACGCAGCTGACGGCAACCTCATGTTCAATGCGCCATTCAGTCGGCCGCCCAGTCCCACTTCGCTTCGAACCGGTGCAACCTTTGATGCCTTTGCCCTGCCATCCGAAACAGACAACCCCAGTGATCCAATGCCAACCAATGAGCAACACCTGGCCGTCGACAAATTCTTCGGTCCGACGTGTTCGCAAGGAGATATTGTTGGCTGCGGCATCGACCGCCAGGATTCGTCCATTTTCTTTACTCGAAACGGCAAGCTTTTGGGCAAAGCATTCAGCCAGGTGGACTTTGAGCTGCTTTCGCATCTCCGCGCAGCGGTCGGGTTTCACTCTCTCCAGTCGAAAATTCGCATCAACTTTGGCTCGCGGGGACTGCTCTTTGATCCGTTGCAGCGTGGCGCCGAGCTGAGTGAGTGCACAGCCGACATTTCCATGGCGGGCATCTCGTTCACCAAAAAGCTCCAGCTCTTCAAGCAGCTGGCCGCGAATTCTTCGCTTGGATTCTGGCTCGCACCCACGCTCTCGGCGCCTCTCGATCGTGCCTCGCCAAAGCGCCAGTCCTCAGAAGCGGCATTGAGGGCAACGATTGGCATCGCGCCCACAGCGCCTGCTGCTCCAGGTTCTGCCGCCGGATCGCCGGCGTTGGGTGGCGGCATCGGTGGTCCCACGCCTCCGGCTACCATTCAACGTTCCGACGATCCGTTCGCCATCAGTCCTCCCGGCACCTTTGACTCGAGCAAACGCAATGCACACACGCAAGTGGTTCACGGCGACGTTTCGTTGGTGCACTGCGTCGCTGGCACAGCCATCTCGTCAACAGTACCTTCGTTTGCTCGCTCGGCCAGTTCGGACGATCATCCGAGCGCGCGCTCATCGCATGCTGCAGCCGTGTGGCGCGGCCAGCTGGTTGTCCACGGTGGGTATCACTCCACTCGGCGAAGTCTTGACGATACCTGGCTCCTGAACTTGGCCACCAAAACATGGTCGCGCATTCCAATCTCCACCAGCTCACCGACAAGTCGCTACAGCCACTCGGCCGTCATTCTCCAGGATCGCTACTTTGTTATTTTTGGCGGCATGACCGACCAAGGCGTGATTCTGACCGATTTGCGCGTGCTGGACTTGGAGAAGCGGGAGTGGCTGTGGGTGGAGTCGGCTGGACCCGGTCCGTCTCCTCGAATGGAGCACATGGCTGTCGAGTACAAGAATGCCATGTACGTGTTTGGAGGCTCCAGCATGCCCGACAAGAAGGATCACTATGCCAGGTATGTTGCAGCAAGTGTTTGTTGGAGCAGATCGAGTCAAAGGAGAGAGAAGGGGGGGGCCGGTTGAAGAAGTGGGACCTCACACTAGTCAGGCGACTGAATATGTGAGGTGAAAGGAGGGATGGCGGCGGAAGAGATGGTTTGATCGAATTCCTTGCTCATCATTTTCTTGTTTGCACCTTTCTACGCCATCTTTTTTTCTTCTCCCGTTTTTCTACCAGCGGCATGTTCCGTGCGACATTCGCCAACTCTACCATCACCTGGACTGAGCTGCCAGTGGAGCGCGTCCCGCAAGTTTGCAGTGCTTCGGCATGCGTGTTTGGCCAGGCCATCTGGGTGTTTGGTGGCGCATCTGGCAATCCCATGACCGCGACGTCTACCATGCAGAGCTTTTCGTTTGCTAGTCAGATGTGGAGTACGCTGAACACCAATGGAACCGTGCCTGAGCCCCGCATGCGCCATTCGGCGTGCTTGGTGACTGGACCGCAGATTACCGCCTGGAGTCTGTATCAGCATTCGCTGTTGCTCGGCAAGCTCGGCATATCTGCGAGCGACACGAATCATTCAGCGCCTCCGACGCCAACCACAGGCGGGCCAGGCTTGTTTAGAAAGTTTTCGCTCATTGAACCTGCTGCCCTCTTTACTGCTGGCATGCTTGTTGTCGGCGGCCGATCAACGCACAGCGACGTTCTGAGCGCCGCCATTTTCGAGTTTGCAAACCGCTCGTGGCGCACCGTGCTGCTGTCTGATGAGGCTGATTTGACCAAGCCGCTCGTTGGTCAACCAGTGGCCACTGGCGCGACTGGTAATGACATTGGCGCCGTGGCCCTCTTCCCAACGCCACTTTCACTGTCCGTCGCTCCTCGAGCTAGACCTTTGTTGGCTCCCGACGCACCGGTTTCTGAGATGCCTTCCTCTGTGTCGCTGACCGATACCCAACCGTCGTCCACCAGTGCTCCTGTGAGCTGGTCGGACAATCTAAGTGTACTTGAAAGCGCGCGCAGCACTGAGGCACCCGTGGGCGACGCGAGCGCGCTGCCCAGTAAGAGTGTGGCATCTGCCGCGCTCGATCGACGCTCTGCCTCCATGTTCTGCATCACTGGCGCGGGCGGCGTCGGGGGCGTTTTCGTCTGGGGCGGCGTCTCTGTGGCATCCACCAGGGATGTGTGGGACCCTGCAGATCTGCTCAAGATCAAGCTGTGGGACAGCGATCATGTCGAGACTCTCCGGCAAAGTGTCCTGTTCCCGAAAGCTGCGGATGAATCACCAGTTGCGCCCCCAACTGCAGACACTCTTGGCGACACAACTGCCGCTTGGATTGAAGGCGCGGCTGTGGGTGTGTTGCAGTACGCCCCCAATCAACTGCTTGCAAGCGTCGCCCCGCGGGTTCCGGACGATAGTTCTGTCATTTCTGGGAGCCCTCCCGTCAGTGATCTGGTCGTAGGCAACAACGTCGGTCGACCCGTCATCGGAATGCCTGCGCCCTTGGAGCCGGCATTTGGCACATCGGCCATGCAGTCGGCTCCACGCTTGTCCACGCCAGGTGCCCAAGTTGGCGAGGCCAGTTTAGTGCCAAGCCCAAGCCTCGTCCTCCAAAACCTCGTTTCGCCTGCACTGAGCTCTGCCAGCTCGGGGCCCCCGGGTCTCCCACAACGGCAACTGCTGATTCTGCTCGAGTTCAAAGAATCGAAAGAACCGCCACACCGGTACAACATTACTTGTGGCTCGCTTGAGGATCTGCTGAATGAGCTGTCCCAACGACTGCAGCGCACCGTGCTTCCAGAGCACCTGTCCGTTCACGATCCCGATTTCGACATGTACGTCCGCTTGACGGACTTTACTGCCATTCCCACGAAGGCCCGAATGCAAGTGCAGGGCAGCGCCCCTAGTCCTCTTGCGCTCGCCCAGTCTCCCGGCTCTGTTTTGTCTGGTTTGCTGTCGCCCGACTTGGCAACTGCGGCAGAGCCCGCTCATGCTGGCACCGCGCGTGATGTCGACGTGCCAGCGCCGAGTGCGTGTCCGCTTGCAAAGACGTTCCGCTGGTCCAGGGGCGAGCTGCTCGGTAAAGGCGCCGTCGGCCGCGTCTACAAGGGCATCAACGAAGAAACGGGCCAGTTTATTGCGGTCAAGGAGGTGGCAATGGCTCCCGGCGAGGCGAGCAAGGTAATGGTTGGAATTGTTGGACGAAGGGTTTTTTTTTTTAGTTTTTCGTGTTGGGTTGGACGGACTTTTGTTCACTTTCGTTTTGGCCGATGCGCGCTAGGTGCTTGAGGCGCTTGAGAACGAAATCCGGCTCCTCAGCCAGCTCCAGCATCCCCATGTTGTCCAGTATTTTGGCGTCGAAACCACCAGTACGCAAATGCATTTGCTTGCTTTGATGAAACGACAATGTCTGCCTTTTTTTCTCGCTGCTTTTCGGGGTGGGTTTCTGACGTGTTTGCTTGCTCAATACTTTTAGATGACTGCACGGCCAATATTTTCATGGAGTTTTGTCCAGGCGGCTCCATTGCAACCATTTTGCGATCGTTCGGACCCCTTCCGGAGACTCTGATTGCGCTCTATACCAAGCAAATTCTGTTCGGCCTAGAGTACCTGCATTCCAAGAATGTGATTCATCGTGACATCAAAGGTATGGCGTTGAGGCGGTTTTTTTTTGTTGTTGTTGAAAATATGCAACCCAAGTGTGGCTCAATGCTTTTTGAAAACTCGTCGGCTCACTTTGTGCAATCTACAGGCGCGAACCTGCTGGTCGATGCGAATGGGCGCATCAAGCTGGCCGATTTCGGAACGGCGCGCAAGTTTGAAGAGCTGGGCACCGTGTCCAAGTTTTCGTTTGTGGGCACACCCTTTTGGATGGCACCCGAGGTCATTCAAAATCGGCCACAGACCTCCAAGGTCGACATTTTCTCTGTCGGATGCACCATTTACGAGATGGCGACCAGTCACCCGCCATTCTCCACGCTCGAAACAACCCAGGCCATCTTCCGAATTGGCACGCTCAAACGCATGATTCCCATCCCCGCTGAAGTGGTCCTGTCCGCCACAGCTGTCGATTTCTACGACTCTTGCACGCAAATCAACCCCGAAGAGCGTCAATCGGCATCGGTGTTGTTGCACCATCCGTTTTTGAAAGATGTTGCTGCTTTGTAAATGGTCTACTGTAGTTCTGTTGTGTGTATTTTTTTTGGCTGTTTGCTTGTGGTGTTTTTTGTGCTTTTGTTGATTAATATTCATCTTATCCGCTCGATAAACTCTGTGCCTTTGACGTGTTCATGTCAGCACAGTTTTGCGTTTTGTGTATTTGCGACATTTTCCAGTCGCTACAGTTGCGACTTGGCCTCCAAATACAGGTTGTTCTGTTGGATGTAATCCAATGCCGCGTCTGGAATCAGATAGCGCACCGATAGACCTCGTCGGATGTGGCGGCTGTGTGCGAGAGATTTGGTGAGTTGAAGGTCGCTTTTTGATTTCGCCAGCGATGCAATCCTTACCGAATGTGAGTCGAGCTGATTTCATTCCGGATGTGCTCGTGCACGATAGTGATGTTGTGCTTGCATCGAGAAAAAAACAGCAAAGGAAGCGGTCAGCAAACACAAAACTCAAATCTCTCAGAGTTCTCAGCATACCGAATGCGCATGAAGCAAATCCGACTCGTAAATGAACTTGAACGGATCTGAGGGCATGCGAGTGATGCACACAATGCCAAACTCGCCGACAATTTCGAGCAGCTGCGGCAAAGCAATCAATGACACACATGGATGGATGAAGTTGAGGTTGAGAAGATTTGCAGCCAAAGCGAAATTTGCCGCCGCAGGAAGCAAATTCGGTCTCACATCCTCCACTGCCCAGAGTCCAGGCGTCGCGAACGACTCGAGCAAATCTGCGCCGCAGAGCAACTTGACACGAATCTGGTCTGCATGATATTTGCATAAAGCGATGTGAGTGGGTCGGTCGTCAGGTCGTCAGCAGCAAAGCAGCAAAGGGTGAGATTCAGAGCTGACGCAAACTCTTTCATCATCATCATCGAAGCGCTCCGGGTCGGACCTTCTGCGCTGACGCCTTCGTTGACTTGGGCTCGAACGTGTCGCAGGACAGACACGGTGCGCTGCCACTCGGGGTTGGTGAGTTCCCAGTCATCCGTGCGAATCCAGGTCGAGTTTGCGACGGAAGCGCGGCACATTGCGAGCCGGTGCGACGCCGCCAGCAGTCCCTACACACACACAGATGCCACATGCCACGTCCGAACACGACAATGTAGACAATACAGAAAACATCGCCACAAGCAAAGTCAAAAAGCAAAAAAACACGGGGCGAACCATGAGTGAGCGCAATTGTTGAATCTGCTCAAGCCCTCGCTTCTGCTCAAAGTCCTCCTCACATCCTTCTTGTAGCCGTCGTTGACAGGCGAGATGACGCCGCCGACGACCTTGAAGCGACCGGTGGCTTGCAACGCATCGCGACCGAGTTCTAATGGAACGTAGTTGGGGGGTGAGATTGAGCGCTCAGAAAACCGGCTCAGAAAACGAGCTCAGACAATCAAGCCGATCGATGGATGAATGGATGGACTTGCCAAACATTCTCAGATGCATGTTTGTGATGGGATTGAACGATCCGCACGCCAGCAGAACGGCTCGCTGAACCGGCATTCTGGAACAATGAAAGACAAAAAGGACTGAGCACATTCAAATCCAGATCACAACATCACAGCTCATGCATTCACGATTCAAGATCACTATCAATGAGGTTTGCATTCCGAGTGAGTGAGTGAGTGAGCGGGTGCTCGACCAGCTCAGACCAGCGCAGTGATTGAGTTTGATCCGTCCAAAGCGCTTTCCATTCAATCTCAGACAATTTGCCACCATCGATATCTTAGGTATGGCTTTTTGCTTGCTCAGAAACCCACTCCAGTTTTTCTTTGCTTCTGTGCTTGTCTTGGTTGTCTCAGATTTCTTGAACGCGCGCAAAAACCGAGGCAAAATGGCTGGCGAGGACGACGGCGCGGCTGGCCAACCGGGCGACCCGGCGTCTGCAGCGGGCTTCAAGTACCTGACTGCGCACCAGCTGCAGGCGCTGCGGCGGTCGTCTGGGCGCGAGAATGCACGCAGCGTTGCCGATCTCACCGAGGAGGGCGAGTTGCGCGAGCACAAGGCCAAGGCCGCCGCGCGCCAGCTGCGACGATGCCTGCAGCTCCTCAAGCACGGCCAGAAGGACGACGAGAAGGTGTGTGCGGAACAACGCGTCGGACGAGGGGGGGGGAATGGACGTAGGGGTGACCTGAGGAACTGCACCAGAGAAGGGCAATTCAGTTCGTTCTCTGAGCAGCTACGCAAACGCAAAATGAACAGACTCACATACACACCTCCGAAAGAAGCCCCAAGAATGAAACAATGGCTCATTCTGACCACTTGGAACATTTTCCTCTGGCTTTAGGTCGTTGGACTGTTATTCCTCACCAAGCTCCTGCGGGCCAAAGACCATGCTCTCATTCTCCAGGTGCACGATGCCCTTGGATTTGCATTTCTCGATCGTTTGCTGATGACGGGCAAAGGTAACGAGCTTTTTTTTTCTTCTTGAAATCTATTGGAGGTTGTGATGTGTTGGTTTCAGCCAAACCCCCCCTTTCTCAACAAAAACATAAACTTTGCACTGGCTGCCACACACCCGCGGAACATGCAGAACCTTTGCCAGGTCAGCGAGTACCGAGTGCAATGCATTCGCCATCGGCGGGACTCACACCTGGGGACGCATCTCGATCGCCAATCACCGCCAGGCAGGCAGGACTGACACTGTCGCCCCGGTACCTCTCCGGTCGACCCACGTCTCCTCTGCTCATCCCGTCGTCATCTCCAGTGGACTCCAGCAGCGTCGAGTCCAGTGCACCGCCATCTCCAAGCGACATGAGCGACCATCCGTATCGAAAAACCAACTTTGCCGTCGATGACGATGAGCCTCCAGTATCGACGACCTTTGCCCCGGCTGTCTATCACAAACTAGCCTTGACCATATACGCGTCATTTTCCACCCTGGATGAGCTTGGTAAGCGATTTTGTTGGGCCATTGATGCGTTGCTTTTTTTTTTTGGTTTTGTTGGTTGGTTTTGTTGGTTGGTTTTGTTGGTTGGCTTCTGACGACTCGAGTGTGTGCCAACCACAACTACCACCGATTATTTTTGCTCCTATTTATCAGCTTCGGATCCAGAAATGCTTGCCAAGATTCCCCTGTTTCTCGAAATCATCCGAATTGGAGCCTCGGAGCAGTGGGTTTGTGACGCTGCCACTTGCATTGTCAACATCGCTGCCAGTAGCGACCGGTTGCTGCATGTCGCTGCGCATGGTGGTATTCCGCTGATATTGGATGCAATTGCACGAAATCAATTTGCCATGGGGCTGCTTCTCCCCCTGATTGATCGCTTTTCGCGCAAAGTGCCGTCGTTGCTCCTCGCCTACTGTCAGACTGAGATGGTCCGTGCGCTCTCTTCCCTGGCCAAGCGTCTTCGGTCGCCGCTCGAACCATTGCGAATGCCAATCTGCCACACGATAGCACAGCTGCTGACGCTGGCAACCCACCCCGAGGTGGTTTTAACAGAGAACGAGTTTGAGAATATGCCTCGCGCCGCACAGGTCAACCCGGCCTTCCGCGGGCACGAGTCTCCCTCCCCGTATGGCCTGACACCAAGTGGTTCGACCTCGTCCAACCCACCAGCCTCCACACACACCGTCACATTCGCCTCTCTTGCAAGTTTGGACGAAGGCGAGCCTCCTCGACAACCTGTCGCCCCGCTGCTCGAAACCCCGGCCCCGGCTGCTGCAGCAGAAGTACCAGTCGTAGCCGTCGCAGCAGCCGTTGCAGATGGTGTGACCACTCTTACGGACACGGCTGCCTCTTCCAGCGGGCATTCCACCCCTGGCACGTTGCTTCCGCCATCCCAGCAATCGATGGATTCAACTTCCCCCGAGTTGTCGCCAACCCGCGCGCGCAGTCCCACGGTGTCAAGCCCCAGCTTTGGCTCAGTAGCCATGCGTCGCTCATTCTCTCGCAGCATGTCTGAGCAGCGGAGCGATACTGGTCGTTCAAGCCCAGCATCCACGACGGACACTGAGGGGTCATCAACGCAAAGTTCTCAACCAAACCCACCCAGCACACTATCGCTGGCCGACAGAGGCCCCTCAAGTGACGTGCCTGTGCCACAGGAGGCCATCCAGGCTGTAGCGGCAGATGGCGCTAGTAGCAACACTGTTGTTCATGTCCCGTCCGCCGAAGCATCGGCATCGGCACCCTTGTTGCGCAGTATTAACGATTCCAACAACAAGGCAAACAACGCAGTCGAATCTACACCATCCGCATCTGACCCATTGTCACGGAACGACTCGATCACTGCAAGCAACGCGCAGGAGTCGAAACCACCGCCAACTTCCGACTCGAACAATGCACGTCTTCCGTCAGCAACCCCAACCCCAGTCGTCGCCAAATCTGATACAGGCAGCACCCCATCAGACGCGCCAGACGCGCCAGACGCGCCAGACACACCAGTCACCCACGCCGACAGTGCCTCCAGCGCAATAGCAGTTGGGGAAATTTTGGGCATGATCGCTCGGCGACCGGCTCCACTCACACGTGCTCGATCTGACCAGGCGCTTCTCGCATCCAACGAGCTAGATCTTGCTCGGGTCAATCGCCATCGCCGTGTCTCGATTGCCGCCCAACAGACTACCGTCTCTGCACCAGATGGCTCGCCGGCCGATGGAAGCAGCGCTCACAGTGGCGAGTCGCACACTCCTCCGACGCCCGGTCCGCCATCTGGTGGGTTATCTGCAAGCCATAGCCACGGTAGCAACACTTCATTATCAAGCCAGACAAATTCCACAGATGGGAGCCATGCAGGTGGACCTACCACACCTGGCGGAGGTCCTTCTTCGGCGGCTCCGGCGCACTTGCGACGCGGTGCTTCTGGCATATTCCATCGCAGAAAGTCATCCTCTGCCTCGTTTGATGAAATAGCCTCGCGTCGCTCTGCCTTCGCTGCCAATCCCTTGAAGCTGTTCAAGCGTCAAAGCAGCGTCAGCTCGGACACAATTGCGGAAGTCGTGCTCGCACTCGAAGCCGCAGAAGCCCAGGAAGAGTCTGGAAACGCTGCTGGTCGGCGTGCCTTTTCCCGTTCTCAGTCAGTGTCATCGCGCGGTCTGGCACGAAGTACCAGTGCAACGCGCGACATGTCGTCGCCATTTTCCGCCAGCTCCACTGCCAGCTCGGTTGCCATGCCGGGCTCTGTGCCCACGACACCAGGAGGGGGCACCTTACGCCGCCGAGGAAGCATTCCGAGCTCAGTGGCGTCCGCCAAAGCCGAGGCAGGCGCGACCCTCTTCCGCGACCTTTTGATGGACTCTGACCAGGCGAATTTGCGCTTTGAGCTGCAAGCGGGTCTGGCGTACACCATTCTTGTTGCAGCGTCGGCCGCTACGTCTTCTGCCCAAGCTTCTGTGCTGCTCTCTGTGGCACCGACCGATTTGCGCCTGGCCGTGCTGGGCGTTGTGCACCAGCTTCTCGAGCTGTTTGGCGTTGAGCGCCTCATGGATGCTTGGTTCCAGGGTGTGCGTCTCACCCTTGGCGGGCACCGCATTGTCGCCAGCCTGTCAAGGGCAGCAAAGGCAACAGCTACCGGTCCGGTGGCGCGGGGCTCGGGTGCAGTCACCCCTGGAACGCCTAGCACGACCGCCACAGCCGCGCCTGGGTCAACCTCGTCTCCGCCTGGACCCCATACTAGCTCGGTGGGAAACGCGCGTCGTAACATCCTCGCACAGCGCCGCCTGACCTTGTCCACAGCCGACAGCGCAGCCGCCGCTGCAGCAGCTGCGGCATCTGCGGCCGCTGCGGCCTCCGCCGCTGGGCTCCAAAGTGCCATCACCCTGGCCCATGTTTTCGAGTCGCCTTTCCTGGTTGTGGCGATGCGCACAGCCAAAGACGAAGTGATGCAAATTGTCGATTCGGACTTTGCCGACATCAACGTCACGTCGACAAACCTGCTTGCAGTGTGCTTTGCGATCGCAGAGCACAGCATGACCTTCTCGCGCGATTATGGCGATCTCGATCACGACGCCGAAGCCGAGACGACAGGTGGGTATCGACCCCGCGTTGACTTTGAGCAGCTCATGCAAGAGATGGACGAGAATGCCGCTTCCGACGATGCCGCGTCTTCTGCTGCCAGTTCTGCGTTTACTCGCTTCTCGCCCGAGAAGCAAGGTGTTGGCAGGCAACAAAACTACGACTCGCAGTCGACCAGCGTGGCCTCAACGCCATACAGGTCGCTTGCCGCCTCTCGAGAGAACATTTTCACCTTCAACCGCCGTCCGTCGCTCTCCATGGCCCACTTTCCATTGAATGACATCCATGACAACGAGTTTCGCAAAACGGTGGCCGGAAGTGCGGCCCAGCTGTTAGACTCTGTGCAGCTCATGGTTCGCAGCGTTGTTCGATTTGTCCGAGAAATTGAAGTGAGTTGGTTGTCTTGGATCTTGCACTTGTTGGATATTTTTTTGGGGGCTGACTTGACGGATGCTGTTTGACGTTGTAACTGACCTCGTTTGCACCCTTTGCTTTTTTTTTTTTTTTTTTTTTTTTTTTTTTTTTGCTTCCAAGAACGCCGAGTCCACCCAATCTTCGCTGTATGAACCCGTGGCGCTGTCGTGCCTGCGCTTGTTGGCACTTTGGCTATCCGACGAAGGCTATGCTGCACAAATCGATGCACACACTGTCTTTAGTTTCTTCTTGTCCTTTTTAGCGCGCCGCCGACGCTCAGACGAGCCCGTGACGGAGGACCCTTTCACCCTTCTCCTTCCTGGTCTCACCCACCTCGTGTCCCAGAGTCTGGTGCGCACCTATCTTGTCAAGCACCGACTTGTGCAGCTGACAGCCTCCTTCTTGGCTCGATGCGTTGCTGCTATTCGGATTACGCTGCCAAGGAAGGAAACACTCCAATCCAAAAGCCAGACAAACCACCCGCCCGCCAGAGTTCCTCTGTTGCGGTCGCGCTCGTGGTCGGCACCACAACATCCCGCCAGCCCTGTGCCAGATGCAAAGAATCGTGATGCAGCCTCTTCTACTGAAAGTGCATCCGACTGGGTTGCCGCCAGTGTTGCCGTGCTGGGCATCCCCATTGAGGACATTGAAGTTCATACCAACCGTGCCATGCAAGTTCTGACCAGCATTCTTGAACTCGACGCCAAGCTTGCAAGGCTCAACATTGGCGAGTTCCTTTCCTCCTGGCCGATCCTGGCTTGGGTGATACAAAACGGTACGAATTTTACGTTGGTTTGTTTGTTTTGTTTATTTTGTTTGGTTGGTTTTGTTTCTTTGTTTCGGTGTTTGTTTTCCGAGTCCGAAAGGCGGTTTGGCTGCTGTGGCGTAAATCACCTCCGTACTGACGTCTCTCTCTCCCCCGATCTATTTGTTTGTGTACAGTTGACTTTGAGTTGCATCCCAAGTTGATGCTGCATGCTGCCGTTCTCAACTTGTCCATCTACTGCCGCGCATCTCGAGAGTCAGAACACCCTGGTTTGTCGCAGCCCCGCTCAGTGGTGGACTTGTGTTTGCGATGCATGTGCAAGGCTTTTGCCTTCTACGGATTGGCGAGGACAGATGACACCTGGGAGGACCTTGTTGACGCCTGGACTTCGGGACTCAAAGGTAAGTCTTTTTTTTTTCTGGTTTCTCTGCACAGGCTGCCCATTGTACTTCCTATTTGCAACAATGCTCACTTTTTCTGTGTTTTTTTTCGATTTGTTTGTTTGTTCGATTGTTCGTTTGGTTCGTTTTGTCTTGTGAACATCCTGGCAGCTCTAGATGAAATACTCCACAATCCCAATACTCGGCTGTTGGTTTCACTACTCGATTCTGGAGACTTTTGCGAGCAGTTGCTTCGCTGGCATCGAGGTATGAATGGCTGCACATGGTTGCCAATTGGAACGCACAAAGCGGGCTGTGAACCAACTCATCTCCCACCCTTCTCCCTCCACTACAGCCCGCGCTTCTTTGGCCAACGAGCGACCAGCCACCCACGAATTGCTGGATCGAGTTATTCGAACGTTCGCCGAGCAAAGCAATCGCTTCAAGACCGAAGCCCGATTGCGCCTCGCACTTCTCGGTGTGAAAGTTGCTGCGTTTAATTGATTCTTGTGCTTTGGTGTGTGTGTTGGTGACATCAAGTGACTTTGAATTAGATTTCAGAATTCATCAACAGCCACGCATTTCGTACAAATCGTCAGACTTTGAAGCTTTATTTTGTTTGAATCAAGATTGAGAGCTACTTGCGGTTGAGGTCTGAGCGCAATCCAGGCTTCGAAGCTCGAGGCTCAGATGATGCTACTGCGACCCTAGGCTTTGCAACGCGGGCTGCCTGCTTTGAGGTGGCTTGGGAAGGCTGGGATTCGCCTGAAACCCGACGATTCGCGGTTTGCAGGATGGAAACGGCACTCGGACACAGTTCTGTGGCGAGAGTGAGTGCCGTCCGCCCCTTCTTGTCTCTGGCTTGAACATTTGCGCCGTGAGCCACCAACCACGCAGCAACTTTGCAAACGGCCGCTGGCGGCGCGTCCTTTCGGATGGCCAGCATCAGAGGGGTCGCTCCGAAACTGTTCGACGCGTTTAGGTTGACGCCAGCGGCGAGCAGCAGGTCAAGAACCTCCAAGCCTCGTTCAACAGATCGCAGGGCGCCAGACACGGCTGCGGAAATGACGGGTTGGCCAACGGCGAGACCGGCACTGCGGGCAAGCAAGACTCGAACAATGTCGGAATGTGCGCGTGCACAAGCCGCCTGCAACGCAGTCCCACCGAGTGAATCAATGTGGTTGGAATTGGCTCCCATAGCGAGCAACAAACGAACTGTTTGGAATTGGCCGTGCTGTGCAGCCAGATAAAGCGCAGACCGATTCAAATCACGGGTGACCGCGGAAACATCGGCGCCAGCGTCAATGAGCACACGCGCACACTGAGTGAAGCCAAGTTGTGCAGCGATCAGGAGTGGGGTGTCTCCGCTGGCATCCACTTCATTCACATTGCCGCCGGCTTGCACGACGGTCAGCAGCTGGTCTGCTCGGCCTGCGTTGGTAGCGACAAAGACGGGGGACTTTGAGAAAGACCGCTTCGGAATAGGATGAGCGTCTGCATTTGCTGTCGGCCGTGAACGCAGTGGCGGCTGAGGCGCAGTTTGCTCAATGTCTGTCCTTGTCTTTGAACGAGCCGTCGCAGGAGGAAGAGGAGCAGTGTTGGAAGCCGAAGTCGGTCTCGTAATAACAGGTGAAAGCGCTGCAATTGAGCGTTCCGCCTGAGGCCTTGGTGTGGATTGAGTCGATGTTTTTGGTTGAGAATTGCGAGTCATTGCTGGAGCAGTTGCAACGGCAGGTGAGGTGCTATTTTGAGGAGCTCCAGTGCTTGTGCTTGCAGCAGCAGGAACTGGGCTTGCAACAACAGGAACTGGGCTCGCAGCAACAGGAACTGGGCTCGCAGCAACCGGTACTGCTTGGTCGTCAAGCTTGGGACTGGCCGTGGAGGCGGCGGCTGCATCGGCAACCGGAGGGAGAGCGTGGGACGGCTCGATTCTAGCTGCAGGGGCAAATGACGCACGTATGGTCGAGGTTGAGGCGTACTCCATAGCCTTCTTGCCAGCAGCATCAAGAATGTTCGCGTCGGCACCAGCCGCCAGCAGGACCCGAACACAGTGGACATGGCTTGCCATGGTGGCACGGTGAAGAGCAGTCTCACCACGCTTGTTGACCGCATTGACGGGAGCACCGGCGAGCAGCAGCGGTGGGAGAGCTGCAAAGTTGTCGTGGACGGCATGGTGCATCAGGACCGTATTGCCGTCGGTATCTGCCACATTCACATCGGCTTTACCGGCCAACAAGTATCGCACGGCTGAGAGTTCGGCGAGCATAAGCGCGGTGGCTTGCGTGGGCCCCGTCGTTGCATCCACGTTTGCGCCTGCTGCCAGCAGCTCTCGCACCATGTCGACGTGCCCGCGCGAAGCCACATACACCAGCGCCGTCAAGCCGTTTCCAATAGTCTTGTTGGCGTACTCTGGATGTTGGTGCAAGAGCGTGCGCACTGCCGGGATGTCTCGAGCGAGCAGTGCTGCAAGGAATCTCTGGGAGTCGGCGGTAGAGCTGTTGTTGGCCAGCAGCAGCGTTGCTTGCTGTGAGACAGCGTCCGAATCACGGTCACTGCCAGGAGGGCTGCTTGTTGTGCTGTCGGTGGCGCTGTTCGGTCCGACCAGACTTGGCGAGTCGGCGACCACTGGGGAGGAGGTTGGCGGATGAGTGCCAGGCAATGCCGCCTCGGCTAGAGCCTCATTGCTCGCACTAGCCTTTCTCAATGCACTTTTCGACTGCGGTGCGAATGGCCGCAGCGTGGCAGCTGCAGCAGCACTTGTCGTCTGCGAGTCAAAGAAGGTCGGCTTGGTCTTGAGTGGCGCAGGCTTGCGCGGCGTCTTGGCCGATCGTGCTGTCGGCTCATGGCTGGCTTCTCCATCTTGATCGCTGCGCACTGTCCTATCTGCTCGCATCCCAGCTGCAGCTGGTTCGTGGTGGCTGCTGCGACCTGGCTCCGGCTCTACTGCAGCGTTGGTCGATGTCGATCCACGCCGCGCGGACGTCCTCCTGCCGGCCACCATGGCCAGATGGCTGTGCGGTGATCCACCCTCGAGTTTCTTGGCGATCGCGGGCGGGACTGGCAGCGCAGTCGTCGATCCACGGCTCGGGTCGCCAAGCACACGCGCCCAAGCCTTTGCCTGCAGCTCGGGCGACAGTCCCACCACCGGCGCACTTGCCGATGCAGATCCAAGTCCTGGTCCAAGTCCAGAGTCCGGTTCCGACGACGACGACGGCGACGCAGACGCAGTGCCAGAGCCTTGTCCAGCGCCGGCTTTGCCTCGCAGCAAGAGTGCTCTGCGACCAGCCGCCGCGGCAGTCGATCGGAGTGCAGTCAGCATGAATGAGGGGGGTTTTCTAAGTCTCAGTATCTCACGAGTGAAGCAACCTGCAACAATAGAAGTCCGACACACACAAGTAAACAGAAGACTGAGTTTTCGCACTTTTCTGAGAAAACTGGTCAAGAAATTTTCCAAATCAACGCATATTGAACAAACAACAATGCATAACTACAGCAGCAATAATATCATACAATGTCAGCTCCAGTCCAATCGATAGTTCACTCTTTCTTCTTCTTCTTCTTCTCAGTCGCTTTTGATCTTCTTCGCTTTTCTGAGACATGGCTGAAGCGGCAGCAACGCCAACGCGATGGTCGAGCATATCGGTTTGTCCAATTCTTGGGTGTTGTTGTTGTCCCTGAGCTTTGAGAATGAGAACGAGAATGAGAGAGAGAGAGAATGAGAGAGAATGAGAATGAGAGACAGGTCGGTTGAGAGCTGACTGAGCAAATTCGTGGAAACAAAACCTCAAACCGCGGAATTTCGCTACTGATTCACTCACTGATCGCCCTACCGTTTTCTTGACTCTGGTTGCATACTCTTTTGTGACCACAACTCGTTATGATTCTCCCTACTGCTGCTGCTGCCTGCAGACGCACCCGGAGGCCACTGCCATCTACGGCCGAGACTTTCCTCTCGAGTTGCGACATTACTTTGCGCAGTGGATTGAAGACCAGCCATGGTAACCCCCCACCAAAAGCCAAATGCTCTGGCTCGATGATGACTGTAGCACTGTCATCCTGCTTGTATCATACTCACGAGAGTATGTATGGGTTTGGATTCCAACGCAATTGGTGGGCGGAATCATCACAGGGCGACGATGGATCCCGACAACCCCGAGCACTACGAGAGCATCAAGGTTTGGCTCAATTCATGAATCATTCATGGATCATTCATCGATCGAACATTCACTGATGATGAACTTGGTCATGACGAGATATTATGCGCACATGTTGAATCTCTCACTCGGTGATATTGACAGGACCGCGTGCAAACACTCGGCGAGATGCTTCACGCCAAGATTTCTCAGTACCGCAGCAGTTGTTTTTGATGTTTTTTGTTTTGGCTCGTTGAGGAGCTGTTCAAAGCGTGAAACTCACTCACTGTGACACAGACTTGCGGCTTCTGGTTCGGAAGACAAATTCCTCCTTCAAATGCGGCTGCAGACGATTGCAGCAGAGTACCAGTTGAGTGACGGCGTGATTTTGGTTCTTGCCATTCCCTTTTTATTGTGTCATCCTGCGTGCTCACCTCCGCCTCTTCTTCCCCCCCCCCTCCTGCACATACATGCCCTATTGCATCTTGACAGTGCGACATTCGACGAAAACCCAACCGTGTTGGTGCGCATTCTCAAGACATGCATGGAGCGCGAACTGATCGTCTGGGCCAAACTGCACGGGTTGGAGTCGTCAGGGTTGGAGGCTTCAGGAATGCAGCTGCTGGATGGCATGTCGGCGATTTCTGCGCTCGCAGCCTTGCCACAGAGTGCCCCCGAGGCACACGAGCGCGACGACATTTCGTTTTTAATGATGGGGCCTTCGAGCACGTCGAGATCGTCCGTCCCCGTCGCTCTCAACTCGTCGAGCTCTTTGCTGGGATCCTTGCCTCACGTCGAAGGGGGAGCCCGCGCGTTGGCCGTTGAAGTGTCGGACGCTTCGGGCGCCGCTGCCCACCAACTTGCAGAGTGCGTGCGGATTGCGGCACACAAGGCGCAGGCCACCCTGCATCACCTTGTTGGCGACACGCAGCATGTAGACAACGAGTTGAAGCGATTGCAGCAGATGCAAGAGTATTTTGTGATTCAGTACCAGGAATTCTGCCAGCTGCAGGCCGTTTTGCAACGCTCGCCACGCTCGGATGCTGCGCGCGGCCAGATTGAGCTTGTCAAGCGGCGCAAGCAAGAGGTTGGCACCACCCTGTCAACGGAGGCCAACAACATCATCGCGCTGATGCAGTCCCTCAACCGTCAACTGCAAGCCAACATGGGCGATATTGCCGAGCTGCAGCTCACCGTCCTGCCAGACGCACTCCAGGCTTGGCAGCGAGCACAGCGTCTGGAAAGCGACGACGCTGACCAGCTTGACAGTGTGCAGGCGACCTGCGAGATGATTGCTGAGGCTCTGTGGCGCTCACGCGAGCAGACGCGCGCGTTGTTGCTTTTGCAGACGCAGCTCCCGTTTGACCGCAAATCGTACCACCAGCCCGTCCAACAGAGTGGCAGCCACACGCCGTTCGTGGCCCAACTCAATTCCCACAGTCCTCACCATGCCCGGAACTCCAGCTCGCACCACCACATGGATACCGCCACTCCCGCGTCTTCCACGTCTCCAGTCAACAGCTCGCCGCAGGCAACCTTGTCTCCTCGACCCGGCAAGAGTCGCTCGTCGTCCTTGTCCGCATCCGCCTCTCCAGCATCTGGCCTGTCTTCCATGTCCATCAGCAGTGGGAGCAACGCTGGCGGCATGAGCAGCAACAGCTCGGCAGCAGCAATGGACACCGAAGGCGCCACAAACACGGCAGCCTCGATCAGCAGCAATGGCATGGTTTCGCTGGAGGACTTGCACATTCGCGCCACTCAAATGCTCGCGTCGCTTATCGGTGCGACGTTTGTCGTGGAGACGCAGCCACCACAGGCCCTCAAGACGCAGTCCAAGTTTAGCGCGCAGGTGCGGCTGCTCGTTGGCCGGACACTCAACCTCCACATGTCGCCACCCGAAGTTCTCACGACCATCATTAGCGAGGCGCAAGCCAAACAAGTTGCCCAACAGCCCGCCGTGACCGTCACCGACGGCAAGCGCGCCAGCCAGCCGACCTCCATTCCCGAAGACTTTAACGCTGGCGACATTCTAAACTGCCGCAAAGCAATGGAGTGTCACCAGCCTTCCGGCGCTCTCCGCGTCATTTTCAAGAATCTTTCCCTGAAAAAGATCAAGCGCGGTTCCAACAAGGACGAGGTAGATTGGCATTTCTGGTCGATTTGTTCAACGATGATGATGATGACGATGGTCGGGTTTTGTAGTGCTCTTGGGACTCACCGTTGTGTTTACACCTTGGAATGTGAACAGACCGTCACTGATGAAAAGTTTGCACTGTTGTTCCAGTCGACCTTCTCTGTCGGAGGTGGAGAGCTGCTTGTTGCCGTGAGAACTCTGTCACTTCCTTGCGTCGTCATTGTTCACAACAACCAGCAACACAGCGCCGAAGCGACCATTCTGTGGGACAATTCTTTCGCGACTATGGTGAGGACCTTTTTTTTTTTTTTTTTTTTTCGCGTGCTTGTGCTTCAGTTCGTTCAGTTGAAGACCATCCCATTTTGCTCACATGGGACCGTTGTATGTGCGTGCGGCAGGATCGTGCTCCATTCGAAGTTCCAGAAGTCGTTAGCTGGCCCGACATGTTGACCGCTCTGCAGCACCACTTTTCACTGGCCACGCAACAGCCCTTGTCTCAGCGCGATCTCGAGTATCTGACTTGGAAGGCTTCAGGTACTGTTGCTGTCGAGGTGATTGACGATGCAAAGTTTGAGATTGCTCACTCGAAGATGTCGCGGTCGATCATTTGACGCGGACACACACAACACAGACTTGATTATCAACGAGAGCATCACGTGGAAGCGCTTGACAAAAGAAGCGCTGCCCGATCGCACCTTTACGTTCTGGGACTGGTTCTTTGGCGCAGAGGACGTGATCAAGCGTCATATGCTCGAGACGTGGCAGGATGGGTACGAAGCAGCAAAACCGGTTGCAATGTGTTGGAGCAAAAAATCCCCTCAATGTCCCAAATTCTTCCAACTGACTGCGTTTTGGCATTGTCCTGCTACAGTCTCATCATGGGCTTCTGCAACAAGCAACAGGCGCACGACTTGCTGATCAATTGCGTGCCCGGCACATTTTTGCTCCGCTTTAGCGATTCCGAGATTGGCGGCCTTACCGTCGCGTGGATTACGGAAGACGAGCGAGGTTGGTTGTTCTTTCTTTGATGAAGATGATTGATTCAAAGCGCGCCCAAAAATGATTGACTCACCCGACTTGCCGATTCTCTGATTCATTTTTAGGGATGAGGCAAGTCTTCAATTTGCATCCGTGGTTTGCCAAGGACTTTGCCATTCGCGCCCTAGCAGATCGGTACGAAATGCATTGAATCACTTGCATTGACTGCGATCGATCGTCCACTTGCTCATCCTTCATTGTGATTGCTTTCCTCCTTGCTTCCGAGCAGCATCCATGACTTGCCTCAGCTGCAATTCCTCTTCCCGGACACGCCGAAAGACGCCGTTTTCGGACGGCATTACTCGGTTGAGACTGCACATGTGACCTCCAACAATCCGGATTACGTGCGCTCCAGCATTGCGGCTGTCATTCCCGGCAGCGTTCCGTCCTTCACCATGCCCATTGTGAACGACCAGTTCTTGATGAAGGCAGACGACAGCTCCAGCAGCATGATGCACCCGACCTCGTCGAACCTTTTGGATCTCGTCGGTATGGGCGTCGGCATGGGCGTTGGTGATGCAGACGCGGGCCAGATGAGCTCGCTGGACTGGAGCACCTTTTTGGAGTCTCTCGCCGAGCCGATACCGCAGTTGCAGCACGACGGCATCTGAGATCTTTGAACTCACGTTTTCTGGCTTGCCATTTATTGTTGGTCTCACAAGGTGTGAATTTGAAGATAATGTTTTTTTTTAGATCAAGTCACCATCAATAAATGGTGGCAATTAAAATTACAATAAAGAAAAAAACAATAAATCGATCCGCAGAAACTTTATGTTACAGCGCGAGCAGGGACTTGCCAAAGCGTGACTGATGGTGAATCGACTGGTGGCGCAGGCTCGGCCTCCGAAGTGAGCAGCTGGGGCCTCTCTCCGCTGCAGGTAGCAATGATTGGGAAATATGGATGGATGCTGATACCATTGATTGGCGACTGCGAGTGCGCCTGGAAGGAAGCCTTTTCATCCGCCTTGAACAGCATAGTGGATGGTGGTTTGTCGGGCGAGACAGAAGGGGTATCTGCGGTCGGATTCAGCCAATCGGAAGACACCATAGACGCGATCGAGAGGAACGACGGCAGCCAGTAAGCGCTGGCAATGCCACGATCGCTCCCGGCCACCATCCAGCCAGTGCTGCCCGAGACTGCACCCTCCAAGTCAAAAGCGAGCCGTTGGTAGCTCGAACAGCTGCGCGCAAACCGACACAGTGGGAAAGCCATGTTGCGCAAATCCCACGCAACCATGTCAGGCGACTTGCGACCACCAGCGATGAGATAGCGATTATCTGGCGTAATTGCTAGCTGCGTTATACCGCCAGAAGGGCCCGCGAGGAGGTCAATAACAGGATTATCCGACGCCGAGCTGTACAGCCCGACGGTGCCGTCGTACGAGCCTGCAGCAAAGTACGGAGCGTTGTCGCTTGGAGTTGCGAAACAAGAAATAATGCCACCTTGTTCGACAGGATGATGGGCATTGTTGTTGGCTGCGGGTCGTCGAACAGGCGTCGCTGTTTGGTCTGCGTTGTTGCGCTCCTGTCGCAACGCACGGCGTAATCGTTTCCCTCGTGCGCGCAGTCGTAATGAAGTGCACTCTCGACCGGGACGCAGTGTATCGAAAATGTCGATGAGGTCTTGATGCCCACACATCAGCCGCGTCCCGTCTTGCGAAAATCCAAGCGAGAACGGACTGGCAATTTCGTCCTTGTCGTCGTACGACCGGTAGCTACAGCGTGTTTCTCCGGTATACGCGTCAACTAGATGCACCGGGTGTGCGCGAGCTGTCGTGGCAAAGCACGCCGTCGCAGGATCGACGGAACTGTTCATCTGCGGATACCATGCAAAGTCGTAGATGGATTCGCCGCGGGTCGTCTGGAGAAACGGCAGCCATTCGCCAGCCGTGGGCACGAGTTCCTCAAGACTGTCTTTTGACGTCATGCCCAGCTGCTCGTGGTTGGACGATGACGCGTTATGATTGTTACTTGCGGTAGAATTGCTCAGTGTCTGAGCGTGCTCTGATTTGGGTTGATCTGTGTCTGGTTCCGGAGCTTGCTGATCGGCTATTGCATAATACGGCAATGCGAACAATCGCAATGTATGATCACTTGCGCCAACGAGCAGGCACGATCCATCTGGCGCCCACTTGCACCCCTATTGCAGAGCGAGGTAAAACGCAACGCACAACAGGTTGTCAGTAATGTACGACCGCATCAACTTCCCCACCCCAAAGATCAATATTGCAAACATGGGCAACACGATTGAATTCAGTAGTAGTACTTGGAAGTAGTCGAGCGACGGCCTTGTTGCAGCATGGCGAGCAGCGAGCGGGCACGACGACGACGACGACAATCTCAGTGCGCCTGTCGACCCCAGTGTTACCGATGGTGATGATGATGATGATGATGATGATGATACTAGTGATGATGATGACGATGATGATGATGATGATACTAGTGATTGGGCGAGCAGGACGTCCGCTGCAGTGCACTCGGCAATGCGACTGCGACGCCCGCTCACCAAATCCATTCAATAGAACAATAAGAGAACTGGATATGGAGGTCAAGCTCAGCTGTAGTATGGTAATAAATGCGTAGGTTTGTGTGTTTGTGTGTGTTTTGGTTTGACTGTGCTCTGAGCTGAGATTTGCGACCTTTCGCAGTTTCTCAGACGCAGTCCAACTTTCTTACGTTTTTTGTTAGAATGTCGTCGTCCGAAGTGCCAAAGTTCACGCTGGACAAGCCGAGGCAGGTTTCCCCCCCCCCCTCATCGTTTTAAATCAAGCACATCGTGTGGCGGGGGAAGGAGGAGGGGGAGCTGGAAGCTGAGCTACGGCGAACTGAGCTATTGAGTGAAGGTCATTGAGTGAGGCTTCATTCGGGCGTTCGATTGAAACGAGGATGGAATGAGGCTTCACTTGGCTTTGGGACTGAGTGAGTGTCTCTGAAGCGGCTGCAATGAGGTGAGTGAGTGAGTGAGTGAGTGAGTGAGTGAGTGAGTGGAAGTCCATTGCGTTTGAGATTTTGAGTGAGATTTTGAGCAATTTGGATTGCGCAAGGACTCGCTTCCCACTTTGACTTGACTTTTGTTGGAACGACTGACTTGCATTGAGTGAGGTTGAGAGAGTGATAGAGTGATAGAGTGATAGGGTGATAGAGTGATAGAGTGGATGAGAGGCACAAGACGTGACCGTTCCCTTCCCCCCCACCATACATTGACCTCCTTGGCTGCTTGTGCGTCACGTCCGATTCCACAACACCAACTTCCCCCCCCCCCATCTTGGCTTTGTGCAGGTACGACCAGTCGGCGTTCAGCGGACGCGTTCGCCACTTCTTTGACCTCGTTGATCCAATGCTGCTGCTTACGTCCGACGCCAAGCTCAAGGAGTCTGTCGACCTGCTCGCTGCGTTCAAGGCTGGCAAGATCAACCCGGGACAGCCCGGACAAGTCACCGACGCGCAGATGTGGGAGGCCCGCAGGATCAAGGAGGCCATTCTGCACCCAGACACGAACGAGCCCATCCCCGCAGTGTTCCGGATGAGTGCGTTCGTCCCGGCGAACGTCCCAATCATTGCTGGCATGCTCATGTCGCCTCCGACGGTGCTCAACACGGTCATGTGGCAATGGATCAACCAGACATTCAATGCTGGTTTCAACTACAGCAACCGAAACGCCAACGCGCCCCAGTCCACTGCCGAGATTGCCACGGCGTACGGCGCTGCGTCTGCCATCTCGGTGGGCACGGCTGTTGGTCTGGGCGAGCTCGTCAAGCGCGCGACCAACTTGCCTCCCGCCGTGCGCGGCGTTGTTCGCACCGTCGTGCCGTTCGTTGCCGTCGCCTCAGCTGGTGTTGCCAACATGTACCTCATGCGCCGCGGCGAGGCCGAGACGGGCATCGATGTGCGCGACAGCGAGGGCAACCTCGTGGGCCGCTCCCAGGAGGCCGGCAAGATTTGCCTGAAGCAGGTCGCCGTCACGCGCGTCCTCCTTCCCGTACCCATCCTCATTCTCCCGCCCGTGATTATGAGCGGCCTCAACCGTACCGCCTTCCTCAAGAGCAACCCGCGTGTCCGCATGGCCGTCGAGGTCGGCGTCATTGCTGGCGCCATCTGGGGTGCCTTGCCCCTTGCCATTGCCACCTTCCCTCAGGTCATGCCGGTGGAGACGTCCAAGCTCGAGACCCGCTTCCACCAAATGCGCACACCCAAGGGCGATCCCATCACAACTCTCTATTACAACAAGGGTGTGTAAGACACAGCTGCCTGTTTTTCTGTAGTCCCAACAACTTCCAATAAAAGCATCGAGTACCAACAACCAAATCATTTTCGCAAGTATCGGGGGGGGGGGGCAAAGTGGAAAAGAAATTGAGGTTTAAGCTTTTTTTTTTTGTTCATTTGTGATGCACTCGAGGCGGATAACAAAAACAAAGCAGCCCTTCACAAAGATCGCATCATGTCTTAAACTTGGCGGCCTGCTCGCGGACGCGCTTCTTGTACAGTTCAGGATTGTTTCTAATGAGAGGTCGGATGCTCAGATATGAGACTCAACAAGCTCGGTTTGAAGAACTCGACCACGCAACCAAACACTCCCCCCTTGTTTGTTACCTCAATGTGTCGTACGCATCCACTTGTGCTGGGTCGAGCAGGTTAGGCTCTGTTAGCAATCCTTGAATGCCCAGAAGAATCTGCGCCAAGAAGCCCATATGAGCACGGATGACCGAAATTAAGAAAAACAAAAACAAAAACAAAAACAAAAACAAGCCAAGAGTAAATTTGTACCTGCTTAATAGTAATTGCTGGACGCCAGTCTTTGTCAGCATCCAACAACGACAGGCAGACGGTGCCCGAGGGGAAGACGTTCGGGTGGAAGAGCGGAGGATCAAACTTGCCTGTTTTTGAGTCAACGCAAGGGTTGTTAGAGCTGGTCGCGCAAGGATGAGCATCCAGTCCGTCTGAACACTAACACTTTGGAGGCAGCGATGGAAAGTCCTCTGAAAACAGCATTCGCAGCTTGTACGTCCCGCCTTCCCAGTCAGACTGTAATTCAAGCGAAAGAGAGCACGTTAGAAACAAACAAACGGATTCAAAATCCAAACCAGAGGTCTCCTCGCAACAAACACCAAAAATACAAGTTCAAGCAAGACAAAAGCCTCTCAGAAATAAACAACAATCCCAGAATTTCAAAATCTCTCAGAAAGAACAAAAAAGCGCGCGAAAATCGTTACCTCTTTCTTTCCGGGGATGCCTGCAAAGCAGAAAACAAGAAGCGGAGCGACGCGCCAGTTGTGAAAAACCGAGCAAAATCCACGATTATCGGAGAGTTCGCGTTAGAAAACGGCAGACGACGATTGAGAAGCGAAGCAAAAAGCAGAGTGAGTGAGTGAGTGAGTGAGTGAGCGAGTGAGTGGAAGTGGAACGGCAACAGCACGCCCGAGCAGGTCAACCCGAGGACCAGCACCCAAGATGCATAAACAAGCGAGAATAGACATCATTGATGCTCTGGTTCGGAGCGGCCACCGATGCTGATGATGATGGGGGGTGCGCAGCGACCACACGAGCCAAAGTACAGCAAACTCGCTCTTGTCGTCCATCGAAGCGAAGGCAGTGATGGAAGAGACTCACCGCACTCCCATTCGAGCATGTTCATGCTGCCATCCGGAAGCGTCGCCGGTCTTGCGTAGAAGCCCTGCCAAAGAGAGCGAGAGAGAAACAGAGAGAAACAGAGAGAGAGAGATGAGCAACATGGTCGTCGACAGGATCGACTTGCCACAGCCTACTCTCGCTCAGAACTGCACATTCACAAGGCAAACTAGGTGGATGGGGGGGGGGGGAAACACAAATGGACAAGCACGCACAAAGGGATGGTCGCGGCGGAAGGCCTTGCGCTCCTCACTGAGGCGCTGCTGAGCAATCGACATGTTGGTTTACCCGAAGACTGAGCTTAGCAGCATCTCAATCTTTCTATTTTACTTGGTCAAACGAACAAACGAGGGCTGACGAATGGGTGGAAGGGAATGGGTGAAACGATGAAAGCTAAACCTAAATGTTTGAAGGATTCTTGCAAAAACAGAACAAAGTAGAAGCTGATTCATTCATGATACAAATAACAAAACAAGGCAGACGCGTTGACAAAAGAGACCAGCGCAGCTGTGTCCCTTGAACGTCGCAGCGGAACGAAGAACAGCTCACTTTTTTCTCCTGACACGGATTACGTCAACGTAATCGTGTGAGATGAATGAGTGGAGAAAACGAAACACGGTGAACACACGAAGAGAGGATAAAATGATAGCTTGGAGAGAAAGCTGTGGATAGAATGAAGCAAGAGAGAAAGAAAGAAAACATGCAAGCGGAAAAAAAGAACGATGGAAAACTAGACAAAAGTAGAAGGACCCCAAATGTTAAAGCTCGGATTGGGAAGCCGACGGCTTGGATGGTTTGCCAGGTGGAGGAGCGGGCTTCCCAGCGGGTGGCGCGGGCTTTCCAGCGGGTGGCGTGGGCTTGTCAACAGGGAGAGGCTTTCCTGGCGGAGGAGTTGGCTTGCCGGCCGGCGGAGTCGGCTTGGATGCAATCGGGGCTGGTTTGGGCGCAATGGGACTGGGCTTTGCAGCAATCGGAGCGGGCTTCGATGGCGCGGCGGAAGCAGGCGCAAGGGGAGCGGGTTTCGATGGCGCGGCGGAAGCAGGCGCGAGGGGAGCGGGTTTCGAAGGTGGGGACGTGGGTGAGTCCAGCAGTGAGTCGGACGAGCCCAATCTGTTGTAGTTGGATCCGAGCTTCGGAGGCAACGTGGACGGCTTGGCAGGGGGAGTGGGCTTGGGCGAGGGAGTGTCATTGTTGGTGTGGGAGAAGACCGGATTGGCAGTCTCGGAAACAGTCGGACGAGGAAGCTTGGCGGGCTTGGGCGCCTTGGCAGGCGAGGACGAAGCCGCTTCCGCTGCCTTCGCGGCAGCTACAGACAAGGTGCCAGTGGGAATGGCGGTCGTGTCATTCGCGTCCATTCGAACGAGATAGTTGCCAGGGCACACACCATGCTTCTTGGTGCGGTTGTTCTTGCCCAGCATCCAGCCATCATCCGATTGCGAAGTAACGTGAATAACGTCGCCAATGGCCAGTTCAAGCTCATCCGATTGATGGGGCTGGTACGCATACTGAGCACGGAACAGGGCGCCGACCTCAGGCTGCTCAACCGCGTTGTCAGCTGCACCGGCTGCGGCAGCATTGGACGCTGCGCTCCGGCGACCAAACGTCATTTGACCGAGGCGACCAGGCTTCTTGGCCGGAGCAGGGGCTGCCGCTGCTGGTGCTGAAAGGAGAGGATTGGCAGTCACGGCCATGGTGGCCAGTGATTGATGCTTGTTGGCGCGAGCATTGGTGATCAAGGCCGGTGTCTGTGTGTCCAAAGAGCCGGCAGTCTTGTCACGACCGAGCGAGTCGTTGGAATCGACACTGTTCCGACGAGCCATCTTCTTGACGTGGTTGTAGTTGGCATTGCGACGATGGCGACGCACCAACACAATAACAATGATCAAAACAACAAGCAAGCCGATGAGCACGCCGACAATCACCGGAACGATGGATGAGCCGCCATCCGAGCCGCTGGCTGGTGCAGGAGAACCGCGATCCGACGTCGAGCTCAAGCCAGAGAAGTAGCGGTTGTACAGCTCGGCAACCTCTTCTGCAGAGAGCGCCGCATTCCACACGGACAGCTCGTCCATGGCGCCAGAGTAGCAGTTTGTCTCGGCATCAAAGCAAGCGACTTCCCAGTTGCCAGGCGCAATCGACGTGGTCGGGATGGTTGCGCCGGTGCGCGCGGCCACCTGCGTGCCGTTCAGGTAAACGGTCAGCGCGCCATCGGCGTTCAGCGTCACCGCAATGTGGCTCCACGACGTCGTCGGAATGCTGCTGGACAGAGTGGCGGCCAGAGTTGTCGATCCGACGTTGACAAACGGCGTCACACGGCCGCCGTTCGTGCGGAAGCTCACAAAGAAATTGGTGGTGCCGGCATTGGGTGCACGGATGAACGCGGTGCCCGAGGCCATGGCAGAGGGCTGAATGAAGGCAGACAGGGTCACCTCGTACAGGCGCGGCCCGGATGTCAAGGCCATGCTGGCACTACCACCAAATTCGGCTGCATTTCCACGAATCGCAGGGACAGTCGTGGACGTGTCGCGACGAGTCAAAGCGGACGACCAGGAGAAAACGTTGCCCTGAGAGTCGGTAAACGAGGGACCAGAGCCATCAAAGGAAAAGAGCGCAACCATATACTTGGTCGGCAGCGCGCACACAAACGAATTGCACGAGCGATACTCGGACGTCGAAGTCAAGCCGAGAGCAGCGCAAGTCTGGCCGCTGCCGACCGCCGCGCTGCAGGTGCGAGTGCGGAACTGAGCTCCGGTGCCACAGTTGCGCGAGCATGTGCTCCACGACGACCAAGCAGAGCACGAACAGTCGCGGTTGGCCGGGGTGGGGCAAGAACCACTGTTGCATGTGACTTGACGGGTTGTCTTCAGGCCCATGGCAGCACAGGTCAGGCCGCCAGCCGAGGCTTCGGTACAGGTGCGAGTGTAGGTCTGCTTGCCGCCACCGCACGTGGCAGAGCAAGCGGTCGGTCCAGTCCACGCGCCACACGAGCAATCAACTGGACAAGCCTGAGTGTTGCACGCCTGTTGACGAACCGTGCTGGTCAGGCCGAGCTGGGCGCACGTGCGACCTCCATCCCGAGCTTCCGTGCAGGTGCGGTAGCTCTTTTGAACGCCAGAGCCGCAGGACACCGAGCAAGGGGCAAACACAGACCAAGCAGTGCAGGAGCAATCGATGGCGGGTGGGCAAACGTGCGTGTTGCAATTTCGCGACGAGGCGGGCTTTGTGCCGCTGCAAAGCGAGTCGGCAACAACAGTGTTGCCGCTGGCAGTATTGACGCACTGCACGGTTTGGGTCTGAGTACCGGTTCCGCAAGAGGCAGAGCAAGCACCAAAGCCAGACTGCTGCCACGAGTAGCTGGGGCAAGCGCCAGTGTTGCAGGATTGAGAGGTCGCCGGCTTTGTGCCGGTGCACAAGCTATCGGCCACGACTGCATTTCCAGCAGCAGTGTTCACGCACTGCACGGTTTGAGATTGCGTTCCTCCGCCGCAGGGTTGCGTGCAGCCACCAAATCCAGACTGCTGCCACGAGTACGAGGGGCACACGCCGTTATTACAAGCCTGAGAAGTGCTGGGCTTGGTGCCAGTGCAGAGGGAATCTGACACGACAGCGTTGGCGGCAGCAGTGTTGACGCATTGAACGGTTTGGGTCTGTGTGCCGGCTCCGCAAGATGGTGAGCAGGCTCCAAAACCAGACTGCTGCCAAGCATACGTTGGGCAAGCTCCATTGTTGCATGACTGCGAGCTAGCGGGTTGGGTTCCAGAGCAATACGTGTCTGCAACCGTCGCTCCATTGCCGCCGTTTGTGCGACACTCGACCGTGCGCGTTTGGGTGCCAGTGCCGCTGCAAGTCACAGAGCAAACACCGAACGTGCCTGCATACCAGCCGCAAACAGTCGAGGAGCACGATTGAGAAGCGCTTGGCTTGGTGCCAGTGCAGAGAGAATCAGACACGATCGCGTCGCCAGCGGCAGTGTTGACGCATTGGACGGTCTGAGTCTGCGTGCCAGAGCCGCAGGGCACCGAGCAAGCGCCAAATCCAGATTGTTTCCAAGCGTAGACGGGGCAGGCGCCATTGTTGCAAGACTGTGAAGTAGCAGGCTGAGTGCCAGTGCAATACGTGGACGAAGCGGCAACGCCGTTGCCAGCGTTCGTTCGGCATTCGACAGTGCGGGTTTGGGTGCCAGCGCCACAAGAAGGAGAGCATGCACCGAACGAACCAGTAAACCAGCCACACGCAGTCGACGAGCAGGATTGAGAGGTACTTGGCTTGGTGCCAGTGCACAGGGAATCGGCAACAACAGCGTTGCTAGCAGCGGTGTTGACGCATTGAACAGTTTGAGTTTGCGTTCCCGAGCCGCAGGGCACAGAGCAAGCGCCGAATCCAGATTGTTGCCAAACGTAGCTACCGCATGCACCGTTGTTGCAAGATTGCGAAGCGGCTGGCTGGGTATCAGTGCAGTACGTGGACGAAGCGGCAACGCCGTTGCCAGCGTTCGTTCGGCATTCGACAGTGCGGGTTTGGGTGCCAGCGCCACAAGAAGGAGAGCATGCACCGAACGAACCAGTAAACCAGCCACACGCAGTCGACGAGCAGGATTGAGATGTGCTCGGCTTGGTGCCAGTGCACAGGGAATCGGCCACAACAGCGTTGCTAGCAGCGGTGTTGACGCACTGAACGGTTTGAGTTTGTGTTCCAGAGCCGCAGGGCACAGAGCAAGCGCCGAATCCAGATTGCTGCCAAGAGTAGACAGGGCAGGCGCCATTGTTGCACGATTGTGAAGTAGCAGGCTGAGTGCCAGTGCAATACGTGGACGAAGCGGCAACACCGTTGCCAGCGTTCGTTCGGCACTCGACAGTGCGCGTCTGTGTGCCAACGCCACAAGAAGGAGAGCATGCACCGAACGAGCCAGTAAACCAGCCACACGCAGTCGAAGAACACGATTGAGAGGTACTTGGCTTGGTGCCGGTGCACAGGGAATCGGCAACAACAGCGTTGCTAGCAGCGGTGTTGACGCATTGAACGGTCTGAGTTTGCGTTCCAGAGCCGCAGGGCACAGAGCACGCGCCGAATCCAGATTGCTGCCAAGCGTAAGCAGGGCAGGCGCCATTGTTGCAAGATTGCGAAGTAGCAGGTTGAGTGCCAGTGCAATAAGTCGATGAGGCAGCCACACCGTTGCCTGCATTGGTTCGGCACTCGACAGTGCGAGTTTGAGTGCCAGCGCCGCAAGACGGGGAGCATGCGCCAAACGAGCCAGTGTACCAACCGCACGCAGTCGACGAGCACGATTGAGATGTGCTCGGCTTGGTGCCGGTGCAGAAGGAGTCAGCCACAACGGCGTTGCCGGAAGCAGTATTCACGCACTGAACCGTCTGCGTCTGCGTGCCAGAGCCGCAGGGCACAGAGCACGCGCCGAATCCAGACTGTTGCCAAGCATACGAGCCACATGCACCGTTGTTGCAGGACTGTGAGGTGGCTGGCTTTGTACCGGTGCAGAGAGAATCGGAAACGGTTGTGCTCGCACCATTGACACAAGTGACGGTGCGGGTCTGGGTGCCAGCGCCGCACGACGGGGAGCATGCAGACCAAGAACCAGTGTTCCAAGTGTAGATGGTGGCAGCCAGACAGGCGACGCTGCTGCCAGACGTCTGGCAAGTGCTGTAAGGGCTCCTTGAGCACACCGTGCCGAGCGGCAAAAACAGTGTCGTAACGATGCCACCAATCGAAGAAGCAGGGGTGCAAGAGGACGAGGAGCTGTACTTGCAATTCAACGCGCACTGATTACTGGTGGTGACGGGTGACGTCGGGCACATCTTCACGTTGCTGTACGATTCGCAACCACCGGCGAGGTTGACGCAGCGGCCGTTCATGCACTGGCCTTTCGAACTCATGCAAAGCGTGTTTGGCATCACAAACATGCAGGATGTGCAACAGGGGCCACCAGAGCATTCATAGCTCGGGTTGGCAAATTTGCAGTTGGAGCAGCACGCAGACGTGTCGTCGCAATCTTCGCCCGGCTCGATATTGCCGTTGCCGCAGATGGCTTGGTAGTTGCTCCAGCAAGATGGCACCGTGTAGGTACCGGCATAGTTGGCAGCCCTGCTGGCGGTCATGTGCGAACAAACCTCGGCCTTGTTGTTGGGGTGGAACTGGTACTCGCCCAGGTACGTGCCATCGCCATAGTCCATGAGACCACCGACGTCAAAAGTGTGCTGGGCGTTAAAGTTGTGTCCCATCTCGTGAGCCACAGTAATCCAGGTCTGCGAGGACGTCGAAGAAACGCCGCCATACCGGCGGTTGCACAGGCAGCCCACTGTGGCCAAGCCCACGGTTCCGGGAGACGGGTAGCAGTACGTCAGCAAGTGATACAGACCGTTGGTCTCGGTTGCCGGCTTGGCTTGGCGCCAAGTTTGAAACGAAGTGAGTGCTTGGTTGATGGTCAGGCCGCAGCTCTGGGATCCCGGGGTGGATGGGATTTGGTTCCACGTGTCCGAGTTTGTTGTCGTACGAATGTCGAGGGTAGACGTCCGAATCACCACGTTCAGTTGTGCCTTGTAGAGCATGTTCGTCGAGGACATGATTTCGACAACGCTGTACTGGACATTCGTGGTGCTGGATCCCATGAATTGGTAGTAGCCCGCATCGATGGCATACCCGACGTTGATGGCCTGCGTAGTCGTAACGGATGCTGGGAGGCAGTTGGTCCACTGGGCGACGCGGCGCTGGTTGCCAGAGGGCAAGCGAATGCTCTTGGCCAGGGGAATGGGCGAGCGGGACTTGGCACCATCAGCGCGGCGAGCATTGTCCTCGTCTTTCAACACGGCATCGCTCAACGTCTCCTGGACATCGTCCACACCATGGAACAAAATCAAGCCAGTTGCCATCGTCGCATCCTGGAGCGCGCGGCGTTGCGTCTGCGACTCGACGTCGGGGAGATGACGGATGGCCGGCTCGATGGTGTAGTGGCCCGCCGGATCAAAAACAACCATCTGGAACGAGTCGGGCTCGTCGTGGAGGACGACAGACACGAGGTGTCCGGTGAGGGTTTGTCCGTGATACGCCCGCAAAACGGGTCGATGCTGCTCAATGACCTGGACACCATTGACCGTTGAGGTTGTGAAGACTCGCGCCGTGTCGGCGAAAAAGCCGTAGACAAGCTCTGCTTGAACGGTTTCCGCAGAGCCGTCAGCCGCGGTGAATGAGACTTCAATGTGATCGGGGAATGGGCGTTCCGGGTTCCAGTGCTCCAGTTCGTCTGCGTCCTGAACGGTGGTTTGGCGCCGGCGCAAAGAAGTATGTTGAGGCTCCACCGCGTCCCAGACCTGGCGGCGATGGTCGGCCTCCAAGTTGGCATCGTTGGCGCGCACGGAGGCCCTTGTCACGGCGTAAATCTTGCTCAGCTGCGGTGTCGAGAAATAATCTGTCGCAAATTTCCAAAATGGTTACAAAAACAACCAAGTCAGCCAAGATCAACAATAGAAAAACAACATCAACAATAAAAAAAAACAACGTCATAATAAACAACAACAAATTCCAATAAAGGGAAAAGTATTCGGCATTCGTGCCGATGAGAAGGTGTGAGTCAACTTGGCGCGAAATTTTGCCGCTCTTTTTCATTTTTGCATGTTTTTGTTTGTTTTAGTTTGTTTGTTGTTGGTTGTTGTTTGATCTCGACTTTTTTTCACTGTCCTCCAAAGCGAACGCAATGCCTCGTATGAGAGAATTGTCGTGGTGGCTGAAGACGGCATTTCACACGGCAAACAAAAGCCGCTGAACTTGTGATGCTGCTGCGAAACTCAATTTGGCAACTTGAACATCACACGAAAAACACGAATGTCACGGAACGGCAAAAAGGCGATGCACTCGCCAGCCGCGCACTCGACAATGGAGCAGCTGAGTAAAAAGGAAAATCGAGAGCCGAAGCGCAAGAAGGAAGGAAGGGGAAAGGCGCCAGGCATCAATGGAAGAACGAGGAGCGAGCAAGTCGGAGACGGACATCGGGAAATAGGCTTGACAACCACAAAAACCAGCTTGCGATGGCTGTGGCGACGCGAGCGCTGCGACCACTCGATGCCAAAACATGAATGCATAAAACAACGGTGCCACGAAAGGGGAGAAAGATGTGGACGGGGAAGCGGAAAGGGGCGGGTGAGGGGGGATGGCAAACGCGGGTGGCCCAGAGCAACCAACCACAAAATCGTTGAAGTTCTTTTAAAACGAGTTTTATTGCCCAGCTCGTCAATGGGGCCCACGAAAGCCGCCGCAGAGAGCAGGGGAGGACTGGGTGTCGCTTCGATTTGAGAGGGGGGGAGAGAGAGCGAGAGAGAGAGATGGGTGTCGTTGGTGTCTGGTGTCGGGTGCAAAAGGAGACCGCGGCGGTGATTTGGGTCACCACAAAAAAAAAAAAAAATTGATGGAACCAGAATTACCAGTTGAAGTTGTGCGCGAGGCGGCGGCCTGCAGCACAGCGAGCGACGAGCCCACCGCCAGCAGCACCAGCGCAGCTGTCATGCGCGTCGTTGACTTGCGAACGAGCATCGCAGGGGAAGAAGAAGAAGAAGAAGATCGAGAAGAAATCAATTAAAAAAAAAATAGAGAAAAAAAAAAACAGAGAAAAAAAAAAAGAATAATGATCTATTTCTGTTTTGGGATGGAAAATCAAGATCACGAAACCTTCAACTTTCAAAGTGCAACTACGTCTGAGGAAGCAAACGAGCGACGCACCAAGAGACAAAGATAAGCGCACCACAGCGGGGATCAACAGAGTCGACATTGAGCTGGCAGCATCGGTGGGCAGGACCACGAGGAACAAGCTACTTCTTGCGTTCATCTCATTGTGGTTTCGCATTAGGAAGGTCGGTTTTTAGGTTGGCAGAGTTTTTTTTTTTTTTTTTTTGCTTTTTTTTTTCAATTGTTTGGTTTGCAGTTTCTCACTTTATCGCCTTCGTTCGCTTCACCAGAACTCTCACACAAAATCAAGCACACTGGTAACGGAGCTGTCCCGTTCGATCCCCTGGACAGACGTGCGAGGATCAACGATGAAAAGAGCTGATTTTCACTTTAGGAAAGTAAGTTTTTTTTTTATTGATATTTTTTTATTTTCCTTTTTTTTTTTTGGCAATTTCCGTCACTTTTCGTTCAACTTCACGTTGCGCGCGGTTTTGTGCTGGGCTTGGCCGCGTTTGAGGGTTTGACAGGTGTGAATCAGCAGTGTGATTTATTGCTTGGTACAAAAAATAAGTTAGCATGCAGAAGGAAACCCACAGGATTTTGTGTTCAAAAAATTCCCTCAGAGGACAATAAAAGCGATCGAACGAGAGAAAGCAAGATAAGAAAACCATTCTCGTGATGCTGATCATGACCGCGCCGTGGTCAGATCATTCTCAAATTCGAATGGCAAAGCACTACTACTGCCTTCTTCGCGTTCGGTAGTAAAATCACGCTCGGACAGTCCACTGAAGGCCCCGCCATCATTGTCAACAACCAGCCTGCGCTTCCCTTTCGAATCCGAGGCCTTGGACAGGTTGTTGTTGTTGTTGTTGGAAGGGCCGCGACGTACGATTCCTCGTCGGAACGCTGGTGTCGACTTTGCAGGCACGCCTCGTCGGCGACCGCGGTTGAGGAGCGCGTCACTGTCACCATTGTTGCCATGCACGTCGAAGAGAATGTCGTCGTCATTGTCCTCCTCTTGCTCCTCGCCGACAGGTGCCAGCTCGGCAGTAAGCGGAGACGTCGCGCGACTAATCTCCAGATCAGAATCGGTTGCTGAGACTTGGGTGTAGCGCTTGCCCGTGATGGTCTCAAGCTCGAAATGTGCGGCGTCAATCTCCGACAAGGTCAGCGTTCTACGGAAGAAGGGTGTCAGGTATTTCGTGTCCAACCTCTCAATAAAGCTCTGAGCCTGCGTTGTGGTCGATCCTTCCATGTCTCTGGCGTCAACGGTGGCATCCTGTCATCATTGAACATGAGGTGCGGAACACACACACACAGAAAACCACCCCAAACTGCACCAGAAACCCCCGAGCAAGGCCCAGACATCATTCGTACCATTTCTTGGGTTTTGGAAATAACCACTCGCCGAGGATTGGCAGAATCTGACGCGCGCGGGCCATGGTCGCTGCGGCGACCGCCAATCAGCTTGATGAGCGGCAGGGTGGTGCCGCCGAGACAGACAATAGTGAACAAAACAATGACCAAAGTCGTCGCAATCAAGGCGCTGCGGGATTCGTGCGAAAACACAGTCAACGGAAGATGGATGGAGAGCGCAAAGGCTATTGCACCGCGCAGACCTATTGAGGGGGGTGGTGGTGGTGGCAAAAAGTAGTGGTTGAGAAACAAGCGCATCTGCAGAACGGCCACTCGCTCGTTCGATCAGTCCTTGACGGCACACATACCGCTAAACCACATGATAAACTGGAACTTTGGGGTGATTTTGACACTTCGGAAGCGGTTGACAAGAGCGGAGAGCGGGAAGATGTTGGCAGCGCGTCCGATAAAGCACAAGACCTGCAACAAGGCAGCACCATGGAGCCGACCGGTCAGAAAACAACCCACGCATCGAGTCCAACAAAGAGAAAACAGCAACAAAAAACACCCAAAAAACTCACAATGCTCCACACAAGAAGCGATGGTGAAAAGATCAAGTCGGCAAAGCTGAACAGAGCAAGACCAAGGTAGGCAAACACCGAGGTCTCAGCCAGGAACGCAGTCGTGCGAAAGACTTGCTGCGTCGTCATCTGGGTGATGGGCGACAAGTTAAAGTGCGTGTAGTGCGCCATGACAATGCCGCAAAACAGAATGGCCATGATGCCAGACATGCTGATAAACTCGGCGAGAAAGTAGGGAGCGTAGGCAAAGATGACCACGATCGCAAACTCCAGCGAAGGCTTGGTGCGCAACGCGACAAACTTGAGCAACAGAGCGCTGACCAGACCAAACAGCACGCCAATCAAGGCCGACCCCACGCCGACCAGGCAAAACTTGCCCAGTGCCGTAAGGGTGACGGCAACGGTGATTTCCTCGGTAGCAAACTGAATAATGGTGCTTTAGAGGTAAACACACACACACAAGCAAATCGACACAGACAAGCAAAAGCAAATGAGCGTCGAAAACGCGCTGCTGGCAAAACCATCACATGTCGCTTCCACCCTACTTGGTGAGTACGATCGAAACAGCATCGTTTAGCACGCTCTCGCCAAAGACCAGCATATTCAACGTCGGATCCACATCCAACGCGTTGAAGATGGCAATTGTGGCGACCGGATCGACGGCAGAGATGAGAGACCCAAAGGCAAAGCTGTCGCGGGGCATGGACCCGAAAGAGAGCAAAAAAACCACGACGGAAGGAGGGGTGAGTACCATGATTGCGAGTGCCCCGAGCTCATCGAGGTGGAGGGAGGGGGGGGGGGGGTTTGTTTACCTCTCAACGGCAGAGAGCGGATAGCTCACTCCCGCAACGCCCAAGCCAAACACGCCAGCTCCGATGCAGAGTGCGGAAAAGATGGTTCCAAACACTGCAAACACTAGGATCGATCCGATATTGTGGAAAAAGTTGCCCTGAAACCAAGTCCCAAAAGGAAAACCGAAAGGGCCAACCCACAACGATCAATGCTTCACAGCCACTTTCTTGTCAACAAAACAACACAAGTAACAAATGCAAACAAACCTTGTGCAGCGAGTAACCCGACTCGAGAATGATGGGAGGCAGCAGAATGAGGAAAAACCCGGTTGGATCAATCCGCTCTGCGTTCGTCCAGTAGTCTCCACTCAATCGGGTGATGATGCCGAGAATTCCACCTACAATGCAAATCGTAAAGCCCAAAAAACGAACGACAGCGATCAAGGTCATACGGGTTTACATACGGGGTGAGCACAATTTTGAGTGATGGGTCAGGCAGAATCTCCATTCGCGCCAGGGCAAAATTTTGCTGTCTGAGCTCACCGATGAACATGACAGCGAGAGACTCTGGGATGTAGTGGAACTTTGTCCGGATGAGGAGGTAGACGAGCAGCGTGCACAGAACGAGCACGAGCAGAATGAAAAAGATGGTCCTGCTGACCGAGAGCTCGTCGCCGTTGCCGCCGCCGTCTGCGTTGGGCTCGTCGGGACTGCCTGTTGGCGAGGGCGTGGGCGTGTGTGTTGCCGATGGCAGGACGGTTGTCGTCGTCGTCGTCGTTGTCGGTGATGGTGATGATGATGCAGCGAGCGTCTCACGGCCGACCACCACTGTGCCGTCCTCCTGCGCCTCCACGACTGCGAGCGCGCCGCAGAGAGACAGAGCTGCGACGAGTGCAATGGCGATGGTGATGGCCACAGAAGCAGCAGTCGTTGCGCGCCATTGTGGTGGCGACTGCCGTGCTCGTGCGCGTCGTCGTGTTTGGGGCTTCATACAGCTGCCCCCTCGGAAACCTTTCTTCGTTTCCCAACTCGTGAAACAGAGGAGAATGAGAAAAAATGAAAAGTGACCAACGCCGAAATACTGCAGTGGTCGAAAACACAGTCACTGCAGCTCAATCCAGCAATTTCCAAAGTGTTTCTTGCATTGAAGCCCACACACAACCAAAGCCCACACACTCGCTTGAGTTGTTTTGCGTGGACTTTTTATAAATCGTCTTTTTGAATTACTGTTTGCTTTTTTTGTTTTGTCTGAGTTTTTCTGATCGGATTAGTGACTGGCTCATTGTTGATGAGTTTCCTCAAAGCGTTCGCAGACAAGGTTGCGCGTGCAGCGACCAACACTGGTCCGCCAACGCCAGGCAGTGGCAGCAGCAGCAGCAGCAGCAGTGGCAGTGGCAGTGGTGCTCCAAGCCAGCCCCAGCTTCAGTCTGGCGCAGGGGCAGGAGCAGCAGCAGGAGCAGGAGCAGCAGCAACAACAGCGGCCGACCAGCGAGCGACAACGGCTGGAGCATCCCAGTCCGCCTCTGCGCCCCAGCTCGCCGCAGCGTCTTCTGCGGGATCTGCATCTGGATCGGCGTCGACCGCGCAGGTCCCAGCAGGGCGCCCTTCGCTGACGGCCGCTGGCGTCGCCGTCCCCGACGTTCCTGCAGCCGCGCTTCTGAAGTGAGTCTTCGCGCCGAGCCTGCTGCTCTCGATTCGTCAAGTGGTTTGTCTCTGTGCCATGATATCGAGTCGAGGGAGCAAGGGGGTTGTCTGCGGGGTCCGGGAGTTGGGCGGCAATGGTGATTCAATGATAGAGGTAGAAGCAGGCTTTGAAACTGGGCCTCTCGCTCATCATCATCATCATCCATCATCCATCATCATTCACCCCCAGAGTAGTGCATTTGCCATTCATCATCTGTATCGCAATCCTTAATGGGACAAAATGCGAGTCCAACATTGCGCGAAATCAGCTTCTGAGGACTATGAACAAAAAACCTATCAAACCTCAATGCATGCATCACTGTCGCTCCCATCAACGGGACCACTACATGGAGTTGATTTTTTTTGTCGGAATTTTTTGATTTTGACTCTGATATTTGGTTGATCGTGTGCTTGGTGACAGAGATCCATTGCAAGTCCAGAACTTTAAAAAGGCGTACGCACAATTCCGACGCTTCAAGACAACTGAGGTAAGCTGTGATGCATCCAGATTGGATGATGCTGAAAGTTGCATCAGATTGGCATGACTAACACGTTGGAAACATTGTGGGTGTGCGTGTGTGCGTCTATGGCGTGGCTTCAGGAACAAGAGGTTTGGCTCGACTCGATCTTGCCGTTGGTGCTACGTTTCTTCACAGGCGTCTCTCCCGATCATGTTGGCGAAGTGTAAGGCGTTGAACTCCAGCCAAGAGCCCACAATCTCGTCCCCCTTTTGAGTGTCGATGTATTGGCTCACACGACTGTTTCGACTGTTTCTCTCTCGCTCTGTTTCCGTTTTTTTTTTTTTTCGATTTTGTTTTCTTTCGCCCAGTCTCGGAGACGTGCGCACTCTCGTGAGTCTCACGGCCAGCCGCGTCGTCAAGATTATCAAGGAGATTTTAGCAACTCAATCGCGCGTGGGCGCCAGTGCAGGTAACGCGCAGAGTCCCCGATTCACTCCACTTCTTCCCGCTCTCCCTCAATCCGAACTTGCTTTCACATGTCTCCAACCCTTCCCCCCCCCACACACACTCCGTCCTCCAGCCATTCTCCAGGCATTCGTCCAGCAACCCGATGGCTCCGCCTCGAGAGGAAACGTGGCGTTGCGCGCGTTGGATATTTTTGCTTCCAACAAGTCGTCCAACATGCTCGACACAATGATCTCGACATCGGCTCTGGCATCAACGCTGGCGAAAGCACTGAGTGTGATGATTGAGCTTCCTCCTATGCCGGATGGCGCTGCGAAGATCGCGAATGGGTGTGCCAGTGAAATTTCGAGTCTCCTCGTCAAGTTGTGCAAGTTCGCCACCACCGTCGACGAGCTGGTCAAAACGGACAGCTTGGTGTTACTTTTGCGTTCGCTTTTCGTCAGGTGCCCCCCGGCAAACCTCCGCTGGCGGAAGGCATGCGTCGATGTGCTTGTGAGCAGCTGCTCGCGGCCACACCTTGGCAACACCATGATTGAATACTTGCGTGATCGGGACTGCGTTGCTGGTGCTCTCAAGTGCATTGTGGCATCGCGCGAGCAGCAGCAACAACAGCAACAACAGCAACATCAGCAGCAGCAGCAGCCTCCACAATCACCCTTATCAGCTCCGGCCTCGCCCTTGTCCCATCCGGCTCAACTCGCCCATCCAGCATTTAGTACGACCTCGCTTTCTATGAGCGACTATGCCGACATCCTGCGGGTCGTGTCTCACATGCTGTTTGAGTCATGCCAAATCAGCCGGAAACTTCTCGACCAGTTCGCCTCACAGCAAGGTCATTCTTTGATTCACGAGCTGATCAGCGCGTTTGACAGTGTGTTGACTGCTGCGCTTCCAGAAAAGTCGATTCAGAGACAACTCATGACCGCACACGGGCACTCGCCTGATTCACGAGACGATACGGCCCAACCAGAACTCACTTTGCCACCGGCACTCAACCCGCTCTTCTTGTCTGGCACGCCGACAGCCCTTGATATCGCGGCAGCTGGACGCTGTATTGATGCGCTCGGTGATTTGGTGTTTGCTGGACCGATGCGAATCTCCCCTTCGCTTGGTGCATCCGCCGCGCACCACAACAAGTCTTTCCGGCTTCCTTCCGCTCAAGACGAGCGCAGCACTGTGCGTGACATGCGCGCTTTTGAGATGCTGATGGCCCTCTTCTCAACAGCGACTTTCCAACCCGTTGGTGGTCACCTCCTCACCGCCATCTACCGCGTCTTGTCGGCCGACTTGGTCAACTACTTTATCGTCGAGGCGCACCACCCGGTCGTCATCATGCTCCAGCGATCGCCAGTGCTCGACGTCGAGTCCATCGAGCGCATTTTTAGCATCCTCGACTATGTCGTGTTTAGTCTGGGGTTTGTGCCATTCCGTGAGCTGCAGGAACTCGGGTATCTGATTGAAAAACTCGGATCGCATCCTTTGTCTGGGCGCATCCTCCAGATGGTGCACAAGTTCCTCTTGTTTGACGACAAGTTCAAGCGCATCTTTTGTGAGGCAGAGCTCATTGACAAGCTCATCGTTCTGGTCCAGGACAACCTGAAACTGCACAAGCTCCAACTTGGCTCCCAGCAGGGCATGACGCTCGAGCTCCTGCCGCCCCAAACGTCGACTCTCGATGTGGCTTTGTCGGTGCAAGTCCCTCCTTCTCCTCTTCCTCCTCCTCCTCCTTCACTCACGGCCGCCGCCCTGGCCGAGACGAGTGCCGACATGAGCGGCTTCCTTCGCCACATTGCGAGCGTGCTGCGGCTGATGCTGACCAACAAGGACAATGTTGTCGTCTTCAGAAAGCTTGGTGGCACGGCTGCCCTTCACGAAATGCTCACCTTGGATGACTTGCGCTCACACGCACTGCGTCTGATTGTCAAACTCATCGAGGAGGATAGCACACAGGGTCACGGCGATTTGCGCCATATTCTGGAACTCTTCCAGAACGCCCCGATGGACCGAATCGACCTCAAACTCGACCTTCTTGGTGCGCTCATTGAAGTCATGCTGTCGAGCAGTCTCGCTCAGACCACCTTCCGCGAAGTTGGCGGTTTTCTTTCAATGATGTCGGTGCTATTAGCGCTCGACTCTGCTTCTCGCAACAGCGCCGCCACCAGCCGCACTCCTACTACAGCATCCCCCGATCCCGCATCTGCCTTGGCAGTCGAGGCCGCGCCCGATGCATCGCCACAGGAAGTCACAGAGATTGCGACAATCAGTGGCCAGACTGTGCTTCGCCGTCCTGGTCTTCCCGCGCCGCTGCTCCTGTTGCTTCGCACCGTCCTTCAGACGCTCACTGCGGCCATGCGCAACCATCTGTATAACAAGGCTTGCTTCCGAACGCAAGTCGGGTTTGACTCGTTGCACGACACGTTGCTCATGCTCCGGCTGCTGTCGTCCGAGAGCGCCGTCGATCTGTTTGAGATGCTCTTTGATTTCGCCACGGACGAAATCCCTCTCCGAGAGCCATCGATTGACGCCCAACAAGCTCGCAAACAGAGGGCAACCTCCACGTCTGCTGCAATTCTCTTGCAGCACGGACCCGGCTCTGCGCTGAATGTCTCGGCCGCTCCCGAGGTTGTTCCGACATCCCCAGCCGCGTTGACTCCTACAACAACGACAGCGGCAGAGGCTGCCCAAGCTCCAGCAGCAGCAGCAGCAGCAGCAGCAGCAGCAGCAGCAGCGGCCGAGCCATGCTCTGCTCCCTTCATTGCGCAACAACTTCAGGCCCTGCCAGCCCTCGCTCATCGCACCATTTTCAACCCCGAAGCTGTCGTCCTCGTTGTGCGACTCTTGGGCGCGTCGCCCGATGCGCTCCGATCTGAAATGCTGGCCCGCCTCGCCGACTTGTTTGCCGGGGACCGCAATCGAGAGATTGTGGCCGAGGCCGGCATTTTGCAAGAGTTTATGGCCGTGTATGGCGAACAGCTGCAGGACGATGCCGACCCGCTGCATTCGGCCGTGACGCGACTGTTTGTAGGCATCGGCTCCAAACGATTGTCAAACGAAGAGTTGCGCCATTTTTTGAATTTGTGCCTCACCGGTCGAGCCAAGGCTGCTGCACTTCTTGCGCAGTACCCGCTCGATGGCTCCGCTGGCAACGCGGTCCCGACAGTCAACAACACTGCGTCAGCCTCCGTCATTGTCACCTCGTCCATCACGGGGAGCACCGTGCAGACAGTGACGGACGCGGCACGAAACACCCAAATCATTTCTGCGTCCCAACTCGCCGCCCTCGAATCGATGGCTGCGGCAACCCCGCCATCCGCCTTCACGGAGTTTGACATGACGACAGATGGACATGCTTGCTTGATGACCAGTCACTTTGCGGAGCGGTCGTGGCCGCCGTCGAACGGCTTCACCTATGCCGCTTGGGTTTGCGTCGATGACTTTGGTGACGCCGACAACCACCCCGTGCGCCTGTTCTCCATCATGTATGGCGCCAACTGCGTCGCATCAGCATACATTAGCTCGGTGGACAAACTCCTGTACTTGCAAATCTCCGGGACGGTAGTCCGATTCGATGCCTACCCTTTTCTTCCAGTCGGCGTGTGGCATCACGTCGCCGTTGTGCTTCAGCGCCATCGCTTGAAAGGCACGACTGCGTTGATTTATGTGGACGGCAATCAGGTTGGCACGTCAAAGATTTCCTATCTTCCAAGCGTTCCGTCGTCGTCGTCTAGTGCCTCGTCCGCGGCTGCTGGCAATGGCGGCACTGCGACTGGCGAATCGGTTGTGACGGCGTGCTTTGGTACCCTGCATGCAGACCGCTTGCGGTCGTCCCAGCGCTGGAAGCTGGGCCAAACGTACATGTTTGACGACGGTCTGCCTCACGCCACCTTGGCAGTCATGTTCTTGCTGGGACCTGCCTATGTGGGCAACTTCCAAGGCAATCTGCGGTCGTTCCACACGCACGACATGATTGTCCTTGGTCCTGTCAATCCTTCGTCATTCCATTTGCAATCTGGGTCTTCGGGTGCTGCAACAGCAGCAGCAACAGCAGCAACAGTAGCAGCGCCAGGCCTTCCCCACCAACAATCGTCGTTGCAATCTCAAGGCAGCATGGCCGAGTATGTCGTCATGTCGCCGTCGGCGTTGCTTTCCCCAAGTGCTGCGAATGGCAACCCTTCGTTCTCGTTCGAGTCTCAGACGCCACTCGTGACCCTGAGCCTCACAAACTCTCTTGTGGCGGCGCGAGGAGCGATTGATCGGGAGCGAATTGTAGGCGTCGAAGCCGAGGAAGCTGCGACGGGAGCGAGCATTAACGCCAGCGCGTCGGGTGTCTCGACGAACGCATCGGGTGCTGGTTCGGGTGCACCCACGAGCGGAGCCGGCTCGGGCACTGGCAGCAGCGCTGGCGAACACGACTACTCGGAGCGCGCAGTGCACGCGGCGGGCTTGGCCGAGGCAGCTGCGAATGGCCTCGACTTTAACATTGCTCACGTCTCGACTCCTCTGGTCTCAAGCGAGCGAATTTTGCTCGCCATCAACCCGCGCAACACGGCCAGTTTGTCTGGCGACGAAAAGTACTACTATTACCAGCACGCACAGCACTTGCCGCACCTCCGAGAAACATGCGAAACGGACGCGAATGCACCCCTGCCGGTTTTGTTGAATGCGGCCAAGCTCGGTACTGTGCAGCCGTTTGTTGTCTTCCTCTCCGGTCGTGCTCGCGCTTTCGGCCCAGTAGGGGTCGCCAATGTGCTGCGACAAATTGGTGGCATCTCTGTCGTTCTTCGTCTGATTGAGAGTTCGTCCACCACCGACATGCTCTGCCATGCTCTCGGCCTCTTGATTGCATCGCTGCGACACAATCCCGCCAATACATCCGACATGGACGCGACGGATGGCTACCGCGTTCTTGCCATGATGCTCAAGGCCAAGACGAGCCTCATCAACAAGGACGTGCTCCAGCTCTTGTTCATGCTGGTCGGCAAGCTGCAAGATCGCAATACCTCCATTATTGCCAACACGGCTGCTTGTTTCCATCTCATTCTCGACTTTGATCTGTGGCGCGGCACCGGTCTGCAAGTTCAAAAGCAGCTGTTCCAGTACTTGTATGACCTTGTGCGTCATAGCCGGAATCGGGCGCATAATTTGATGCGGCTTCGAACTATTTGTAAGAGATTGTTGCAACGACTCGTGATGCGACAGGATTAGGGGGCAGGGGTTTGAGGGTGGACTGGTTGTTCCTTTTTTTTGCTTTTTTTTTTTTTGCATGGGCTGTGCACTGAACACCTTTGGTTGTTGTTGAATTGATGCTGCCCACAGCTGCCGTGCGGAAAATGCTCGAGCTACTCCGAGACGATACTCTGCCCAAGGATATCGTTCGTGAAGTGGTGGATGTGCTTGCCGCTGTGATGGAGTTTGAGCTGGTGGAGTCGGATCTTGCCAATTTTGGCGACTTCCTCGTCACCACGCTCAACCCGGACAGCGATCAAGGAGATTCGTCCGTCCTCGCATTAGCCTTGTCGGCGCTTCCAGTGCACACCACAAGTACTGGTGTCACGTACCGCAAACGAAATCACACTGCCAACTTCCTGCTGGTGGATGTCGATTACACAACCCCGAGCGTAGCCCCCACAAGCGACGCGAGTGGAGCTGGAGCTGCAGCTGCAGCTGCTTCTACCGCTGCCACCGCCGCTGGGACCACGGCGGCGGGAAGCTCTGCTCCAAGCATCAACAGTGCAGCCATCGGAGCCGTGTCGCGCAAGATTTTCATTCGCAATCTGCTGCTCAACGTGCTACTCAACCTGCTGGGGGAGGCTCGAGCGCGAGAGACATATGCTCGCGTGCTTGGTGCCAACTGGATGATGATGTTCGTCTCCAAGACCCTACACTCCAGCACTGTTGTCGTAGCGCTTCGTATCGTCGCCACCGTGTTGTTGGACCGTCACGGGCCCATCTTGACGCGCTTCCGCTCCAACATCCACGGCTTTGAGCTGCTTTCGGATGTTCTTCCTTGGCATGCCTCGTACGACCAAATCTACTACTTGTTGATCGCCCTGCTCTTGGGCAGAAGCGTCACGGACATTCCGTTTGGCGCCACGTTCAACTTTACCACGTTGTTCAACCTGTTCCCGCTTCGTACGGGCGATCCTTTGCCTCTGTTCTGTCCCGAAGCGGCGACCGTCCTGCTCGTGTTGGCCAAGGCGCTCTACGGTTATCATACTCGAACTGTTCTGGTGGACGCCCTATCTCTGCAGCAGCAGCAGCAGCAGCAGCAGCAAGCACCCCCTTCTGTGGATGCCGAGGCTGCTACCGACTCGGCTGCCGCGCGCTCTGCCTCAGCTTCCCCGTTGCCGACCGTGGGTAAACCTGCCTTGGATCCTGTTGACGAATGGGCTTCGACGTTCTCAGACACCATCTTCCGCTTTTTCGGTGTGCTCTTTGCCCGATCGGCTGCCTTCTCGGAATGGTGCCAACGATCCGAAATGATCAAGGATGTGATTGATGTCCTCTTCCCGGCATTGGACAATCCGATTGTTCGGTCGAGCTACCTGCGGCCTGCTGCACTCTCCACCATGCCGTCCGCTTCGACCGCGGCAGCGCTCTTGTCCCCAGGACTGGCCACTCCGGGAGCCACTCTTCCTCGTCGTACGTCGTCCGTATCGGGCGAGTCGCCCAGTACCCCGCGGATTCGCACCCGCGCGACTGTTTGGAACAAGGCTGCCGAGCCCAATGCCTCGTCCTCGGATGATTCGCCGGTCGCCGCCGCCCGCAGTGTGAGCCCCGCGAACGGTCTGATGAGCCCACAATCCACGGTCGATCAGTCCTGGGAACCAGTGGATGCGACCTCTGTGGATGCGGATGCCGCCGCAGCCGAGTTGTTGATGCAACAAAACACCCTGGCGGGCGTGGATATTGTCCAGCATGCCATGGGCGCGCATCCCTCGGCGCCGCACGTGTTTACGCTCTTGCGAGCAATCGCCTTTGACGCTCTCTCGCAAACAGCTCGCGGAATGGCAACCGTCGAGTTGGTGATTGAGGCATGTCCTCCGACGTCGCCTGTGCGCTTTTCCACCTACCAGACGCTGTTGCTCAACGGCCTGATGAGGAACATTCTGGATCAAACTGTCCTTCGCCAAGCCTTGACGACCAATGTCAAAATGCTCGGCAGTCTGGCGTTGTTTGCAGACTTTGTCCTGAACAAGAAGCAACAGCAAACGCTCAACAGCCCGCTGACCTACGTGTACATGTTCTCTCTGCGAGTGTTGCACATGGTGCTGTTTGATCGCGCCATTGCTGGCTTGCACTCGATCAATGCCACTCACGTGGACGATTTGTTTGCCACGTTGGACCGTGCCACGCTGCTCTTGCTGCAAAACTCGGTCACAAACGTTGCGGCACCGAGCGTGAGCATGAGCGTGTCTGCAGCTGGGAAAGAGGGTGAGCAGTCCGCAGATGCTCCTCCAGTCTCTGCTGCGGCCGTGTCCCCCAGCGCGAGCCCGGCCGGCCAGCCAGCATCCCTCACTGTGGATATCCTCGAACGCATCCTTCACGACCAGCAAGTGGTCCTTCACGAGCGCAATTCGAGTCCCCTGTTTGTTGTGCCGCTTCTGCACCTCCTCATCCGCTATTCGCGCGAGCTCAACGCCCCGCTCAACAAGCTCGCCCTGAGCGTGTGGAAGCTCCTGCGAAACCAAAGCGCATGTATTGAGGAGGTGGTGCGCAGCAAGTCGGGCCGCCCCACCAACATTATCGAGCTCTACAACATTCGGCTCGACGAGCAGCTCGAGTCCAATCTTCGCACCATCCAGCAAATTTCAGCGTTAGAGTACGGCATTCTCCCGTCGACTGCGCCACCGTGCACAGTGCTCAGTGACGAGGAAGTGATTCTTGAAGAGGCCTCAGGCCGTGCATTCCGGAGCTTTGAGGCGGCTGAAACCAAGCTTGTCCTTGATTTTGGCCAGGCGCGCATGAGAACCAGAACCGCGCTGCTGCAGCGCTTTTACAAACTCATCCATGCGCATGAGGCGCATGTGCGCGAGTTTGCCGAAAAGGCCAGCAAGCTGACGGATGAAGTGCATCAGAACGACCTGATTTATGGAATCAAGTTGCGGCAGAATGCCCGAGACGTTCGCCAGTACATTCTTGATCGCTGGGCGGGCTTGAATGCCGACTTGTTCCGCGAGCGAGGCCTTTGGGGTTCGTCCGCCCCTCTGTCGCTCGACAAGTGGTTGCTGGACTCGACCGAAGGACCCAACCGCATGTGCAAGCGTCTGCAGCGCAACCACGAGTTTTTCCGCCACTACCCGCATTTGATTCTTGCCCGAGAAGATGCTGCCACTGGTGTGCTCGAAGAAGATCGCCGACTCCCCAAGCCTGACCGTGTTGCTGTCAGCGCCGACTCGGAGGACTTTTACCGGACTGTCATCCAGCCGCTGCAGACTGGCTCGCTTCCCTCGGACGATGATAAAATCCTGGCCGAGCGTGCTGCTGAGCAGTCCGCGGCGGAAGCTGATGCGTCTCAGCTGGCCGCGCGCAATTCTGCCGCTTCACGAGTGTCTAGCAATGTTTTTGCTGCCGGTGGAGAAGAAGATCTGGGGGCGCACGTTGTGGACAGCGAGCCGTCAAGCCTGCCCTCCACTCCGACGACAGCACGGACGACCACGCCTGCGGCCACGACGTCGCCAACCCCTGCCGATGGTGGTGGTGCTGCTGCTGCTGGTGGTGCTGCTGCCGGTAGTGGTGGTGCTGGCTTGGACGCGCCCTTGGGCGAGCGGGATTTGTGGTTCCACCTGGACGACGATTTCAACATTGATGACGATCGTCACATTAGTCAGCTGCTTGAACCGGGCGATAAAATTCAATGGCGCTTCAACTGTGCTCGTGTCAATGGCCTTGATCCGATCGAGGGAATCCTGCTGTTCTGCACGTCCAACGTGTACCTGATCGACGGCTTCTTTATTGCCGACTCGGGCGATGTGTTTGAGATTTCCGCCGCGCCACACCTGCACAAGCCACTCTTGCCCAGCTTGGCGTCCAAGAAGTCTGACACCGACAACGCGCGCCAACTGTCCGTGTCGCAAATGGTCGTCGGCGATAATGCGCCGCAGCACCATCCTTTCATTCGCTGGCCGCACTCCAGCATCAAGGAGGTCCACAAGCGACGCTATCTCTTGCAGGAACTGGCGCTCGAGCTTTTCTCGACCGATGGCCAAAACTACCTGGTTGCCTTCCGAAAGGGAGAGCGCGACAAGATTTACTCGCGCTTGTCGTCCCTTGCTCAGGTGCACGGTCCTCCCGGCGCGGAGCTTTTCTTTGACCAGCAAGCCATTCTGAGCTCGATCTCGACATCCAATTCTGCGTCGGTTTCCAAGGCGTCGGCGACATCCATGCTGACTGGCACTCTGCAATCGTTCATGAGCGGCATGACTGGCGATCGCACCTCGGCCTCCGTCACGCAACGCTGGGAACGGGGAGAAATGAGCAACTTCCAGTACCTCATGTACCTCAACACGGTTGCCGGTCGCTCTTACAACGATTTGACGCAGTATCCCGTCTTCCCGTGGATTTTGCGCGAGTACGACACGGAGACGTTGGATTTGAACGACCCTGCAGTCTTCCGTGACCTCTCCAAGCCGATGGGCGCCCAGACACCAGCGCGAGCGGGCGAGTTCCAGCAGCGTCTGCTGACTTGGGACGATCCGTCTGGCGAAACCCCTGCCTTCCACTTTGGCACGCACTACTCGTCGGCAATGATTGTTGCATCGTATCTCATTCGCATGGAGCCCTTCACGCAGCACTTTTTGCAGCTTCAAGGCGGCCATTTTGATCACCCCGATCGGCTGTTCCACTCTGTGAAGGACGCCTGGCTCTCCGCATCCGAGACCAGCATGGCCGATGTGCGCGAGCTCATTCCAGAGTTCTTCTACCTGCCCGAGTTCTTGCAGAATCAAAATCGGTTTGTGCTTGGCACAAAGAACAATGGCGCCGAGGTCAACCACGTTGTCCTACCTCGCTGGGCGAAAGGCGATGCGCACGAGTTTATCCGGCTTCATCGCGAGGCGCTCGAGAGTGACTATGTCTCGAACAACCTGCACCATTGGATTGATCTTGTGTTTGGCTACAAGCAGCAAGGCGAGGCCGCCGCTGAAGCCATCAACGTCTTCCATCACCTCTCCTACGAAGGGGCGGTGGACATTGACAAGATTGACGACCCCGTCCAGCGAAAGGCGACCATCGGCATCATCAACAACTTTGGCCAGACCCCGAGGCAACTCTTCCGAAAGGCTCATCCCAAGCGCTCGGCAGCGCTGGGAATCAACAAGGCGTGCACTGTCTTCACCCATCCCGACAATCTTCAGATGACCTCGGATCCCGTGAAAGGTAGGTGCAGTGGTTGTGGGTCTTCTGGTGTTTTCGGCGCAAATCCCTTTTGATGTTCAACTTTTTTTTTTGTAGAAATTCGCGAGCCCATTGGAGAGGTATTGTCCGTTGATGACAAGTGCGTGGTTATTGGCGCGAATAAGGTAAAGAACAAGACCAAGCATGCTATTCAACTTTGTGAATGAAAAACGCCGATACTCAAGCTTCCACGTTGACAGGCTTTCGTTCCTCCAAATCTGGCCAAGTACGCCTTCTGGGGCAACCCAGACATTTCGTTGCGCTTTGCCTCGACAGATACTGGCAAGATTTCGTCCGTGCACGAGCTGATGCACGCTGGCCAAATCACGACGCTCGCGTTTATTGATTCTGTTCAAATGGTCACCGGAGGCACTGATACCGTGAGTTCCAGGGGTTTTCTGTCGTTTCTGATGTCTGTTTCTGTCCCGGCCATGGTCTCACTTTGTTTTCCCTCTTCTTTTCTTCTTCTTTTATCTCTCTTCGTCAGGTCGTCGCGGTCTGGAGCATGATCAAATTGCCAAACAAGTCCATCGGGATGCGTCTCGAGAAGCGATTGTTTGGACATCGAGCGCCAATCACGTGCGTTGCTGTTTCTCGGGCGTACAATGTGATTGTGACTGGTGCAAAGGACAAGAGCTGCATTGTCTGGGACCTCAACCGGCGCGAATACGTCCGTCAGTTGTTGGGCCATCCGCACCAGGTCGTCTGTTTGACCGTCAATCAACAATCGGTAAGCGAGAGGGTTGACACCAGAAAAAGGACCAGAAAAAAATGGGGGGGGGGCGGGGGTGCGAGTGCTCGCTTCGGTCAAGCTGATTTTTTTGCCTCATTTTTGGCTCTTGCGTTGAAAGGGTGACATTATTACTTGCGCCGGCACCTTCCTCTACTATTGGAGCATCAACGGCCGGCTCCTGGCACGCCAGGACACGTCTCGCAATACGGGCATCACTATCAGCAGTGTTGCCATGACAGAGGTGCGTCTCAGTGCCGATCGTGGCGCAACATTGGTGTGGGCGAGAAGAGAAAATCTCACTTTGGTGTATGCTTGTCATGTCTGTTGTTGTTTCCACTTTTCAGGGTGCCGAATGGCACAACCAGAATTGCATCATCACTGGTCACACGGACGGCTCCATCAAGGTAATGGTTATGATCGCGCTGTTTGTTTTTTCAAAACACAAAACGATCATCGAGAGGTGTTGCTTACCCTTGCGACGCTGTTGCCATATCGTCAGCTTTGGAGCTGCACGTTTGCGGCGTCCTCAGACTCGACTGGGCGCTACGAACTTGTGCTGCGCGCCTCGTTCACTCTACCCGAGCTCGAGCCTGAAACCAGCGTCACTGTGACATCCATTGGAATCTCTCGGTGCGTTGAATAACAGTGTTATTACGTTGCGTGTAACAGCGATTCTCGTGTAACAGCGATTCCGAGACCTCACTTTCGATTTTTTGGATGCTGCATTGTCCAATCTAGGGATCAATCGAAGGTCTATGTCGGAGATAGTGCAGGCAGGCTGTACTCGTTGGCACTGCCTGGAAGCTCTGGTAATTCAAAAAACACAGCTTTTCGCAACCAGTCTTGACAAGGTGCCGATGGCCGACACTCACACGCTTTTTGCTTCATTGCTCATCATGACAGATGCGATGACGGATCATTGGGTTCGCGACGACATGGCAAGCAACTGCAACCACTGTTCAGTCAAGTTTTCCATCACCGAGCGTCGGCACCATTGCCGTAACTGCGGCCAAATCTTTTGTGCCAAGTGCAGCAAAAACTCGCTCGTCCTGCCCCGGCTGAAGATTTTCCAGCCAGTCCGAGTGTGCGAACCATGCTTCACCGCGCTTGCCGATCAGCGAACGTGAGCGAGTGAGAGTGCTGCTGCCTTTTTTGATATTTGTGTTTAGATGGGTGTGTTTGAAGTTCTTTTGGTTTTTTAAAAAATTCTATGGATGTGTGTCGTTATTCACAAAGTTGTGCACAGCCACCAATGGCTGTCAAAAAAAAATGTAACTCGTTTAATTTCGACATGATTCATTCATTGCAACTTCTATGTTTGATGGTTTTTGTATTTGCTCCATAGACAACAAAATCATGCTTTTGCAATGGAACGGCGAGCCTGCGCCAGCTGCAGGGCAGGTGCATATTGCCCACGATGTTGCGCGTTCTTGTAGTATTGAATGTGCTTATTCTTGACGGGGAAGCCGGATGGCGGTGGGGTCGGCTCGAATCGCTCGGGATGCACCAGCCCCCGCAATCCGCGTTGGTTGTAAAACACGGTCGTCACTTTTCCACCTGCCCGCTCGATGCTGGCAACAGCAGCCTCGGACGCGCGCGTGACGGCGATCTCGATTGGCGAACGGAGTGACGCGGCACCCTGCATCAAGAAGGAAAGAAGGGATGAGAAATGATGTGTGTCCGGGTAGAGCAGAAAAAAGAGGCACAATGACAGCAAGGAAACAATACGCTGCCTGCGAAAGGCCAATGCGCGGTGGAGGGGGAGAGGGGAAATTGCAATTGACAACAACAAATTCGAAAATGGAACGACTCACCGTTGCAAGCAGCTTGACGCCGTTTTGAAAATCCTTCACCAACCCGACATCATGCAGAGTCTTGATTGTGATGGGCTCGGATGGCTTGATAAATCCCGTTTGGATGAGCTTTGAAATCTGGTGGATGTTGACTTCAGCGAGCACTGGCGATTGTCTGTCGCAAAACAACAGGTATGTCGGACATGGAGTTTGAGCCTGTGTGAGTTTTCTGTGCTACTCGATCGCTCATCGTTTGTCCCTTGACTGTCTCCATCGTCGTCGAAGGGTTGAGCAGCATACAGCTCATAGGCCAATGAGGCACTTGTTGGACCTTTCCGCAGCAATCAAACCCACCCACCCCACTCGCCTGCGCCTCCGTCTTGAAGCTTTGCTTTACTTTGTCATGCCGAACTTTGGCACCTTGCGATAGAATGGCATGGCGCCGCCTTCAAAGCCTGGGCGCGAGTGGCCTTCCTTCTTGTTCTGGCCAGCATCGCCCGTGCCGCCGTTCTTGCCAAAGCCAGAGCCAGGACCGCGACCGATGCGCTTCCTCTGTTTTGTGTGTGTGCAGGCAGAGAACAGCGGTTTGGTTGCATGTGTGTGGGGGTTACAAGAAGCCAGAGCAAGTGAGTGAACAGAGCGAGCAAGAGAGAGATCTCGCCGTTCGTTCCATGCGGCAATGCACATCACAGCAGCACATCCCCGCTCTCCATCTCCGCCTTCAGCGTCAGCTTCAGAGTCAGTCAAGTGGAGCAAATGCGCAAAGACAACCGACCTCCTTGTTGGTGCCTGCGATCGGCTTGAGCGAGGTCAGCGTGATGCGAGGCAGCGAAGCCAATGATTTGGCTGAAAGCGGTTTGCGGCCGAGATTCACAACGACAGACGACATTGAACAACAAAAAAAGCAAGACTGAATGGCTGAGAATCAGTCACGCATACAGCTAAATGAATGTATGTAATGGAACACAAAATGGAGCAATGAGAGGAAACCAAGCAGAGATTTTGCAAAACGAAAGAAGAAGCAAAAACATTGCGATGGATTTTGGATTTTCGTCCGATTCAGTTTCGCTGTTAGTCTGAGCATGAAGAACAAAAACATGCAAACAGCAACAAAAACACGCGTCGCGTCATTGATAGCTCGAAGAGCTCGACCCGTTGGCAGAAACCGGGCTCGGCTTGAGGGTTGCTTTCGCCGCGTTCAGCTGGGCATAGTACTTGGCGGCCTTGGCTTGGCTCTCGTGCAGCCGCTCCAAAAGGTGCTCTTGGCGGTCTTGCAGCGTGCGCGATAGCGACACGTTGCCCTGGTAGATCAAGGCAATGTCTTTGAGCTCGTTCTCCAACCCGAGAATCCGCTTGTCTTCCTCTTCGAGGAGCGTCTTGGCAACCGTGAGGTCCATTCCAGCGCTGAACTTGGTGTCGTAGATCATTTCCCGGAAGGCCGCGCGGTAGACGGGTTTACCCGCGCGAATCAAAAGCGGGCGGCCTGCCAGATTGGAAAAACAAACCAAACACAAAAACTCAGTACAACAACAACAACAACAACAACAAAAAGTACTCTACTTGTGTGCATACCATTGCCATGAACAACGTTGATCAGTTCGGCCCGCTCGAGTGCAAACAGCGCCTTGTCGTCGCCCTTAAAGTACGGCGAATACTTGATCTCATCAAAGCTCACGTCTTCAGACTGAGCCAACAGCTGGATGACGTACCAGAGCTGCACGCGCGACCAGACCATGCTGGGGTTGGCGTCTGAAATCTCTTCGGCAAGACCATACTTGCGGACTTCGACAATTGCACGTTGAACAATGTCGCTCACTGCCTCGCGGGCAGTCATGCCAGCCTTCACCTTCTGGACGAGCAGCTGCAGGTCAGTCAGCCGACCACCGAGATAGGCGACGGAAGTGGGAATGTCCTCGGCAACAACGTGGGGCACGTGGTCAAGCCCTCGCTTCACATACGAGACCGCCGCATCGGACGAGGCATCAGACAGGGAGATGGTCTCGAATGCCTTGTTGGGCAGGGCCTTCGCCAGTGGTTTCACGGCGCTCGTGTTGTTGCTGACAAAGACAACGTGGGCAATATGGGTCTCCACCAACAGCGCTGCCCACTCGGCCAGACGGTCGTAGAGCAGCTGGTTCTTGTCCTTGTCCTTGTCGTAGAATCCATCAATCACCACCACGGGGTACTCGATGGCTTCACTGTCAAGCAAGCGGCCCTCGTCGTCGTGAACCACGACCGTCGGCAAGTGCGGCTGGTTGACAGGGTGAAGACCAAGCGTTGGTGCCAATTCTGGTGACGGGAGCAGGGAGGGATTGGCAGGCTGCTTTTCAGCGACAGGCGGAGGAACCGGCAACCCAGGAGCAGGTGTAGGGGTCGAAGGAAGCGCCGCAGTTCCAGTCTTGCCGTTCTTTGCACGTTGAGCTGCAGCCTCCCGCTGAGCCGACGTGATGTTGCTCAAGGCGATTGCGGTGCACTCGAGGATCTTTTTGAGCTGTGTTTCGGTTGTATTGGATGTACCTGAAAGGAGGCAAGGGGTTGCGTAAGAGTGAGTAACAAGGACGATGTAAATGAGGTGCGTGGCACCAAAAAAACGAAAAAAACAAAACGAAACAATAAAACGAAACAGCACCGAATCAACACTTGACATACCAGATTGAAGTCGCTGACCGGTGGCGGCAGCCATCAAAGAATCGGCAAGATTGAATGCTTGGAGCAACCATGTGAAGGACGGGAAGAAACCAGTGCTGGAGGCGAGGCGAGAGAGAACTTCGTTTTCGCTCTGGCCAGCGAGGCGGTCGCAATGAATGACAATCTTGTACTTGCGGTCTCGGATGGCGGTCTTGAGCAGAGCAGACTTGCCCGAGCCCTTGGGTCCGTTCAAGAACAAGAACGTGTCTGGATGCTCCTTGAGCCAGTTGCTCAGCCGGTGCTCGTCGTGTCGGCGCTCGCTCCAGACCAGCGGATCGTGCTTCTCGTCGTCGTCGTCCGACACGTTCAAGAATTTGAGGCGGGCAAGCGTTTCGCGCTGGAGCCACTGGTAGCTGCTGTACTGGTCCAGCGAAAAGCGATGGGTGATTTGGTTGGTGATGAAGAAGACGCGAAGCGGATCAAAGATGGCGTATGTCAAGGCACCGAGTACTGCGAGCAGAATGGGCACAGTGATGCGGGGGTGGCTGGTAATCCATTGCAGGATGAAGTTGGTTTGCTACAAGGGAAACGAAAATATCGATCAAAATGAAAAAAAATAGAATAAAATAAAAATCAATCAATCAACCAGCAGGAGATGCGAGGAAGAGCAGGAGTCACGATGATGGTCAGTGGTGATGCTTGTCACTTACGTTCGTGAGTTCGTAGCGAATAGTCAGAGAAACACTGCCCATTTTCTTGCCGTGAAGACAGTTGCGTGCGCTGGTGGCGGAACGAATGCGCACGTATTGCACAATCGCCGATCGAACTGTGTTGGGTTGGACGGGGTTGATGGTGATGTCGTAAATCTGTCCGTAGGGTCGGAACTCTTCGTAAAAGAGCTCCTGCATGTCAACAGGCCCAGGGAAAACAAACAAAAGCCTGTTTGAGACACCTGACATGAACAATCATCGAGCACGACTCGAAACCAAACGTACCAGCGATGGATCAGGACCCTGCCATTCAACGCGAATCTTGGTGGTTGGGTACTTGGAAAGAATGTCCTCGTTGAAAGGAATACCCTGTGCAATGTGGAGCAACCCAATGTCAGCGATCTGATTTTTGGGCGAGCAACGAGACGGCACGCAAACAAATCGGAGAGAGCTCATCACTCTACCTCAACGTCGTAAATGCGAACACGCTGCTGGTTAAACCACGCCCGGACCCCGTTCTCCTTGGAGTGCAGATGGCAAGCCAGAGCCACGTCTTCGGAGGACACATCGTCCGTCACAGTGTAGTGCACAAACATGCCGCCGTCCTTCAGGCGCGGCGTCACGTCCAGAATGTTGACCTTGGACGCAATGGAGGGTGCCAGAAACTTTTCAGTGAAGAGCTTTGTGAGCTCGTCCTTGTCCGAGTTGACCAGCTTCGACCGCAGGTCCAAGCTGTGGATTTTCAGAGGGAAGACGTTGTCCACCCAGAGCGTGCCGTAGTGCCTGCCCTCAGGGAGGGTGTCGGGGATGTACAGGGTGGCGGTTGTCGACGATCGGCCAGACGAGGAGGGCTCGTGCTTGTACAGCTCGCCGAGTCCCCGCTTCTCCAGCGAGTGGGACGCGCGAACGGCGGCGGAGGTGAGCGTGTCTTGGCGAGCGGGCGCGGCAACGAGTCTGGCGAGGCGAGTTGCGCCTAGTCCTGTGCCGCAGATGCCATGGAAGGTTGCACCAACGCGATCGAGATGGAACGCCCTGGCCGGCGGGGTAGAACGCGCGTGCGAGGGTGCCTGGGCGGACTGCGACGAGGACAGTGAAGAGGCCGACGTGCAGACTGATGACAACGACCGGGCAGCACTCGTCCCCAACCACAGCGCAGCAGTCAGGGCAGGAGATGCAGTGATCTTGGATGCAGCAGGCAGTGGTTTGTGCGCGAGCAGTCCGTCGATCAGCCGCGGGTGCTGCAGCGTCAGTCCTCGCCAGCGCGCCAAAAGCGAAGACCAAGCCATTGTCCTACTCAAAGAGAAAAGAGAAAAAAAAAAAAAAAGCAAAATGACTGAACTTTTTTTTTTTCTTCGTTTTTCTTTCCTTCTCACGTCCGTCTTCACGTCTTCACGTTCGTCTTGTTGACCCTCTCTTTCACAGAAATCACGGGCAAATTTCTGCTGTTTTGTAGTTTGTGGAATTTCCTTTGTTGAGCGCTGCTGCTTTTACCAATATTCGTCACGAAACGACGACAAACTTCCCGCTGGTCGAATAAGGCAACAACGCAAACACGACCACAATGACAGCGCTCCCACCACCTGTCATCCCTTCTGCTGCTGCTGCTGCTTTTTTCATGTTTGTGTGTGTGTGGGCTGCGGCTGCGGCGCATGCAAAGCAAAGAACCGACACGAACTCCGTTTTCACACATTTTATTCGTCCGCGAAGGTCCTTGTTGTTTTTGGTTTTTGTTTTTTTTTTTGTTTTTTTCGGCTTTATCTGACTCTTCATTTTCTCATGAAAGTGCTATTTATCACATTGTGATCTATCGCTTTTTTTCCCATTGCTTGCGGTTCAGTCTTTTCCGATTCTTTTTTTTTTTTTTTTTTTCTGCGGTATTTTTTTATTTTGTCAATTTTTTTTTTCGCAAATCCGACTTTCTTTTCGCCTTCATCGTTCTCTGCCCGCTTTTCCTGCTGAGTACAATTCAGCAACAACCAACAATGACGGCACTCTTGCCGTTGCGTCGTCGCCCGGCGACCAGCCTGCCGCCGTCGCCGTCGCTGCTGCTGCTGCTCCTGCCAATCCTGGCGACTGTCGCTGTTGCAACGGAAAATGGTACGCCTGCGAAATCTAGCTGCTCTCCTTGTTTCCCTCTCCCGCGCTCAAAAACAGAAGGCGTTGGTTTCAATGCTGCTGCGCTCTGGCCTTGCTCTTTGTATTTATGAGAGAGTGGTGGGGTGGTGGGTGGTGGGGAGGGCTCAAGTGCAGCACAGCGCTCCAACACGAGATCGCACAGCGGTGGGAAAAAAGTGGTTTCGTTGATTTTACTTTATTAATTATTATTTTGAGTCTTGCCAACAATGGAAAACTAGCCAAAAGCAAGAAAATAAAATAAAAAAATAAAAATACAAAAATAAAAAAAAAAAAGAGAGGAGAGAGAGCAAACCCCGTTGCCCGTTGCCCCCGCCACAACTCGAGATGTGCGCAGTCGCAATGATCTAATCGATAGATGAGGGTGTGGACGAACACTGGATTTTGATTGGGTCGACATCGCATGGCATGAACGAACAATGCAGTCGAAAACGACGAATGTCACAGATTTTCACAACTTGCCAAAAGCGAGAAAAGTCATGAGCCATCCCCATCGAACCGAGCCATGCGTGCCGTGATCAGAAGCCGAGGTGGAGCGCTCCGGTGTTCCGGCTGTTGGACTTGCCGTGCTTCAACGGTAGTTCTTGTGACCAGGCGCAGACGCGAAACGCGGTTGGAACGAAGAGATCAGCAAACAAGAAACTCAGCTATTTCGTGATTCTTCGACCAATCCACAATCGCCTGTCGGCACAGCTCTCCATCCCCCTCCCCCACCTCTACCACCACCACCCCGGGTGCTGTTCTTGATGTTCCGATTGCAAAGCACTCGTTCTTCTCTGTCGTAGCTCCTGCTCTTCTCTCGATTTCTTCCGCACTAGCACCCTCACGCGCGCACAAACTTGTTGTTCTGCCATATTCAGAATACTTTTCCACGTCCGACATTTACAAGCTCTACCCCGTCACATCGGCGACGGTCAGCATCCCCGCCGACAAGCCGACTGTGTTTGCTCGCCGTGCCGTCTGGGACTTTGTTGTCGCGCCCACGCAGATGGAACGCCGTGCGCGACGATCTGCCAGCCTGGATTTGGCGGAATCGCTGGAACGCCTGCAACCGCATGACCCCTTCCCCGATCACATTGAGGTGTCCTTCGTCGCGGCCGACGGCTCGGCTGAGACTGCAAGTGTGCAGCTCTTCCGCGAGTTTTTCACCGAGGACGCGCGCATCTTTACGTCCGTGGTTGTCAACGGCACCACGCACGTTGAGGAGCACGTCCCTGTGCTGCGCGCCTTCCGAGGCGAGACCACTGCAGGCTTCCCGGTCTCGGTTGTTTTGCACGACGAAGAGGGCATGTTTCACATGGTTGTCTTCGATCCAGCAGGCCACTACACCATTGAGCCGGCGGCTCGCCACCTCGACAAGGTTGCCGAACACCAGCATCGACGCAACCTGCAAGCCGCCACTGCTGCCACGGGCCTCGTCTTGTTCCACGGCGCTGACTCTGTCTTTGACTTGCTGAGCGGCGTTGTCAATCACGAGGATGTCCGCCGTGCGTGGTTGCCCACTTCTCAAAAAACGCCAAAGTCCATCGTCCTGCCCCTGAACAACAACAACAACAACAACAACGATGATGCTGATGCGCGACGCACTGTTTCCAAGTGGACGAGCTGCTTCCCTGGTGGAGATACCAACATGTACGCCATCAGTGCAGCGTTTGCAGTCGACACGGGCTACTACCGCTGGCTGGGCTCCAGCACGGCAAATGTGCAGCTGAGCGTGATTGAGATCATGACCCCGGCCAACGTCCTGTACAACACTCAGGTGAACGTTTATATCCGCACCTCCACCATCGACATTCGCACAGCGTTGGACTCGGACACGTGGAATCAAATCCCTTCGACCCCGGGCCAGCGCACGTGCTTGGTGGACATTGACGGCACAGGCCCGGTGCTGACTTCGTTCGCCACCTGGCGCAAGGCGAAGCCTGCCACCCAAACGAATGGCATTTATCATTTGCTGACCAACTGCTTCCCGCCAGCGGGAACGGTGGGGTTGGCGTCAGTGGGTGTCCTCTGCGATCGTCGATATGCTGGCGTCTCGTCCTGGTCGTCCTCGGTCTGGATCACTGTTGCGCATGAGATGGGTCACAATTTCGGTGCGCAGCATACCTTTGGCTATGGCGGTCTGATGGACTATACTGATGGCAAGTACTTGGGTGAATACCAGTTCTATTCTCCTCTGAACAAGGCGCAAGTCTGCACTGGAATCAGCAATTCTATGGGCGCCAACTATCCATCGGGTGCAACGACGTACCTCGTGCCCACCTGCTGGAGCGTTATGGGACCGATTTGCGGCAATGGCCTCGTCGAGCCAGGCGAGGACTGCGATGACACGACCACCTGTTGCAGCAATTGCAAGTTCTCCGATCCGAGCTACGAGTGCTCGCTCGGCGCGTGCTGCTCGTCGTGCAAGTTTGTATCGACCTCGACCCTTTGCCTGAATGGGTATGGTCAGTGCGCCAACGGCCACTGCATCAGCGTTGCTGGCGGCTGCGCCGGCTACAGCAACGTTCAAATCTGCCCCACTGCACCCGTGACGGCATCCAATCCATGTGCGCTCAACTGCCAGTTTGTTGGCTCAAGCTCTTGCGCCAGTGCCCAGTCCATGCTTGATACAGTCATCACTGTCGCCAGCTTGCCGATTGGAACGGTGTGCTCCCATTCTCCGCTGAGTACATGCCAAAACTACAGTGGAACGGTTTCGTGTCGTCCCGCCGTGGCCGGATGTGGCAATGGCGTGATTGAACCCGGAGAGACGTGCGACGACACCTCAGCATGCTGCAACAACTGCCAGCTGGTCGCCGGAGCCGAGTGCTCTGGAGGCCAATGCTGCCTTTCAACGTGCAAATATGCGCTTCCCGCAACCGGCTGCGCTACGGATGCTGGTGCCGGCACCGGCTATTGCTCGAATGGTCAGTGTCTGACCTCTGGCTGCGAAAAGTACAGCAACACGGCCCACTGCGGCTCCAACCCGTCCAACCTCTGCGAAGAGTTTTGCTCGTACTCTGGGTCTGGCTGTGCATCTCTCAATTATGCCTACTTTGCCGCTGGCACCATTTGCAATCGCTCCCCGTACAGCACATGCGTCGTCTCGGGAGGCAAGGCAACCTGCGTCGCCACCACACAGCCTACCGTCTACACCTGGAGCTCTGGCTCTTGGTCTGCTTGTTCCCCGTCGTGCGGCGCCGGCACCCAGACCCGCACCGTCACGTGCGTCAACAGTGCGAGCACAACCGTTTCCGATTCGCTCTGCACCGGTACAAAGCCAGCCACCTCACAGTCCTGCAACAACGGTGCATGTGGCTCGTATGCTTGGCAACAGTCTGGATTCGGCGCTTGCTCTGTGCCTTGCGGCTCTGGCACGCAGACTCAAACTGTTCAGTGCGTCAATACTGCTTCCGGCAACGCCGTTGTGGCTGACTCCTTCTGCACTGGCACCAAGCCAAGCACATCTCAATCATGCTCGTCGACTGCGTGCGGTTGGTACACTGGCTCGTTTGGCACATGCTCTCCTTCTTGTGGCGCTGGCACCCAAACCCGCACTGTCGAGTGCCGAACCAATGCAGGCAACGGCGTTGCCGCTTCGTCCACGTACTGCACTGGCACTCAACCTGCTACTTCACAATCTTGCAACAATGGCGCCTGCCCTGCCTACGCTTGGCAACAGTCTGGATTCGGCGCTTGCTCTGTGCCCTGCGGCTCTGGCACGCAAACCCAGACCGTTCAATGCGTCAACACCGCTGCTAGCAACGCTGTTGTTGCCGATTCTCTCTGCACTGGCACCAAGCCAAGCACGTCACAATCCTGCTCGTCGACTGCGTGCGGTTGGTTTACTGGTTCGTTTGGCGCATGCTCTCCGTCTTGCGGCGCTGGCACCCAAACTCGCACTGTCGAGTGCCGAACCAATGCAGGCAACGGTGTGGCTGCCTCATCGACTTATTGCACTGGCACTCAACCGGCTACCTCACAGTCTTGCAACAACGGCGCCTGCCCTGTCTACTCTTGGCAGCAATCTGGATTTGGCGCGTGCTCTGTGCCCTGCGGCTCTGGAACACAAACTCAAACCGTTCAGTGCGTCAACACCGCTGCTAGCAACGCTGTTGTGGCCGATTCCCTCTGCACCGGCACCAAGCCGAGCACATCTCAATCCTGCTCGTCGACTGCGTGTGGCTGGTTTACTGGTTCGTTCGGTGCATGCTCTCCTTCTTGTGGCGCTGGCACCCAAACCCGCACTGTCGAATGCCGAACGAACGCTGGCAACGGCGTTGCCGCTTCGTCCACGTACTGCACTGATACCCAGCCAGCCGCTTCGCAATCTTGCAACAACGGTGCATGCGGTAGCTACGTTTGGCAACAATCTGGATTCGGCGCTTGCTCTGTGCCCTGCGGCTCGGGAACGCAAACTCAAACTGTTCAATGCGTCAACACCGCTGCTAGCAACGCTGTTGTTGCCGATTCCCTGTGCACTGGCACCAAGCCAAGTACCTCTCAATCCTGCTCGTCGACTGCGTGTGGCTGGTTTACTGGTTCGTTCGGTGCATGCTCTCCTTCTTGTGGCGCTGGCACCCAAACCCGCACTGTCGAATGCCGAACGAACGCTGGCAACGGCGTTGCCGCTTCGTCCACGTATTGCACTGGCACTCAGCCTGCTACTTCACAGTCTTGCAACAATGGCGCCTGCCCCGTCTACGCTTGGAAACAATCTGGATTTGGCGCTTGCTCGGTGCCCTGCGGCTCTGGCACGCAGACTCAGACCGTCCAATGCGTCAACACTGCCGCTGGCGACGCGATCGTGTCTGATTCTCTCTGCACTGGCACCAAGCCAAGCGCTTCTCAATCGTGCTCCTCGACTGTTTGCGGCTGGTATGCAGGCACGTTCGGTGTTTGCTCTGTGACTTGCAGCGGCACTGGCACCCAAACGCGCACGGTCGAGTGTCGCACAAACGGCGGCAATGGAGCGACGGTTGCAGACACGTATTGCTCTGGAACCCAACCCGCTAGCTCGCAGTCATGCAACAATGGAGCTTGCCCAACGTATGCTTGGCAGCAGTCTGGTTTTGGAGCCTGCTCACCATCTTGCGGAGCCGGCACACAGACCCAAACCGTTCAATGCGTCAACACTGCTGCCGCCAACGCTGTCGTGTCAGATTCCCTCTGCACTGGCACCAAGCCCAGCACTTCTCAGGCTTGTAATAACGGCGTGTGCCCCTCGTACTCGTGGCAGCAGTCTGGATTTGGTGGCTGCACGCAACCCTGCGGCGGAGGAACGCAATCTCAAACCGTGCAGTGCGTGAACACTGCTGCTGGAAATGCAGTCGTGGCCGATAGCTTGTGCACCGGCACAAAGCCGGCGACCTCTCAATCCTGCAACACTGGCGCTTGCCCCAGCTACTCGTGGCAGCAGTCTGGCTTTGGTGCTTGCTCTGCCTCTTGCGGAACCGGTACTCAGACCCAAACCGTGCAGTGCGTCAATACTGCCAGCGGCAACACTGTTGTTGCCGACTCGCTTTGCAGCGGCACAAAGCCCGCCTCGTCGCGAAATTGCAACACGCACGTTTGCCCACCCGCCATCGATTGCTCCTGCACTGCTTGGTCTGTGTTTGCCCCTTGCTCGGTGTCCTGCGGCTCTGGCGTTCAAAAGAGCTACCGCACCTGCACGGAAGCTCGGGATGGAGGTCGCACGTGCGCCCAGCTCGGCCTGACCAGCACGGTTCGTCAACAGGCGTGCAACACTCAGGCTTGTCCAGTTGATTGCTCGTGTGGCGCGTGGACTGGACCGACCGCTTGCTCTGCCACGTGCGGTGGCGGCAAGCAGACCTACACTCGCACCTGTACCGAAGCCTCGGCTGGCGGCCTGACCTGTGCTGCCATGGGCCTGAAGACAACCCGTCAAGTCACATGCAACAGTGGTTCTTGCCCCACCCCGGCCAACCGCGACTGTTCGTGCTCTGCTTGGTCGTCGTGGAGCACATGCTCGCGCAACTGTGGCACCGGAGCTCAGTTCCGCACTCGCACCTGCAGCGCGGCGGTCGGCAGCGGCCAGACTTGCGCTGCTCTTGGCTTGACTTCGACGTCGGAGTATCGCTCGTGCAATTCGTTTGTGTGCGCGCTGCCGACCAAGTATATGGTTGCGCTCTTTTCCTTTGATGGCTCTGGTCCCTCGTTTACCGACTCTCAGGGCAACGTTTTCTCCTGGTCGTCCGCTTTGACTCGTCGCGACACGTCCACGACTGTCCCTGCGATTCGTGGAAATGCAGCCGAATTTGGTGGTAGCGCCAGCATGGCCTTGACATCCGGGCCGCGCCTGTACGAGGTGACCCTGTCTGCCTTCATTCAGCCCTCTGCCATGGCCTCGGGCACCGCGTTCATCCGTGCACCCAATGCCGGCACCACCAATTTCTTTGTGAGCTTCCGCACGAACGGCGGCCGTGTGACGCCGTTTGTCAACGTCGGATCGACAACTCTGGCCGCCACTCTGTCCAGCAGCATTCCGACGACGTCGTGGAGCCACATTGCGGTGACGCTGAACGCCGATGGCGCGCTGACCGTTTACCTGAACGGCACACAGGTGGCCGCGCGCACCGGCGCAACCATTCCGACCACGTCGATTGCGCCTGGCAACTGGGAAATCGCTTGCTTTGATGCCGAGACCAACTGCTACTCTGGCGCCATGGACGAGCTGTCCGTGTGGAATGCGGCGCTCTCTGCAGAAGAGGTTGCCGAGCTGTACAACCGCTACTTCTCTGGCTTGAGCTCGACGTCGGATCGCGGTTCTCCTGCACCAGCCAGCGGCTCGGATGGCGGCTCATCCATCGTTCCGGTGATTGTCGGCGTGGTCATCGGCTTGCTTGTTGTTTTGATCATTGTCATTGTGTTGGTGCGTCGCCATCGTCGCAATGCCAACTACAACCACGTCAAGAAGATGGCTCGTCGGAACAGTGTCGATTCCAACGACCCGCTCACTCGTGACAAGTCTACGGCCTCCTTGGACACGCAGACACCGGCCATGATCACCAATGCTCGCGCCAACAAGCATCAATCACTGGCCACCATGGCCGTGACTGCCAATCCTCTCCTTTCAGCATCAGCAGCGGCAGCCCCTGCTCCGGCCAAGAAGCCTGGTCGCCTCGGTCAAATGACGTTTGGTCGCCGGAGCGCAGCGTCCAATGCTGCCGCAGCCGGTGCAGCTGACAACGCGGTTGAGCAGCCTGAGGTCGGCGCCCTGTTCCGTGCTCAGTATGCGTACCAGCCCCATCAATCGGATGAGCTTGAACTGGCCATTGGCGACGTTATTCACGTTACTTCGCAATCGGATGATGGCTGGATGCTGGGCAAGAACAACCGTACCAAGAAGCATGGTGTGTGCCCTGGCAACTATCTCGTTCGAATGGACGCGAATGACACGACCGCCATTCCCACTGGCACCTTGTCTGTAGCTGCCGCGAAGGCAGCGGAAGCGGCTTCGTCCTCGCCTGCCAAGGCGCCCAAGCCCGCCAAGGTTCCTCGTCCGACTGTTTCCGAGACTGCCAATCCGGTCTTCTCCCACACCGAAAATGACACTCCCTCGCCCAAACCCACTCCCCCTGCCAAGCCGTCCACGCTGCCTCCGAAGCTCGGGTCTAGCTACAAGCAGTTGGGCTCGTCCGACTCACTGTTGAACGAGAGCACAACCCCGCCCTCAAAACCCGCCCCGCTTGCTCCTAGCTCAACACTCAAGCCAACTCCCCCACCTGGCAAGCCTGCGCCTCCTGCTGGCAAGCCTGCGCCTCCTGCTGGCAAGCCCACTCCTCCGGAAAAGCCCTCTCTTCCTGCTGGCAAGCCAATGCTGCCTCCTGTAAAGCCTGCCCCTCCTGCTCCCAAGTCGTCTTCGAATGTGTAAACGCACCTGAATGCGTTTATTCTCATGCTTATCCTTAAGTGTTTACTGCTTTTCAATCCCCATCTTTAGCTTGTTGTATCTGTGTGTATGTGCTGCGTGTCATCGTGCCTGTGTTTCCGTTGCAGTAATTTTGCGCTGGTAGCTTCCTGACTGCCTGAGGTTGGACTGTGAACGGATGGCGATACGTTATGGGTGGTCGCACAGCTGCGCTGGTGACTCTTTTTGAGTGTGTCGCCATTTTCCTTTCGCTTCCGGCCTCTGATTGCTACTCTTTCTGTTGTTGTTGTTGTTGTATTTTTTTTTTCATTGTTACGTTCGTTTTTTTCTCTTCCAATACATTTTACTTGTTTGACCATTTTCCTTGATTCTGCATTGCTCAGACCGCGGGGGCGCTCGCTCGCTTCCACTCAGAACGCTCTTGCCATTCTGATTCGTCGTCCAATCTCAACCCGATAGTGTGTTTGTATGCATCTGTGTGCATGTATGTGTTGTGTCTAACGAACGAACGAACGCAGTCCTCTCATCTCAGTCCCAATGGAAGCCGAGTTTCTGCGTTTGCTCGCTGCCAAGCTGCGCAACAATGCTGCTGCTGCTCTGTCTGGCGGCGGCGCGTCTGCCGGCGACGTCCCCGTCGAGTCGCTCTCCAAGCTCACCAAGGTCAGTGGACCCAACAGCAGCCTCCATCACCGACAGGGAACTCCCATAGACCAGAGGGAAGAGTCGAGGGTGGAAGCTCCATGTGCTCTCTCCACTCATTCACTCAACCCCCTCCCCTACTCTCTCTCTCTCTCTCTCGCTCTCTGAGCTGACTCACTTGATGCAATCCCCCACTTCACTTGTGTACTGTCTGCACAGGTGCTTGCCGAGACGATCAGTCGGCTGCCGGCTGGCCCGCTGCACGAAGCGCTCGCTCGCTCAGTCAAGAAGCACGCTGCAACATTGCAGTCACTGATGCTCGCACCTGCCACCGCCACTACAACTGCTGTTGTTGCTGCTGTTCATGACGGTGCAGGTGCAGGTGCATCAAGCGCAAGAGCACCTCAGCGCCGTGCGGCCGATACACCCATTGCGCCGCCGTCCAAGCGCGCACGGCACGAATCCACGTCTTCTGACGTTGGCGCCAGCAAGAGTCAGCAACGCAACAACTTCAACCTTCTGAGCGAGTCGGATGCGCAGAATGCGATTCAGCACCTGCAGCCATCGCTGAAAACGCTCGTGGACAAACAGCAGTCTGACTCGGCCGCTGCCCGATTGTTGCTGGCATTCCCCACAGTCGACGCTGCGCATGCGTTGATGAGTGAGTTGCTCAAGAGCAGTGCGCCAACGACGACTGCGGCCTTTGAGTGCTTGGCGTCGTCAACGATTGGCCTTGCGCTTGACCGCCCCGCCCAGCCCGCCCATCAGTTCCTGAGTTATTTGCTAGATGCGTACGGTGATCAGTGGCTCGACGCCCTCGATCTTGGTCGCAAAGGAAGCAACGCTGCTGCCCAACAGTGCCAAAGTCATGCAGAGGTCGTTCGACGAGCACTCGCCACCGTCACCGTGCGCTCTGAAAGCGATCTGACGCATGCTGCAGATTCGGTCGAAGCCATTCAAGAGCTTTGCTTGCTGTTTGTCGAGTTTTCTCTGCTGGGCTGCGTTGATGGCCACTCTGGTCTCAAGGTCGCCAACCAGATTGCGAGCGTCTTGAGTGCTGTCGTGGGCTTGGCGTCGACCGATGCCTTGCGCGCGCTGTCGTTGGTCGAGTATAGTGGCATTCCCAGCCAGCGAAGAGTTGCTCGTGAAGCTGCTCTTGTTATATTGCGCCGTGTGATTCAGCTTCAAGCCACACAAGAGCTTGGCGTTTTGGACTTTTTACGGTGAGGCCACGGCGAATGGCTTTGTGTGTTGCGTGTTTCTACCCCGCTGTTATTCATCGAGTGCACGAGATTCTGACGCTGGTGGTAACACACATTTTTGTCTCCCTGCTCTGCTCAACCAGGTTGTTGGTCATTGCTCGCGCTGCTGTCGGCCTTGCAAAGTCGAGTGGGGCCGAGGTCACCACACTGAGCGCACGACTGGCTGGGCTGCGAGTACCCGATGGGTTCCTTGCTGCGGTCACTGACGCGTTGAAGCTGGAGACCACCACGACCCGCAAAGCGCTTGTCCGTGATTGCGTGTCCTTCCTCGTCTTCGAAGCGTCAGACGAGCATTTGGAAATCCTCCGACAGGTATCGTATTGTTGTTGTTTGATCGAGATGGATCTGATGGTGTTGGAGTTGGAGTATGTCGGCGCGGTTTAGCTCATTGCCCCATTGGTTTTTTTTTTTTTTTTGCTTTTTTTTTTCAACCTCCAAGGCGTTTGACGACCATGCCACGACGGAAAGCGCCGAAACTGCTCACGAGGAGGCAGAGGTCGGCTTTTTCATTGATACTCAAGTCGAAAAACGCGCGGACGACAACGCCGAAGCCGAAGCCGAATCGGAAGAGAATGAGAATGAGGATGATGAAACGCCAGTTCAGTCCGATATGGAGACTGATCAGTCGCAGCAGGAACCTTCCCAGCACGGCAGCGTGCGGCAAGCTCGCCAGACCCTCACAAGCGCGTTGCTCGAGATGACGCCGACCATGGACAAGTTTTCCGATTCGGATGTATGTGTGATTTTGTTGTTTTTGTTTTGTTTTTTCGCTCCTCTTTTCTCTTTTCTCGCCTGCGTATGTGCTGTCTCCTTTTCGATGCTGACTTTTTTGTTTTATCTGGTTTTGGTAGATTTTCAGCACACCCAAACAACAAGGCTCTGTGCGAACGCGACGCACCCGTTCGTCAAACTCCGTGTCCTCGGTTCAGTCTGTGCAAAGCCTCGCCAGCAACGCCTCCGAGCGCAGCACGCGTTCTTCGAGCCGACTCGCTCGCAAGTCCGCAGCTGCCGCAGGAGACGTCTCTCAATCAGAAGACGAGATTGCCAGCTCGCAAGACACCGTTCTCGCCAGCAGCCAAGATAGCATTGTTACGCGCAGCCGCCGACGATGAAGGCTTCCTTTTGACTCTTGTTGTGTTCCCAGTTTGGTTTCTGATGTTTTGGGATGCTGTGGTGTTTTGTTGCAAGTGCAGTCAATATTCGTATTTCATGGCAGGTTGAAATAGATTGAAACATCATGGCTTCCATTCGCCCAACAGCACCTGTAGCTCGCCCATCCAAACCGTAATAGCGCTGTTTATCATTCCATCTGCAGCTTGTCTTGAGCAATAGGTGTCGAGTGCTTGTGAGGCTGGCAAGGGAAGAAGGGATCGTTCAAACTCACCCGACCGTCGCTTGCTTTGCTTGCAGTGACAATGAGCGCGCCAAGCAGGAAGAGCGCAACGACTTTATCGACGACACTGTCCTCCGGCGCATGCAGGCTGATCTGGAGCAGGTCTCGCTGAGCTTCCAACGCGGCGAAATGCAGGTAAACTTCATTCGCAGTGCAGCTCACGTTGCCCGCCCGCGGCCTTTCGTCGCTGAGCAATTCCCAAGTGTCTGAGAAAAGAAGCCATTGGATGCAGCATCATCTTTGCGTGAAATTGGGGGGTGGCACGGGCTGAGTCGGACCGCTGCCAATCGCTGTTCGACTTACTGCACGTAACAGTGCAACACCCAACATCGCACAGGACATCAATGCGTCCGCGCTGAGTGTAGTTTGGTCTGGTATGCTGATTGACTTTCTGGATGGATTGTTGGTAGGCGTTCGGGAAACAATCCAAGGACATTTTCAAGTCGCTCGACGTGATTCGAGACATGCAAGAACGGCTCGTTGCGCAGCACATCTCGGTCGAGCTGCAGCCGTCCAGCGAAGCGCGACCAACCCCAGAGAACATGGGCGAATTTCTAACCATGCAGACAGAGCAAGAGCGCAAGCTGGGCGTCGTTTTGGACAATCTCGGCCTTTTGAAAAGCGAAATGTAAATCATGATGGGTTGGAGTGGATTGGATGGATGTTCATGATGGAAGGTCTGCATTGCTCATGAAAACTTTGTGTCTGTGCACCACCACGTAGGGAGAAGCTACAAGCCAACTTTGTCAATCTCGAGTGAAAGGCGATGGGATGACTTTATTATTTATTGAGCGTGCCTCTTCGGTCGGCAGCCCCTCCTCGTGAGGTGCGCAATTTGAGATCTAGGTCCATGCAACGTGCCGAGCATCGTGCTTGGAACGGCTGGCACGACAATCATGCGAAACAGGCAAAAACAAACAAAAAACACGAAAATAAAGCCTTGAACAACACCTCAGTCACCAAACTGCCATTCCCGCCTCTACTGGCAACATAAAACCTTGACTTGTGTTATTCGTCCAATTCAAATTCTAGGCGACGACGATGCCTTCCTTTTCAACCGAATCAATCTATGCAGTCTTCACTTCTCTTTTTTTTTTTTTTTTTTTATTTCTTTCTTTGCCAGTGAGTTTGTTCCACATCCACTCGCGCGCTTTTCCCTCACCGGCTCTCCTTCCGAGCACTCTCCTTCCCATGCGGCTCTTGGACTGTTATTGCACCACCCACACAAAACTACCACCACCTACTCTCGGGGGGCTGGAGTCGCACTGTGTGCTTCTTTTGACTGTGCCAGGCTTGGTCGATGCCATCCGACCTGCCGCCGTCGCCCGCCATCGCACCAACGCAACAAATGTTGTCAATGGCGCCTTTGAGATGCTTCCTGCCGTAGACTGATGAGCTGCGACGACGCACACGCGCGCGCGTCCGAGCTGAGATTGAGCTGACGCGCGCTTTTTTTTTTCCGTCTTTTTTTTTTTTTTTGTTTCCTTCTTGTTCTTCGTCCTTCGATGCTCGTCCCCCTCCACGCTCCCCTCCCTCTTTCGGTCGCTCTGCTGTCCTCTTCAGTCCCCACATCCAGCCAAGTCCGACTGCAGCAACAGCCGAAGCGTCCGCCTGAACTTGCTCTTTTTTTTTTCTTCTTTTTCCAGCTGTCGCCATGATCCTTTCGCCGTCTCACGCCTCACCACGACAGCCACTCGTGCAGCAGTACACCTCTCGTTCTCTTTGTCTTTCCACTTGGATCTGCTTGGCATGGCTCGAAGAGTCGGCGAACCAGTGGTCGCGCTGTTCTATTTGCATGAAACTCAAATGTTGTTGTATTTGTCGTTTCTCAGCTTTTGCCCGCGCGCTCACCACAACAACAAACGTGCTCATCGTGTGTTGAGCGCTGTTGATGTTGCTTTTGTCATGTATCTCACTCTCTCTTCAATCTGGTTGGATTTCTGTTGCCAGGAGAACCATGACACACCTGGCAAACACGACGCGCGCGCAGTCGATCGACGAAGTCTGGGCGGATGTGCAATCCGGCATGGACTGCTTCTACTATAGCGACCAGGGCATTGACTACAATCGCCACATGAAGCATTACTCGTAAGGAGGCTTTTTTTTGGTGATGCGAGTTTTTCGCCATTGTCTTTGCGCCACTCTTAACTTCCATTTCCATTGGTGTTCCTCGCGCATCGCTCGCAGCAACATTTACAACTACTGCACCGCCCCTCGGACCTTGCCGACTGATATCAGTCGAAACGCCCGTCGGCCCGACTCGAACAATTTCAAGGGGGCGCATGTCACCGGTCAAGACTTGTACTGCCGGGTGATTGAGTACCTCCGCCAGTACCTGCGAACTCGTTCCGAGGTATGGTCCATGCTGGTGCATTTGGAGAAGGGTTGCAGGAAGGGCGCTTGTTTGGAAGAGGGTTTTTTTTGGCTTGTTCTTTTTTTTTTGGCGATTGTCGATTCATCTCATTTTCTGTTTTGTTTTTTGTTTTGTTTCTTGGCAGGCTTGCAAAGAGCTTTCAGATGAAACGCTCCTGCGCTACCTCAACAAGCAGTGGGACCGCTACAAGATTGCCAGCAAAGTGCTGAATCATCTGTTCGCCTACTTGAATCGCTATTGGATTCGCCGCGAAATTGAAGAAAACGTCAAGAATGTCCACGAGATTTACAAGGTACGAGCGGGAGCGGGGGCGGGGGTCGTCTTGTTTTTTGCTGTTGTTTGTCGTTGTCTGGTTGAATTTGGTGGGTTTTTTTTTTTTTTTTTTTTTTGCTCACGCTCACCCCTCTCTTTGATTCTCAGCTCGCACTCGTCACTTGGCGCGACGACCTGCTCCTGCCGTTCAACAAGCAAATCACGGCGGCTTGCTTCCGACTCATTGAACGTGAGCGCAACGGTGAAAAGATCGAGACCAGTCTCATCCATGACATTGTCGACTGCTATGTCAGTCTTGGCCTGGGCGAGGAAGACTACAAGAAGCAACGGCTCGGTGTTTACCAGCAGTACTTTGAGAGTGGTTTTATCGAGCAGACCACCCTGTTCTACACTGCCGAAAGCTCCAAGTTTTTGGCCTCGAATCCTGTGACCGAGTATCTGAAAAAGGTGCGATAAATTGCCTTGGTCGCTTTTTTTTTCTTGTTCCTTTTTCTCATTCACATGAACTTTTGAACTTGATGCTTGGCGCTCGCTTTTTTTTTTTTTTTTTTTTTTCTTTCTTTCTTTTTTTTTTTTTTTCTTTTTTTTTTCTTTTTTTTTTTTCTTTTTTTTTTCTTTTTTTTTTTTCTTTTTTTTTGTTGTTGTTCAGATTGAGGCCCGGCTCGCAGAGGAAGAAAGCCGCGTCCAGCTTTACCTCAGCATCAACTCGCGGGAGCCGCTGCTCGAGTGTTGCGATAAAATTCTGGTGAGCAACCACCTGGAGACCTTGCAGGCCGAGTTCCCCAACCTGTTGTCACACAACCAGGTCGACGACTTGGCTCGCATGTACACTGTGCTTTCCCGCGTTGCCAACGGACTGGACTCGCTCCGAGTGATTCTCGAAGAGCACGTTTCGGCGCAAGGCTTGTCCGCGATTGAAAGCTGCAGCGAAACTGCGCTGAACGACCCCACCCAGTACGTGACCACGCTGCTCGCGGTGCACAAGCGGTATGCAGCTCTCGTCGCTGGCCCCTTCCGCGGCGATGCGAGCTTTGTTGCTGCCTTGGACAAGGCGTGTCGCAAGTTTGTCAACACGAATGCAGTCACCGCCAAGGCCAAGTCCTCGACAAAGTCCCCTGAGCTCTTGGCGCGTTACTGCGACGCGCTCCTCAAGAAGGGTAGCAAAAACCCTGACGAGAACGAACTCGAGGAGCTCCAGCAGGACATTATGGTTGTCTTCAAGTACATTGACGACAAGGACGTCTTTCAAAAGTTTTACACAAAGATGCTGGCCAAGCGTCTCGTGCTCGGCGTGTCCTCGTCCGACGACGCGGAAGAGTCCTTCATTTCCAAGCTCAAGCAGACGTGTGGCTACGAGTACACGGCCAAGCTGCACCGCATGTTCAACGACATTGGTCTCAGCAAGGACCTGAGCTCCAAGTTCCAGGAGCATCTTGTGGCAAGCAGCACCAAGCTGAACCTTGACTTTAGCATCATGGTTTTGGGCTCGGGAGCGTGGCCGCTGCAGGGCAACACTGCCCCCTTCTCGGTCCCCGACGACCTCGTGCGTGCACTCGAACGCTTCACGACCTTCTACCAGAACCAGCACTCTGGTCGCAAGCTCATGTGGCTGTACCCGCAGTCGAAGGGCGAGCTGCGCACTTCGTACGGCAAAGGTGCGACCAAGTACACCCTCCAGGCGTCTGCCTACCAGATGGCCATTCTGCTGCTCTTCAACACCAACGATTCGCTCACAGTGGAGGCCATCCATCAGGCCACGCTGCTCCCACTTCCGCTTCTTGGCAGTATTCTCGCCGTTCTCGTCAAGGCCAAGCTGCTGAACGCCGAGATTGAGGATGAGAACTTTGCGCCTACCACCGAGGTTTCGCTCAACTTTGATTTCAAGAGGTGTGTGCTTGTTGTTCTGTTGGTTTGTGTGTTTGCTTGTGAGAGTTAGAGAGAGTGAGTGGAGTCACGGACTTAGGGCTGTTGGGATTTTGGGTTTGTCGCGGTTGTCGATGCTCACTTGCATTTTCGGCCGGTGCTTGTAGCAAACGTCTCCGTGTCAACGTCAACCTGCCTCTCAAGTCTGAGCAAAAGGCCGAGCAAGAGGACACCCAGAAAACGGTCGAAGAAGATCGCAAGCTTTTGATTCAGGTTTGCGCTGGCGCGACGGTTGCATTTCAATTCTCGTGGTCTTCTTATTTCTGTGCTCATTTGCTCTGCATGCTGTTTGCTGCGTGTGCACCTGAATTGGCAGGCCTCTATTGTCCGCATCATGAAGACCCGCAAGGTTTTGAAGCATGCTCTGTTGATGAACGAGGTAAGAGTGGTTTTGTTTGTTTGTTTGTTTCATTCTGTTTCCTTTGAGACAATTGTGGCAACTCACGTCAACACACCCCATGGAATTTCCAAACAGGTCATTGCGCAACTGAACAATCGATTCAAGCCAAAGATCCCGACCATCAAGAAGTGCATCGACATTCTTTTGGAGAAGGTGCGGAACGGCATGTTGCATTGACGCTAGAATCTGTGTTTTTTTGTGCTTTGCTTCGACATTGAAAAACTGACAAGTGCTCTTCTTTTCCTTGACAGGAGTATCTCGAGCGACTGCCCGATCAGAACGACACCTACTCGTACCTCGCTTGAGCAGTCTTTGCTTTCATCATTCCATGCTCCTGTGTTTTCCTGCACCTCATGTGTTGATTGTCCTATTTCGTTGTACCTGTACTACAAGATTCCTTTCGCAACAGCATCATTTTGAAGATATGGATGGCATTTTTTCTGGTGGAAACACCCGCAACCTTGTCCTCATTCGAAGACGACGACTGGGGTATTTCGTAGCAAGCAATGGACTTTCAAAATCTGCAATTCCTTTGAACCAGATGCACACAATGACCTGAGCGAGAGACGATCATCTGCGCTCCAGGACGGTTTATTCTTGCAGCAGAATGACATCGACGTCGTCGTGGACGCCCTGAAGCAGCATCTCGCCCTTGAAGTCGACAATCTTGCGCTTCTTGGCGCTCTTGAGCGTGCCCAGCAGTGCCTCGAAGATGTTGGCCACACGATCGTCCTTGAACAGCACGCCGTACTTGACCTAAGTGAATGTTGAACACAGAGTCAGCATCCTTCTCCACCCACTCGCGGCGACCTCTCCATGGTTGTATCGCAGCTCGTTTGGTATCACGATTACTACATCGGATGTGTCTCCACGAACGCGGACGAGGCGACCGAGCGAAAGAGGGACACAAAGGACTTCCAGTTTGCTCTCTCTCTCGTTCCACTCTCGTTCCACTCTCGCTCATGCTGCACGCTGCGGTCCGAGCTGTGGACTCACAGAGTACTGGCCGCTGGCGTTCTTGGCGCCGAGACGTTTGATCTCCTCCTTCAACAGTCCGATTTCGTGGTCAACGTTCATTCTGGTTGTTTGGTTTGTCTTTGTTTTGAGAAATGAGCTGGTTTTTTCTTGGTTTGTGTTTCCTTCTTTGATTCTATTCGGCTTTTTCGAGTTTTGATTGTTGCGACATTGCGGTTTGTGAATATTCAACGTGAAATCAGAGAGTGTCAATGCGCGAGTTGTGCTGCTGCGGTTTGGCGTGTAGCTGGAAAGTGGAAGGTTGTGTGGTTTTGCTTTGAATCGCTCCGTCGGTCGGTCGTCGGTCGTCGGTCGTCGTCCATTCAAAACAAGAATCTAAATGCATGCACAAAGCGCACTCATGGCCGCTTTGAGGGTTCACCCGCGCATGAGTCGAACTTTGTGTCCAGCAGTTCAATCGCTGGAGTTGCCAATTTCAACTTTCCTTTTTTTTTTTTTTTTTTTTTTTTTTTTGGCAAGTTTTTTTATTGTTTTATTATTATTATTTTTTTATTTGGTTTGCTTCACTTCACATTTTTTTTCTTCTTTTTTTCTGGCTTTCTTACATCAAACAGACAAACAAACCAACAAACAAACGATGGGTTTCTGTGCAAAGTGCGGTGATATCATCAAGGGCGGTGCTGGTGCGCGATGCCCGTGCGGCGGCAATGCTGGTACGCAAGCTGGAAGGCGAACTGAAGGCGAACTGAATGAATTGAAAGCCGTCGTCCTCATTCACTCACTGTTGCTGCTGACCCCCCCCCCCGTTGAACCCCCGACTCTTCGTCCACTCGAGAACAGGATCAACGCTCACAGACATGAACGACGGCAAGGACAACCGCGGCGACTCTCACAGCAATGCGTAAGTGAACTCAAGCCAAAAAAAAAAAAAAAAAAAAAAAGCAATATTTCTGCCCTTTTTTTTTTTTTTTTTTTTTTTTGTGCTTTTTGAGCACTTTGTCCCGCTTTTGAACGTCCGTCCAATCACAATCACAAACCCACTCTTCGAACCAATGCTGTGTTTGTTGTTGGTCGGCTTTTCTTGAATCTCGCCTTCGTTTTGTTCCATTTCGCTGAAGCTTTCGTTTTTGCCAACAAAAAAATTTGCGCAGAATTCCTAAAACTCAATTTTTTTTTTTGTTTTTGGTCGGCTTTTTGGTATTTCAGGTATCTCTCGTCGGGACTTTCGCAAGGCGTCGAGAAAGGTCTGCGCAAGATGGTTGGCATGGCCGACGTGTCGTCCGAGTGCGACTGCGAGGGCTGCGGGCAAAAGCTGCGAGGTGTATGTTGCAACTGTGCATTGAACCCGTGTAGTTAGTTGGACGCGTGAATTCGTTAAGGGTTGGATGAGCTCGATGCTGGGAGACTCTTTGAAGGTGTGTGTGTGTGGTGGGGGTAGTGGTGGAGGAGGAGGAAGGAAATACCAAATCAAATCAAACTCACCTTGCTTGGCTTTGACGCCTTGCAGAACGGTGACATTTTCCCCGGACGCGACGACAACAAGCCTTACTGCGAATCATGCTATGGACATCGCTTCAAGATTGGCGATTGCGAAAAGTGCCACAAGCCTGTCCTTGGCCTTGGTAACAGCGCTTTTTGCCTCTAGTGCTCTTGCTGTCGACACTTTCATCATTCTGTTTTTTGCTGGTACTCACTCTTCCAAAAAAAAAAAAACACAGGCAAGCAATACGTCCGCGAAGGCCCAAAGAAGATCTGGCATCGCGAGTGCTACGATGGCCACGGGTGCTCGTCTTGCGGCGAGACCATCATGGGCCAGGGCGTCGACGTTGACGGTCAAAAATGGCATCCCCAGTGCTTCTCGTGCTACGAGTGCCGCATCAACCTTGCCTCGGAGGGCTCCTTCTTCCCCGTCGACGGCTACATTATGTGCAAGGACTGCGCGCCCAAACACCGAACTGTCACTGTGACAAAGCAGCTTGGCGCAGCTGGTCGTGGTGGCAGCGGCAGCGGCAGCGGCAATGGCGGCAACGGCGGAGGCTCGGGTGCCTCCAACCGCGAGCTGAACAACGCGGCGGCACAAGACCGCCAGCGCGAGCTGGATGCTCTGCGCAACTCTGTCGACACCTTCTCAGTGTCTGAAAAGTGCGGCAAGTGCCACGAAGTCATGTACGGCAACGGCGTCAAGGCCCCGAGCGGCGCCATTTTCCACGACGACTGCTTCTTGTGCAGCGGCTGTGGCAAGGACTTCCCCGACCGCCGGTTTATGGAGAAGGACGGCAAGATTTGGCACTCGGATTGCTTCAAGAAGGCCAACGCCGTTGGCTGCGGTATTTGCCACCAGCCCATCTCGGGCTCCATGCTGGAGTACCACGGTTCCAAGATCCACTCGGCATGCTTCAAGTGCTCGGACTGCAACAAGAGCCTCGCCGGTCAGGCCTTTGCGGAAGTCAACAACAAACCATGCTGCTCTGGTTGCGCCACCAAGAACACAAAGATTGAGACGGGCAAAAAGGGCGGCTTTACCGTCAACCAGGTCACTGGCAACAAGGAGCAGCGCGAGTACGGTGGCATGCGTTTTGGCGGCACCGTCACCATGGATCCCGGCGCGGGCCCTGCCTGCGGTCGCTGCAAGAAGCCAGTGTACGTTGCCGAGCGCGTTCTGGGCCCCAGCGGTGCACACTGGCACAAGGCCTGCTTGACATGCCACGACTGCGCTACTCCGATCGCCCAGTCGACCCTCACTGAGGTTCGTGGCGAAGCCTATTGCAATCTGTGCGCCGTTAAAAAGTCGGGCACCAAGCCTGTTTTCTGAGTGCTGGTCGACGGTTTTGTCCGATGCAGCCTCTTTGTGGGAGGTTTTTTGACTCGTTTCTGTGGCAGATGGGTTTTGTCTGTTCGTTTGTTTGTTTTCTGTTTCGGCTTCTTGTAAAGTTTCATTGTTTTTGTTTTGTTGCGCTGCCTGCTGCTTCACCACTGCGCTTCCACCACCAAATTGAAAAACAAAAAAGTACATAAAAAAGCTTTATACTACTAAATTGTATAAATACAATGCCAACGTTTGTTGTGCACGAGTCCAAGTTTCGCTCTGCCGCTGGCTCAGACATTGTGAATACCACGGGACGGCACACGATCCTTTCGCTGCAACTTGTCCAGCCAGGCCAGGGTGAAGAATTGACGAGCGGCGACGAATGCCCGACGAGCTCCGCGAACAATACCCTTCTCCAAGAGGCGACCAGATTTACCAAAACACGTGCAAAATCGCGAGCGTGACATGGCGAGCGACGAAGAGGAAGGCGAGAGAAGAGCCATGGTATCCTCAGAGTCGTCGAAATCGTCAAAGTCGTGCATTTCAATGTGAATCGCTTCGACGCGAGTGTTTCCAGAGGCTGCGAGCTGTGCGTATGCTCGGTTGACGTCGGCCAGCAGCTGACGCATCAGCCTGCGCTCGTGCAAGTTGGGCTCGGCCATGGCGGGCGAGGGACTGAGAATTCGGACAATGGAAGGATGGACTCGCACCAGCACAGACAGAGCCTGAGGGTTGTACACTTCGCCGTCAGCCGCCATGGTGATGGATCGATCTGGGCGCGTCACGACTAGCTGCTGGCACTTGAAATGCTCGACCGTTGGGAGGTGACTGTGCGACTGTCCGTCGTACGACACGCGGGCAAAGAACTGGCCAAGCTGCAAGAGCGAGCCATGTTGAACAATCATGACATCGAGTAGGCCGTCGGACATGTGCGCGTACGGAAAGAGACACGACTGCTTAGGCATGTTGGTGGCCTTGGCGGGGTATGCCCCAACAATCACGCAGGTGGTGTCGCCACGGCGATGTTGCACCGGGGGTAGATTACCGCCAAGCATAGGAGAGTGGAGATGGGCGGACGGCGTTGACGATGACGGACCAAGGGCAAGGGACATGTGGCCGGAACCGAATCCTGTTGCTGGTGGGATGCTCGCGCTGTAGCCCAGGGCTGCCGAGGAGACGGATGCGTGCGTGGTGGCGCCAAGCCCGGATGATGCCGCCACCGTGGTGGTCGTGGTGGGCCGGTGGGCAGAAGACCCAAGCGCGCCGCCAACACAGACCGCGCAGGATCGGCCCGTGGTTCGGTCGCAACGCGTGTTGGCAATCGGGATGGGTGTAAACGAAACGCTACAAGGATAGGCACGCCTTGGAATGCGTGCAATCTTCTTGATGGCTGCGTACGTGTAGCGCGCGGGACCCATCCAGCGAAGGTCGACAGATTCGCCGACAATGTCGGACATTAAGCCATACTGAACGCTCATGCAGAACTGAGTTGATCCTTCCGCTTGTTGGCGGGACGAAAGGTGGTCTCCAGCGCTCGAGAGCGCGTGCGGAGTGGTTGGATCAACCACAACTGTTTCGGGCAGCGGTGTCAGTGAGCACAAGTCGAGCGGGATAACCTCTCCCTTAATCATCACGAGAATTGCTGTAAACACATCTCGAATGGCGTTTGCGCCACACAGCGCGTTCTGCGACCCAAGCGGGCACATGGCAATCGGGATGTGACAGGCAGCCGTAATTGCGCCGTCTGGCTTTTGCAAAAGCCCTGCCAGCACCTCGTTCACGACGCCATCGCCTCCGAGACAAAGCACTGCATTGAATGATTCCAGATGCAGCTCTCGTGCAAGTCGAACAGTGTCACCCGCACAGGCAGACGCAAAGACCTGGTATAGATGCCCTGCCGCAGAGATTGCTGGTGCAATCTGGTGCTGAAACACAATTTCGCTCAAGCCGTTGCCCGACACCGGGTTGAGGAAGACTGCGATGCGACGTGTGGTGCTATCCAGCCCCGCTCTGTGGATGGGTTCGAGGCGAGGAGTGAGTCACCAGAACAGCACAAGCAGAAAATTAAAGGTGTTGGGCCGAAGAAACGAGGACAGCAGGAACATACCGTCGTCGAATGGCTTCCACAAAGTCTGTCAGAGATACGGGTGAGGATAGCAGCTCGTTGGCGTGCGACGACGACGACGACGACGACATGCCGGACGCCTCTGCTCCCAGCAGATCAAACGAATGCCGAACAACTTTGCACGCCTTCGCCTTCAGCCCGATGGATGCGAGCACCCCGCCGACCTGCTCGAGCGAGTGCACTGTCAATCGCTGTCGGTCGTCACTGACCGTAATGTTAATGATGGAACGCGTTGGCAAGCGCAGTACCTGATGTTGAAACACCAAAAAAACATTTGAGCCAAAGCTCAGAGCTCAGAGTTGTTCGTTTGTTTGAGACGGCGACCAACAAAACACAAAAGCAATAGCAATCGCAATAGCAAGAGCAAAACACGTGTCCTACCTGTCGGACGGCGTTTGTCCCGCGGTGGGCCTGGAGCAGCACCAGCGCCGAGTCAAAGGCGAGCGGGCACTGCTGGTTGGACAGGGCGGCCTCGTACTGCGCAATGCTCGGTTGCAGAGCACGCTGCAGCACAGCCATGCTGGACTGAAGAGCGCCTGACGTGACAGATGGCCCAGACGCAGACGCAGACGCAGTGCCAGGTGAGGCGGTCGCTGTCGCTGCGGTCTGAGCAGAGGGCGTCAGTGCAGCGTTGAGCTGGGCAAGCAGGTCCTGCAGCGATGGCGTCAATGCGAGCACGGTGCCTGTCTCCAGGGCGTCTCTTGACGACAATGATGATGATGACGATGAAGAAGAGGAGGAAGAGGACGAGGAAGACGCCGCTCCAGCGCCGGACGGACCGACGTCCAGCGAGTTGCTGACGTGCACCCGAGCTAGAATGCGAATCGGTGGCGGTGGAAGCATGATGGATACTGAGACAAAAAAACAGACTGCATGTTAATGTCACGGTTTGTGTTAGAAAAGTGAAAATCAAAGACGTTGAAGCGTATACGCTCTCCATACTGCAGAGCACAACGTGAAGCGAGTCCAATGGTTGCAGCCGGCTTTTCTGGATCGCTATGGAAATCAATGCCTCTTTCGCCCAAGCATGAGCACCTGCCGCACGTCCCCTCAACACGGCCACCAAACTACGCAAAGCACCGTCCGGCTCAGAGTCGAGCACCGTGTCAAACTTTGCGAATGCTGATATGGCTGCAACTCCAACCTATTCTGTACAACACTTTGTCTGCCGCGACTGGCAACCACGCCTTGTACGAAGATGTTGACTCAAAGCCCAAGCAGGTCGAGAGTGGCGATCGCAAACTAGAACATGTGCGTTGTTGGCGTGTGGGTTTTTGTTTGATTTTGCTGTTGTTGTTGTTGTTGTTGGTTTTTGTTTGTTTGTTTGTTGTTGTTGTTGTTGTTGTTGTTGTCGTTGTTGTTGTTGCCATTGCTGTTGTTGCCATTGCTGTTGCCATTGCTGTTGTGTTGTAGTTTTATGGTCCGCACCTTCCATAACACCTGACTGGGCTCGTGTTTGTGAAAGGAGATTCTTTTTCAAGGCCTCAAAGACGAATGAAAGGAAGCCCAGGTCGTCACGTCTGGCCGAAAGCACTCACTTCGTGTAGCTCTTCTTCCGCAAGTGGTTGATGTGATTTGACTGCAGTGTTGTGTGTATTTGGTGTATTTGGTGTTTTGCATTATGTTGTCTTATTTTTGGCTCGGCTTGTGCGACTACAAAATTGCCGATAGATCAAAATGGTGGAAAATCGCCGATAGATCAAAATGGTGGAAAATCGCCGATAGATCAAAATAAAATGGTGGGCGGTTTACTCCTTTTTTTTTTTTTCTTTTTCCTTTTTCTGTCTCTTCTTTCCCCTTCCGTGCATCGCGTTTGGTCGTTCCTCAAGTAAGCCAACACACATCATCAAACTCAGGCAGCGATGTACTTTCGATAGACTCGCTTCTTCCGAATGAGTGGAGCGAGAGCACGACAGATCACGCATGGGAATTGTCAACAATGTCCAAAACAACAGGGAAACAGCCGGTTGTCGCGCACCCACCTTTCGCGGGGTGTGTCCTGTGCTTTGCACCACCCCACTCCGCCTCCACTTGGCGGCTCTGCTCAGCAGATACGGCTTGTTTGCAGCAATCTAATCGAGCCAAGCGGAACCAGCGATGGTCGACGGGATCCACCGCGAGTGACCTTAAACCCCCGCAAAAACAATAATAACAATAACAACAACAACAGCATCCGCAAACAAAAATCCTCCGCAGATCAACATCATTGGGAGCTGGTGCGTCGCGCTTCTTTGCCTCCCGCTCTATGAAAAACACTGCACTTGATCAAGAAGGGCGCGCGGGGCGGAGAGGCGGGCAAGCAGCACACGCGCAGAATTGCAGAGTCGGAGGGCGTCTCCGCCAACGGCCACACTCACCACTTCCAATTGGATGCTTGGAGTCCTCCATCCCCCACACAACTCACACAACTGACTCTCAACAATGTGACGCTGTGAGCGAGTGGTTGTTGAAATCCGGCAATCTCACTTTGTAATTGTCGCTGATTGGCAACAACGCCACATTAGATGACACCGAAAGGATCTGCCTTTTGTCTGTTGCTTTCACTGCTCTGCGTGATCAGTCACGTCCAGCTGGCACAAGCAGTCATGGCCTGTGGCACTGACGGCGTGTGCGATTGCTCGACGGGAACGACTGTCGACTGCGGAAGCCGATCTCTCACAACCATTCCAGACGGAATCCCAGTCACCACAACAGATCTGTAAGTGTGGTTGTTGAGCTGACCTTGAATTGAAGCATTGCTCTTCTAATTGACACCCGATCGGTAGGCGTCTTCACCTCAACCTGTTCACCAGTGTTGCTGCCAACGCATTCTCGGGCCTCACTGCGCTGAATAGCCTGTAAGCAAGGAAGGTCATGACAACCACGCACAAACGACACTCATTTGCGACCTCTATCTTCAGGTTTCTATCCAACAACCCAATCACAAGCATAGCTGTCAATGCATTCTCGGGCCTCACTGCGCTGACACAATTGTAATTTCGCATCGCCGTGACAATCCTCGCACAAAACTTCTCACTTGTTTGCTATGTTATCTGTAGGTCTCTTGCTGGCAACCCGCTCACCACCATTCCTGATAACACATTCACAGGCCTGACTGCGCTGACGCGACTGTAAGCAAGCAAAGTCATGAAGCATCACACTTAATCGGCTCACTCGTTTTGCGACTCTTTCTGAAGGGATGTTTACGTCACCCAGATCGCCAGCATTTCTGCCAGCGCATTCGCGGGCCTGCCTGTGCTGGAAGTACTGTAAGCAAGCAAACACATCAAGAACCACGCACAATCGGCTCACTCGTTTGCGACTCTGTCTGCAGGTCTCTGAACGACAACCAGATCACCAACATTGCTTCCAACACATTCACAGGCCTGACTGCGTTGACGCGACTGTAAGCAAGCAAAGTCATGAAGCATCACACGCACACGACTCACTCGTTTTGCGACTCTTTCTGCAGGTCTCTTTTCAACAACAACATCACCAGTATTCCTGCCTCTGCATTTGCAGACCTGTCTGCGCTGACATACTTGTAGGCAAGCAAAGACGCGAACATCTCTACACAAACTCTTTATTCATTACGACTGCGTTGGTAGGGATCTGGCCGGCAACCAGATGACCAGCCTTTCCGCAAATGCATTCATAGGCTTGACTGAGCTGACCTACCTGTAAGCTTGCAAGACTTGAAGAATCGCACACCAACGGCTCACCCGTTTTGCAACTCGATCTGCAGGAGTCTGACCTCAAACGAGATCACCAGCATTTCACCCGCTGCATTCACAGGCCTGACTGCGCTGACTGAGCTGTAAGGCAAGCAAACAAACGAGAAATCATGCACAAACCACTTACTCTTCTGCGGTTCTGTATGTAGGGTTCTAGAGAACAATCTGATCGCCAGCATCTCCGCGAACGATTTCGCAGGCTTGACTTCGCTGAATCTCTTGTAAGCAAGCAAAAGCATGAGGCACAAACATGACCAGCTCACTCGTTGGTGTCTCTCTCTCTCTCTCTCTCTCTCTCTCTCTCTCTCTCTCTCTCTCTCTCTCTCTCTCTCTCTCTCTCTCTCTCTCTCTCTCTCTCTCTCTCTCTCTCTCTCTCTCTCTCTCTCTCTCTCTCTCTCTGTAGGAGAATGCGAAACAACCAGATCACCAGCCTTTCTGCAAACGGATTCGCAGGCCTGCCTTCGTTGACTGAGCTGTGAGCAAGCAAGGACCATTGCACGAGTATTCCACCACAACCTGTCTCACTCGCTTGCTACACCATATTTAGAGATCTGGATCTCAACCTGATGACCAGCATTGATGCCAGCGCATTCGCTGGCCTGACTTCGCTGAATCTTTTGTAAGCAAATACCAACGAGTGACATAAGCATGACCAACTCACTCGTTGGTGACCCTCTCTGTAGGAGCGTGCAAAACAACCAGATCACCAGTATTTCTGCAAACGGATTCGCAGGCCTGCCTTCGTTGACTGCGCTGTGAGCAAGCAAAGGCATGAAGAAACACACCCAGACGACTCATTTGTTTTCCCACGCTTGCTGCAGGGGACTTGAGAGCAATCAGATCACCAGCATTTCTGCAAATGCATTCGCTGGCCTGACTTCGCTGAATTTCTTGTAAGCAAGCAAAGGCAACAAGAAGCACACCTAGACGACTCATTCGTTTTCGTTCGCCCACGCTTGCTGCAGACGACTTGAGGGCAATCAGATCACCAGCATTTCTGCAAATGCATTCGCTGCCGTGACTTCGCTGAGTGTGTTGTAAGCAAATACCAGCACGAGACTTAAGCATGACCCACTCACTCGGTTGTAACCCTCTCTGTAGGAGTCTGCATTTCAACCAGATCACCAGCTTTTCCGCAAACGCATTCACAGGCCTGACTACCATGATGTATTTGTAAGCAGAAGGAAAGACATGGAAGCATGAACTCTCATTCGGTCTACTCCATTCGCTGCTAACTTTGAGGTACGTGCAGACTGCTGAATAGCAATCCCTTCACCACTTTGCCGCCTGGCCTGTTTCAGGGCCTGCAAAATGGCCTGATTTTGTCGCTTGAAGACTCATCCCTGAGCCCCAACAACTTTACGTTCAATGGGAACATTTTCGCTCCGCCCAGCACATACGGCAGTGCATCCCAGCCTTACCGTAAGTTTTCGAAGAGGCTGCTGTTCCTTGTGTAATTACTGTCACTGACAATGTGTCCTGTAGAGTGTGATACAGTCTGCGCCACCTGCTTTGCATCCGGACCTGGTGCTTGTTGCGCGAACAATTGTCTGACCTGCCTCTCCACAACGTGCACTCAGTGCTATGACGGCTTTGTGATGCAGAGTGGATTGTGTGTTTCGCTCGCTTCCATCTCGTCTGCATCAGCCGCATCCGTTGCGACTGCCTCGACCGCCTCTGCATCGGTTGCCTCGCTTGTTTCCGCCACATCTACTCTGTCGGCGTCTGTTGCTTCCATTGCTGCGGCATCGTCAGCGTCCATTGCATCCCAGGCGTCTGCATCAGCCGCCAGTGCTTCATCTGTGTGGCAAACATCTGCTGCGTCCGCTGCGTCCAACGCTCCAAACAAACCAAGCGACGCTTCTTCCCTGCCGATCATTCTCGGCATCGTTTGTGGCCTGTTGGCTCTCCTCCTGTTGGTTGCGCTGGTTGTGGCGCTTCGCCGTCGTCGCTCCAACACGGCCACCAAACTTCGCGAAGCACCATCCGGCTCAGAGTCGAACACCGTGTCAAACTTTGCGAATCCAGCCTTTGCGGGTATGGCTGCAACTCCTACCTACGATATTTTGTCGGCGAACCCAACCTACTACAGCACTTTGTCTGCTGCGACTGGCAACCACGCCTTGTACGAGCATGTTGACTCCAAGCCCCAGGCTTCTGCGGGATTGTCCGAACTGCAGTATGCCAACCCATCTGGCGTCGAGTACGCCAATCCTTCTCTGCCCAATCCCTCCTCTGTCGGTGTGCCGTCCGTGTCCTCACCGACCGCGTACGCGACCGTGGCTGTTGTACCTTCCAAGCAGGTCGAGAGTGGCAGTTACGCGTCCATCGCAAACTAGAACGTATGCGTTGTTGGTTTGCGCTGTTTGAATGTTTCTGGATTTTCTCGTCATTGACATGCATGCTTGTGTTGGGGTGGGGTTTTTTATCTTTGTTTTCGGGTGCTGTTGCGTGTTTCATTTTGGTGTCGCTTTGTTTTGGTCTTCAAATTCGACGAGTTTTCCTGTTTTTCAGCAAACAAACAAACACAACAACAAAAAGGTGGGGGGGGGGGCAGTCGCTTCTCGCCAAGGCTCTGTCGTGGTGTCAGGACCATCATCGAAAGATTCTCCAGCGGTGTCACTAACGTAGCGGCAGAGACTGTTTCCCAAGCCGTTTTATGGTGCGCTGGCCGGCGTGGTGTGAAGCCGTGGTTGCTTCGGAACGCACGCACTATCAATCCCACCGGACATCCGCATATGCTAGTCAGCCACCACGATCACGATGAGCATCACCGTGTCCAGTACTTTGTAGCTTTGAGCTGCCGCAACTGGAGGAGCATGCGGCGTTTTCGCAAGCCAAAAGGGCAGCTCAGCTCCACCAATATCGCACGCACGCTCGCCCAGAAGTAAAGAAGTTAAAAAAACAAAACAAAACAAGGTGCAGGTGCGCGCGCAACACATGCTCCACACGTTGACACAACTTGCAACTTGCGGTGCGAGTGTCATACTTTGCCACAACCGCGGGAATCGACCTTACCACTTGTCTTTGTGTTTCCACCGACAGAGATTCGCAAAACACCTGAAACTTCGGCCTCGACGGAGCTTTTGGGAAGCGCGTCCAACTCAACTGCGTTTCGTCATTCTCTCCTACGAATGAACGCTTTTGTATCGTCCAAGTTTTGGGAGCACAGCCTTTTTGTTGCGCGTTCAGTCCGCATTCCGTTTGGCACGGTAACGCCACCCACTCACTCACTCACTCACACATCCAACTGCGCGTGTCTGCATCCGACACACTCGCTTCCAATGCGATAAATCGCTCGTCTTGCTTCTTGTCCCCCGTGTGTGTGTGTCTTCCCTCATGTTGGTTTGGTGGCGTTGTCCCGCTTTGTGTGCGACTCCCAAACCAGCTTTTTTTTTTGTTTGGGACATTGTATGGAATGAGAAGAATGCGCGATTCTTTCCCGGTTTGGACGAACAGAGCTCTCTGTGTTGCTCTGTCTCAATGCGACTCTGCGACTCTGCCACGCTGGTCGTCGCTGGCTTTGTCAGCAAAGCACAGTGTGGACTTGTGCAGCGTGGTGGCGACAGTAGACGAAGCGGGGGTCAAGTGAGGTCAACTCAAGTCCCAATCCAATCCAATCCAATCCAATCCAATCCAAGCTGCGTCGTCACAATCTGCATCACGACGCGCACTCCTTCGTGTGAGTGTCTGTGTGTGTGTGGATGGCTCTGTGGATGGCTCTGTGGATGCTTGCATTACTCTCATCAGCTGCACAAACTGCCCACTTCTTCCATTGCCCTTTGGTGCGTTGGCGTGAGTTGTTCAATTGCTCACTGTCTGCCATTCTCGGTTCTACTCTTTGTGTTCATTCTCCTCGCTTTCATCTTCTTCATCCCTTCTCGCTTTGGCTTTTGCTTGCGTCTGTATGCGGGCGAAGGCGAAAAGAGCTTGGCTTGTTGCCAATTACTGCGCCAAATTTCGAAAAACGACAAGTGCGGGGATTAAGTCCACAAATCCCGTGAGCGTCGGCACAGTTTGACTACTGTGAGTCGACTATGAGCTTGTGGGAGAGATGGTTTTGCGGGGATTGTTCTCGTGTCGTGTTCGAGGGTGGCGGTGAAGGTTTGTGCGGCTGACCCAAAAGCGCCCAATCCGACGCTTGGCTGCCTCTGTTGCCTCGGTGAAGTAAATGGGCGCAATGGGAGGGTTCTTCCTTGCTTTGGTGCCATCCATAATTGCTGAAGCAATACTTGCGCCATGTGCTGTTCATCAGGGCAGCAAAGTGCGGCCTGTGTGACCTTGTGTGCTTTTTGCTGTCTGTTGGGACGAAATTCTCGGTTTCGAGTTTTGGCTCTTCTTCTTCTGCTATTATCTTCTGTTTCCACCTCGCTTGATGTGTGTTTGTGTGTTTGTGTGCGGTCTCGATTTCTCTCTTTCTCTCTCTCTCTCTCTCCCGCTGTTGCTCCCTTGTGCTCGCCTTTGAAATGCACTCTGCTTTAACGCTTTACAGCTACCTTTTTGGTGCACGGCTCTGATCCCTTCCCTCTTTTTTTCCCCCTGTTTATGTTGGTGTACTGCCACTGCATACTCTGCACCAACTGCCACTGCTGCATCCGCAAGCGACGGCACAGCGGTTGAGTGGCAATCGATCATGGCTGGGCGTGGCGATCGGGGGTTTTTTTCGTTGTTGTTGCTGTTGTTTTTTCGTTTTTTTTTTTTTTTTTTTTTGTTTTGTTTTGTTTTGTTATTTTTCTTGTTGAGCTTTCGCCATTTGTGTTTGCGGAGTCAATGCGATGGCGATTGCTGTGTTACCGCGGACATCATTGCAATGGTAGCACAGCACGAACAAAAAGGGCAGCATTTTTGCGTCGTGTTGCAATGGTGATTGGGACGATCGGATTTTGGTCCTGTTTGGGGTGAATCATCCCCGTGATTGCCGTGTGTGCGATCGCGCCCATCCGACCTTCCTCTCCTTCTCCTCCTCCTCTCTCCGCTCTCTCCCCTGTCGCTATCTCTCCCCTTCTCTCATTTGTTCTGCCTATCTCATTCTGTGTGTGCAAGTGCCGACGCAATAGAAGCCTCAGTCTTGTTTTTTTTTTTTTTTTATCTTTTTTCTCTTTTTTTTTTTTCTTTTTTTTTCTTTTTTCAACTCTTGCTGCACTTGTTGTCCATTCGCTGGTGTCCCGTCGAACATCCGACCGACTTCTGATGTGGGTGTCTACATGCATGTGCGAGTGTGATGAGAAGTGCTAGACGAGCGACGATCACGGCAGGCGTGGATTTCAGCGTGTGTGATTGAAAAGGGGGAAAACCAAAAAAAAAAAAAAAAAAAAAAAAAAAAAACTTGCTGTCTGCCACTGGCTCTGCCTCTGTCTGGCTCTGCCTCTGCCTGTGCTTTGATCTTCGTCTCTCGCTTGCTATCTTGTTTGCTTTCGCTTGATGTCTTTGGGGTGTGCGTCTTGGTGGGGTCGTACCCCCGTCTCCCAGCAGCCTTCTTGTCCCTTGCTTGGTGTTCTCAGGGAAATTCTGGTTGGTTGCGAAGGCGTTACGACTTTTTTTTTTTTTTTTTCTTTTTGCTTTTTTTTTTTTTTGTATGGTTTTTCCCAACACTCGGCTTTTGGTCGCGCATTCATCCTGATAAACTAATACAAGCAAAAGACACACTCGGACACGCTCGTCCTTGAAAGTGCCCTCCGATGATGTTGGTGACGAGTCGACAGTTCGCTTTTTTTTTTTTTTTTTTTTTGAATGAGAGCAGATGGAAACACACTTTTGCCACAACCCGCACATTTGATTGCCTTTTTTTTTTTTTTTCCCTTGTTCCCTCTTGCTTTGATCGGTGCCTTGCGTGCACCGTCATGCTCGATGGGTGTTTTGTTGATTTTTTTTGTTTTTGTTCTTTTGGCTCTTTGCTGTGAGCGGCGGAAGTGCTCAACACCCCGTAATAATCGCGAAAGGCGCGAAACAACCGCTGCCCCTCCCTCCCAATCCTGACCCCACCTTCCTCGACACATTCAGACCCCTCCTGTCCCGTCCACACAGGGCAGGGTGTGTTTGTGCGCACTGTGAGCTTGTGCTTATGGGTGTAACGAGTGATTTGGCTGACTCTGGCCAAGCGTCGGGTGGCTTTTTCACACATGGCTTTTTACACACCAAACCAAACACGGTTGATTGGGTTTTTTTACTTTTATTTTTATTTTTGTTTGCTCGTCCCAACAACATTCAACCAACTCCGCTGCTCAAAGCAGTGAAGCTGCAACCTCGGTGGTGCCCCGTTTATTGCTTTTCCGCCTCTTTTTCAAAGATCAAGCGGTGGAGGGTTTTTTGCGCAGTTTTTTTTTTTTTTTTTTCAAAACAAATCCTTTATTTGATTTTTTTTTCTATTTCTTTTTCGTTCCGCTTGCCATTGACCCCTCTCTCCTTTGCCCTCTCTCTCTCTCTCTCTCTCTATCTCTCTCATTCGCCTGACCTGTCCCCCTTCTCCCCCTTCTCCCCCTTTCCCCGTTCTGGAATGGAGCGTTGGGCTGCCGACTCCCCACTTTTGTCAACGTCTTGTTCTACTACCGCAACTTGTCCCGTGCACTCATCTTCATCCCTGTCCTCTGCCTCTACCCCTACTTGCTCCCCCACAACAAACACCGCTTGTGTCACCACCACCACCAGCAGCAGCAGCAGTAGCAGCAGCAACACTAGCGACAGCAGCAAGACACCCTCGACACCGTCGACCAATCCCAAACCGGCTGCTCCTGGTCCCGTTGTAGTAGCGGCATTTCCCACACCGCCGCAGTCCACCCCGTCGCTGGACCACCTGTCGTCGTACAGCACCAGCACCAGCACTAGCAGCAGCGCATACGCGTCCCAGCAGCTCCACCCCTGGACGGAGGAAACGCTCGCGCCAGCAGACAAGGACAAGGCGCTTTCCCTCGACAGTGTTTTTGGTCTTCTTCAGAGTCATCAGCAGCAGCAGCAGCACGACTTGGATAGTGACGCTTCATTCTCGTCCTCCCTTGACCCCAACCAGCACGACGGCCCTCTGCTTCGCGACGCTCGCTTTTCCGCTGCCGGCCAACCTCAGTTGTTTATCAACAGCCTTTTTCGCAGACACAACCCATCCGTTGCCGTTTCCCGTCGCGCGCAGACCTTCTCGCACCCCGCCAGCGCCAACGCTTCGTCTTCCTCGCCTGGAGCATCGCACTACCACCAGCAACAGCACCAGCACCAGTCTCAGCACCACCAGCAGCAGCAGAGGCAGCAGCAGCAGCAGTACCAATTCGGGCGACGGCATCACCACCAGCATCGCACCTCCTTGTCCCTGCTCTCGTCTGCCTTCAATCACCTGGCTGTCGTCGGTCAGCCCAAAGCAGCCTCGCTCCTCTACGCATCACCACCCAGCACTTCCCAACAAGAGCTTGGTTTCGAGAGCAGTCCCGCTTTTGCACCAGCGAACAAGGAGCAACTTGAGTCGGCCGACACCAAACCAAACACTGGGACCCTAACCAGCAGCGTCGGCTCGACTTTTCCTTCTTCCACCGCTTCGTCCGCCGTTGCTTCTCCCTCTTCTTCTTCATCTTCTTCTTCTGTGCGTTCGTCCCACCCAGTCTCGCACGCGTCGACAACACCGACCTCTGAACCGGCCGTAAACAGTGACATTAGCATCAAAAACAGCGGTTTGCCAATTGACTCCTTCCCGACCCGCCTGACACCTGCAAGGCCAACAGCACCAGCACCAGCATCAGCAACAACAATGTCGCACGTATCACCGGCACTCCATGCCGTCCCAATCCCATCGACAGAGCAACCAACACGCTTGTCCGAGCAAGGCGCGGCAGCAGCTCACAGCAATCATCACGCGATTGCCCACGCCGGCCAGCAGCAAGAGCTCACACAGCCACGCACGCACGCACAATACGCCGCAGCTCAGGCGGCAGCAGTAGCGACATCAACCACTGATGCTGCTACTGCGACTACCGCCGCTACTGCACCCGCATCGCACCAACAACAACAACAGGTTGGAGTGTCAGTTGCACGCGCGTCGGCTGCGGTCAAAACACCTGCCCCGAACGGCGGTGCGCACCACTCTGGCCATCACAGCCATGCTCGCGCACGAGTCAGCTACTGCAGCAGTGAAGACGATGGGAATAGCACGGGCCCAGGGAGCGGCGCGGCCAGCCCGGCTCCGACCGTTGGATCGCCGCTGACCCCGTCGCTCCTGCCACAATTAAAGTCCCTCACCGTCGACGAGCTCCTCAACCAGCTCCATGCCACCCGCATCATGTCTCCCATGGGCAGCATCAACACGTCGCTTCCGTCGCGCTTTGCAGCGGCAGGCAACAAGCCACGCGCCTCGTCGCTGTCGTCCGGCTCGAGCTCGCCCAGCCAAAGCGGCATGTCGTCCCCGCGCCGCCCCTCCGTCTCCACTGTTCTGGAAGAGGACATCATGTCGCCCCGAACCATTTTCGAGGACGACTACGTGTTTGACAAGACCTTGGGCGAAGGTGGGGCAACAAAGATCTTGGATCTGACGCGCCTTTTTTGTATTTTGTTTTTTGTTTTTTTCTTTCGGTTTTTTTTTTTTTTCGTTTTTTGTTTCTCCGTGTCTGTTCGGGAACAACAAAGAACAACAACCACAGCAGGCTTTGATTTCTCAACTCTTTTGATGATTGCCATCGATTTGTAGGAAGCTACGGAAAGGTCAAGCTCGCAGTACACAAGCTGACACAGGAGAAGGTGGCCATCAAAATCATCGACAAGGCATCCTTGACTGAGAACAGCGATCGCGAGCGCATCATTCGTGAGATCATTGTGCTCAAGAACTTGAGGCACCCCAACATTGCTCGCTTGTACGAAGTCATTGACAAGGGCCCAGACATTCACCTGGTAAGGATGCGGCCAAAAAAAAACTTTTTTTTTTTACGAGTTGTTGGTTTTGCATGTTTGGCTGTGAGGTGTCAATCACCGGGCAAATCTCACCGTTTGCCTTTGCAAATCCTCGTAGGTCATCCAATACTGTAGCGGCGGTGAGCTTTTCGACTATATTGTGGCGCACCAGCGTGTCAAGGAGCGCGAGGCCGTGAAACTCTTCCGGCAGATTGTTTCGGCGCTCGAGTACTGCCACAAGCGCAATGTCATCCATCGCGATCTTAAGACAGAAAACCTCCTGTTGGACGGCCACAAGAACATTAAGATTATCGACTTTGGCTTTACCAACACGTTCAACTTTAACTCGTTGCTCGAGACGTATTGCGGCAGTCCTGCGTACGCTGCACCAGGTAACCCTCTCTCCCAAAACACAAAAAAAAAAACCAAAAAAAAATCCGATACCCGTATTGTGCTTGGCCAGTTTATTTTGGGGCGTGTGCTTTATGAATCTGTGATTCACGTGCGTTGTCCTTGTTTTTGCTTGGCTTAGAAATGATCTCTGCACAAAAGTACACTGGCCCGGAAGCCGACGTGTGGTCTTTGGGCGTGACGCTGTTTGCCATCATTTGCGGCTATCTTCCATTCGACGACGATGACTCGATGCGCATGTATGCGCTGATTCGTGAAGGTGTCTACTACGTTCCCGACTATGTTTCGCCGGAAGCACGCGACCTCATTGCGAACTTGCTCAAGGTGCGCCCGCAAGACCGGCTGACCATTCCTCAAATCAAAAAGCACCACTGGACCCTGGGTGCCAAACTCAGCCAAGACCGATCCTTCTTCCCCGACCCATTCCACGAAGAGGTCCGCGACGAGTCGGACGCCGACACTGAGCTGGATGACATTATCGTTGCTGCCATGGGTCAGCTGGACTTTACTCGAGAGGAAATTGAGGTTGCTGTGCGCTCGAGCCATCTCAACCGTGTCGCCGCCACCTACCACCTGCTGAAGGACAGCCAAGGGTACAAGGAGATTCAGGTCGCTCGCCGGAATCGCCAACGCAAGTTCTCCAACGTTGCCATCTCCACACAAGTGCATGCTTCGTCCCACTCGACTTCTGCTTCTGCCGAAGAGCGAGCCAGCCATGCACATGGTGTTGGCACCACCACCGCCGCCGCCGCCCCCACAACTACGAGCAGCAGCTCACAGCAACCAGCTGCCGCTGTGTCGCCCCACCCGCCGACTCCCGCCGCCGCCGCTGTCACCGCTGCTGCAGCACCTGCAGCCGCTAGTGCTGCGTCTCCGCCTCGAAACTACGTTGTGGCAGCAGCACCACCAGTGGCCGCCATGGACGTGCTCAGCCCGGCAGCCACCCCTGTCGTCTCGCAACCACAAGTGCCCCAGGTCCAGGCCCTGGTTGCTGGTGCAGGCATTCCGCCTTCGAAGCGAAACAGCCTCACCAGCTCCACCTTCCCAGAGCCAAGCAACGCTGGCACGCCCACTCCTTCAGCGAGCGCTGCCGCCGCCGCGGCACCGGCTGCTCACAAGACTCGGCCTGCCATGTCTCCCCCAGGGTCCCCTGCGTCGCAACCCAAGCGTCCGTCCCGTACTCGCGCGTACACGCTTGGCGACACGGCACGCGAGGAGGCGCTGGCGGCTGCCAATGAGGATGCGTCAAGCGCCCTTTCGCTCGCCCAGTCTCACGGGTTGGTTGCTCGCTCGGATGTGGGCATGGCATCCCTGCCCAGCTCTGGCAACAACTCGGCGTCCACATCCCCGCCTGGATCGCTCACCACGCTGGCAGACTCGGACTCTGCGCTGCCGGCAATCGCTGGCCGCCAGCCGCGTCGCCGCAGCTCGACCCTGTCGCCCATCTTGTTGCGCATCAAGGATCGCTTTGTGCGCATTGGCGTCCCAGGCGTGAGTGTGGGATCGACCAGCAGCTCTGGCACTGCCACTCCGACCAACGGCTCGGGCACACCCATGTCACCGCCCACATCCACATCGAACAGCTCCTTGCTGCCCCTGCTGTTTGCAAGGCACAATGCCAACCAAGCGCTCGAGCGAACAACCTCCCTCGGCAACCCGCCGCCGGTCGCTTCGTCGTCATCGGCATCGGCGATGGCGCTGGCAGGCACCGGCTCTGCCAGCAACATTTTGTCAACGGGAACGGTTACCTCTCCAGTGAGCAAGACCGACCGAAAGCGCTTGTTCTCGTTCGATGCTGCCGGCGCAGTCATCAAGAATGCCCTGCGTCGCAACCCCAAGTCGTCCACTGGCTTGCGCATCATGCGCGGTGCCTTCAACGCCGCCACTACGACCAGCAAGGATCCCATTCTCATCATGGAGGAGATTCTTCGTGTTCTCGACGAAAACACTGTCGAGTACGAGCGTGTCAACAAGTGGGGGGTCGTGGTGCGCATCCCAACCAGCCATGCCCTGCACAATGGCAAAGAGGGCGGCGAGATTCGCTTTGTCATGGAAATTTGCCGCATCAAGAACATTGAGCTGAATGGTATTCATTTGCTGCGTCTCCAAGGCGATATCTGGGCGTACAAGCGCATCCTGGACAAGTTGCTGCCTCAAATTCGCTTGTAATCGAGCAGTTTGTCTTTGGTCTCTCTCTCTCTCTTTCTCTTTGTTTTTGGAAGTTCTCTTTGCTGCTTGAATTGGTGCGCAGCGGGCTGTGGCTGATTGGAAAGCACGAAACGACCAACAAGGAGGCGAACATCTCAAAAAAAAAAAAAATCAAAAATCTGCTGTACTTTGTGACTGCCATATGGAGGAGCCGCTTTTGCTTTTCTCTTTTGCATGTCCCTTCTTTTTCTATCCTTCTCTTGAGCCGCGCATTTTCGTGGTTGTAGTGAAGCCAACCCAAACACGTTTGTTTGATTGCTTGTTGTTTCTGTTTCTTGGTGTTGTGCGTTTTGCATCTTCGTTTCACTTTGTATGCTGCCTTGTTGGACGTCTGTGATTCCGAAATTAAAGCCTTAATAACTTAAAGTTCCGCACTTGCAAGTGATGCCCGGGGGCGCGTTGAGGTTGGTGGATGGCTTTTTTCCAATCATCAACCAAAGCAGAGATCCGAGCATACTGCTGCTGCATTCTCTCCATTCCGTGTATTCGCTTGTTTCTGATTTGCATGTTGTTCACTCGTTCTTTTTTTTTTTTTTTTTTCTGTCAAACTCCATACAACCATGAGCTTGCTGGAGAATCGGATTGGCGTTGCAGACGCAGTGCTGCTCGAGGAAGTCAATGAGGACGCCATGCTCCAGAACTACCACGCCCGCTTCAAGGAGGATCAGATCTATGTACGGCTTGCTTTCTGTTTTCTCCCCCCCCCTCCCTTTGCTTCCTGCTTCCACCCCTCCGCAACGGCAACAGCAGCCAACAAAGCAAAAGAACAAGAAGTTTGTTTTGGGTGATTGATTTTTTTTTTTTTTTTTTTTTTTGGGTTGTTGTTTTTGTTTGAGTCTGTTTTTGTGTTTTATTATTTTTGTTGGTTTTTTTTTTCTTCCGTCCGTTTGCAATACTCTCTCTCTCTCTGCTCGTGCTCGTGTATTGCTGAGCGTGCTGGAGTGGCGGCATCTCGTACAGAGTGCTGGTGTGCTGGGGTGCTCGCGATCTCCTCTCCTCTCCTCGCAGTCTTTGGCGAGACCGTCTCCACGACTGTGAAACTTGCTTTTTTTTTTTTTTTTTTTTTTTTCCTTGTTGTGGTTTGCCTCATAACCACCACCATCAGTGCCACCAGCCAAAGCTGTCCTCCCCCTCTCGCTCGACGACTCTGCTCCTTGGCTTTGGGCTTTCCTCGATGGGTTTCGCCTCGCGTTCTCTCTGCTATTTGAGCCTCACTGTCAATGCAGCAGCAAAAGATCTATTTGTTGTTGTTATTTTTTTTTTATTTTTATTTTTTTTTTTTTTTTTTTTTTTTTTTTTTTTTGTTTTGGCTATTTTGATTGTTGGTTGTTTTCTGCTCAAACGATGACTCGAGTCGTCCGAAGTCGACCTTTTGAGTCTGTTGAATAAGACGTCATTTCGTTCGAGAGCATGACAAAAAATACGACCCCCGACTTGATGTAGAGTTGGTCGAGTCGAAAAACCAGACTCGTTGCATTCTTCTTCGTCTTTGTTCATTTTTGACAGCTTTTTTTTGCCAACACTACGATGATGATTCGTGAGGCGTGATCAGTGCTGTGCTGCATCGCAAGTAGCACTTTTGCACCCAATCACACCAACAAAAAAGGGCCGAAAATGTCACTGATGCGCGATTGTAGCTCACAACAATGTTTCGTTTTTGACATGTGTTGCACAGACCTACATTGGCGATGTGCTCGTGTCCATCAATCCGTACCACTCGATGAACATTTACACGCCAGAGTTCATCAACGAGTACCGTGGCCGAAACCTCTACGAGCTGCCTCCTCACGTGTGAGTTGTGTTGCGCTTGTGTGAATCCTGCGAACCTGCCAATCCTCAGCGCTGCTGCTTCGTCCTTGTAACTAACCTTCGAATGGAATGCAGCTATGCGATCGCCGATGAGACGCACCGGGCAATGAAGGAGCGCAACGCCGATCAGTGCATCATCATCACTGGCGAGTCTGGCGCTGGCAAGACTGGTAATGCCTTCTCCAATCTGCACCGTCGCATCCGGTCGTCACATTGTCTCATCATTTCATCGAATTCTGTCTTGCTACCGATAACAGAGGCATCCAAGCTCATCATGCAGTTCATCGCCGCCGTTTCGGGTGATGGTGCGGAGGTCCACCGTGTCAAGAAGCAACTTCTGCAGTCCAACCCGATTCTTGAAGGTACGGAGCACATGCGGTTTGTTGATTTGTCGTTGTTTCAGATGAACGTGTCCCTCACATCTTCATGTGTACCTTTGCCGGTGCAGCTTTCGGAAATGCCAAGACTTTGCGCAATGACAATTCGTCGCGTTTTGTAAGCGTCAAAGACTTTGAATGATTGCTGGTCCGAACAACCCCGCTCACCTGGCGCCCGAATGACTCACACACATACAGGGCAAGTACATGGACATTCAGTTCGACTTTAAGGGCGATCCTGTTGGTGGCATCATCACCAACTACCTCCTGGAAAAGTCTCGTGTTGTCACACGCACGGAAGGCGAGCGCTCCTTCCACATCTTCTACCAGCTTCTTTCTGGCGCTGATCAAGCCGTTTTGAGTATGTTGTTGGATTGTCACAGCATTGTTCCTGTGATGTGTGTGTGGGGGGTTTGTTTTTTTTTTTTTTTTTTGTTTTGTTTTGTTTTTTGTCTGCCATCGTGCTCACCGGCGACCTGCTCACAGACGAACTTGCGCTCGAGCGTGATGCCAATGCGTACAAGTACCTCAGCTCCAGCAAGTGCCTTGTGGTGCCTACCATCAAGGATGACAAGGAGTTTGCAGCAACTCGCGTACGAGCCCCTTCTGTTTTTCCTTCCCTGTTTTTTTTTTTTAAATCGCTGTGTCTGCATGCTCACTCACCCATACAACTCCGTCTGATTTGCTGATCACATTCCTTCCAATGCAGGCTGGCTTGGAAGTTTGCGGCTTCACAAAGGACGAAATCCAGAGCATCTGGCGCATTCTCGCCGGCATCTTGCACATGGGCAACATTGGCATCACTGGCTCTGGCGAGAACAGCAGCGTCAGCACCAAGGACATTGCCCAGAAGGCCGCCGACATGTTTGGCACGGACGTTGCCAGCCTCTCGGCTGCCATCACCTTCCGTACGGTCGAGACCCAGGGCGACTCTGTCAAGAGCCCGCTGAATGTGGCCAAGGTTTGTGGATACATGTCAGCTCGTGGATTGAGAAGCGTGCAACTGTTGCTCACGCCGTCACTCTCTTTTTATGCGCGAAACAGGCCGAATACGCTCGAGATGCGTTCTGCAAGGCCGTGTACAGCCGCGTCTTCTCGTGGGTGGTCAGCCGCATCAACGACAGCATTCGCGTGACCTCTCGCGAGCGCACCACTGTCATTGGTGTGTTGGACATTTACGGTTTTGAGATTTTCAAGCACAACAGCTTTGAGCAGTTCATCATCAACCACTGCAACGAGAAGCTCCAGCAAATCTTTATCGAGCTGACTCTCAAGGCCGAGCAGGAAGAGTACGTTCGTGAGGGCATCAAGTGGACGCCTGTCACCTACTTTAACAATGCCATCATTTGCGACCTGATTGAAGCGGTGAGTCTGGCTGATTGCGCGTACTTTTGCCTGAATTTTTTCTTTGTGTGGGTTCTTTTTTTTTTTCTTGGTAATGCTGCTGGTTGGTTGGTCCCCTCTTCTAACTTTTCGAGTACTGTTGCCTATTTGTTTGTTCAAAACAATCAATCAACCACAGCCTCGCACCGGCATCCTCTCGCTCCTCGACGAAGAGTGCCTCAAGCCAGGAAACACGTCCGATGACTCGTTCCTGCAGCTGTTGGACAAGCAGATCGTCCGCCACGACCACTACGACAGCCGCACCAAGTCCAAGAACCGCACGATCGACGACAAGGCATTCCGCCTCAAGCACTACGCAGGCGACGTCGATTACAACGTGGCCGGCTTTATGGACAAGAACCAAGATCTCCTGTTCAAGGACGTTCCTCGCGTTCTCTTTGCCAGCAAGAACGCCCTGCTCAAGTCGCTCTTCCCCGAAGGCGAGGCCAAGAAGGGTGTCTTGCAGCGCCCTCCCACCGCTGGTACCCAGTTCAAGCGCTCTGTTGCCGAGCTCACGACCAACCTCACCAGCAAGAGCCCGCACTACATTCGTTGCATCAAGCCCAACGAGGAGAAGCGCTCGCGCGTCTTTGACGAGAACCTGGTGCGTCACCAGATTCGCTACCTCGGTCTCCTCGAGAACCTGCGTGTGCGCCGCGCCGGCTTTGCCTTCCGTCAAGACTACCCTCGCTTCTTGCAGCGCTACAAGATGCTTTGTCCGCAGACCTGGCCGGTTTGGAAGGGCCAGGAGAAGGAAGGCGTTCGCCTCATCCTCAACCATCTTGGCGTCACGGGCGACAACTGTGCGTACGGCAACAGCAAGATCTTTATTCGCCTTCCGAGCACGCTCTTCATGCTCGAGGACAAGCGTCGGGACGCGCAGCATCTGATTGCGGCCAAGATCCAGGCTCGCTACCGCGGCTGGGTCCAGCTCCGCATCTTCCTCAAGATGAAGGCGTCTCAAGTCAAGATCTCGGCGCGTGTCCGAGGCTTCCAGGCCAAGAAGGAGTACAAGCGCATGCGCTGGGCTGCCATCCGCATCGCTGCCTTTGTCAAGGGCTGGAAGGCCCGTCGCGAACACCGTAAAAAGTTTATGCGCGTCGCCGGACCCAAGGTCATCAACTTTATCAAGCGCGCCTTCCGCTACCGCTTCCTGATGCGCTTGGCCAAGTCGTTGCCGAGCGCCTCGCCGATCGCGACCGCGTGGCCCGACTCGCCCAAAACGCTCCGGCCCACCAACCTCCTGCTCAAGACCATGTACCACACCTGGCGCTGCAGGCAGTACCGCAAAAAGCTGCCGAGCGCGCGAAAGGTCATTCTTCAGGAGAAGCTCTGGGCGTCTGAGACGTTCAAGGGCCGGAAGGAATCGTACCCGCAGAGCGTCCCCACCAAGTTCCTTGAGGACACGGTGGGCCTCCAGCAAGAGGCATATTCTCGCAAGTGGACCAAGTTTGCCGGCGCCAACAACAACCCTGCCGTGGTGTATGCCTCGTCCGGCTTCAAGGTCGACCGCGCGAACGGTGTTGCCCGTCCAGTGATCTTCCTCATCACCACGTCGAGCATTTATGTGATTGGTGACAAGGCATTCGACTCGCGCTACCACGTTCTTTTCGCTGACATCAAGGGCGTGTCGACGTCCAAGCTTGGCGACAACACTGTCATCCTTCACATTGCGGAAGACAAGGCCGACAAGAATCGCAAGAAGGGCGACATTGTTCTCGTTGTCAACAATGCCATCGAGACGATTGCTCGTCTGTTCTTTGCCTTCAAGGCGCAAAACCAAGCTCTCCAAGTGAGCATTTCCGAACCGTAAGTTGCCGACGCAAAAAGCGAGTTGAATGCGATGTGGTTTTTTGGTTGTTGTTGTTGTTGTTGTTGTTGCTGTTGCTGTTGTTGTTGACGCTTCGCTTTGTACTGATGTTTGTGATTCAATGTTTGGCTCGACCTCAGAATCAACACTACCTTCGGAGGCCGACCCCACTCGATCAGCTTTGCGTACTCTGCGGCTCCTGAACTGACCGAAATTCAGTTCAAGAAGACCAAGAATCAATTCAATGCCTCCATTCCCCGTGCTCAACCTGCTGCTTAATTGATTTGAAAGATGTGTTTGTTGCTTGTTTTGCTTGTGATGGCTGTCATTGTTTTGTGAATGTGTGTGTGTGTACGTGCATTGAACAAAGCCCTGTACTACATTGAAAATGCATGATTTGATTTTTATTGTTTGTGTGTGTACTCGAAACCGCGATAGTGGCTACAAGCCCCCAGAACCCGCAAAAATTTTGATAAGACTGCTGGTTGAAGCGGGCAGTAGCGTAACGGGACAGCAGCGGTGTTGCTCGAGGTATGGATGAATACATGGGTAGCAGAATACCAATCCGGACACTGCCACTACTGCCGGATTTGTTCGCTGTTTCAAGCACAGCGGGCAAATGCTGGCGTCTTGAGGTAGAGCCAAGCCCTGCTCGGGAATCTGAATTTCAGTGGGTGAGGGAGACAAGGAGACGGAGACACACAAACGAAAACGAGTGACGGTGAGCGCCCTGTCTGGTCGCATTGTTGCCAAGGCATGATCGTGTGTAAAACCAGCCAATGAATCGCAAAATCATAAGTACCTTTGGCATTGGGGGCGCGGGCGGAACAGGGAGCGAAACGGCAATCGTGTAGTGCTCGGAATCGTACCACCACTCGAGAAACTTGAAAAAGAAAATGGTGATGGGCACAACAAACTTGGAATAGTCGATGGCCGAGTTGACCGTATTGCTGAGAAACCGAAGAAAGCCGCGAATGAAGCCGGGACCAACGAGCCGCTTGGCACGCTCCATTTCCCCGAGAATCAGGCTATTTTGTTGATTGATCTGCAAGGACGAGCATCAATCATGAATAGGGTCAATGAGTGCGCTGGTTGAGATACCCAGAACTCCGCTGGAAGGGCGACGCGGGACTTACAACATCCATGGCTGTCAGTCTCCGGAGCCGTAATCCAGCCAGGAACAGCTCGGGGGAATAATACGCGGTTTCGTCAAAGAGATACAACATTTGGCAAACAAAGTGCGACGCCTCCCACGTTAAATGGACGAAAGGGTAAATGAACGTAAAGACCCGGACTAGTGACGATGGTGACTGCGACTGCGCGAAAGGTTGCGGTTGATTGCCGTCTTGGTGAACGCTTATTGATGGCTAATGAGCAAAAAAGGTAAAAAAAAGATACAAACGAGCATGTGAGCGTGGTTTACACAAAAGTTGTGCGTTTGGAACGAAACGTGGCGGGGACCAACCGATAATGAAGCTGCTGCAGCGGTCGCAGATGCGGCATGTTGCCGAACCGCGGCATTATGTTTCAAGAAGAGAGCATCTAGCTTTGTTTTGAGGTATGGCAGCACCGCCTAAAAACCAAAAAGCGTATCAAGTCAGAAGGTCCCGATTGCAACCACCACCACCGCCACCACTGCCACCCGCACCACGCGAAAAATCATTACCAAGAAGAATAGAGACTTGCGACGATCGCTGGACGAGAGCGACATTGGGCGATGCTTGAGCTGCTCGACCGACTGCGAATCGGTTTCGTGCGATTGGACGCGCTTCAATCCGTAAAAATTCTCTGCAAACGAGGCGTCTGTGCAAGATGGCATTGTAAGAGTGGTTTGTTCGAATACATCCAAACGGTCTTTGCCCTTTTGCAAACATGCAATCAGGACCCGGCAAGCAACGGTTGATATCTCTTTGGCTGAGATTGAAATTTGCATTGAGCTTCCGTCTTCCAACGCCTTACCATAGACCTGCAAGTAGTGCTTCTGGACGAGCAGCGTGATGAGCGAGTAGCACTCTTCGTGATGCTTGATTGCCCAGGCGAGTGGACCAGGGTGCCGCTGCGTGACGACCTACAAGAACAGAGCGTGATAGTGTTGAGTGGAACACTCACGATGAGTGCAAGCCACACACACGCACACCAACGCCGCCTCAAAGCCAGTCGACTGGCTGAGCTCAGACATGTCAAGACCAAGCGAAAGGGGACGATCACAATCGGAAGTCACTGTCGAGCGGAGTGGACGCGCTGTTCCGACCATTCACTTCACTCTCGCTCTCACTCTCGTTCTCTCTCTTTGATGCTAATGGCAAACAACTACAACTCGATAATGCTTTGCTCGATGCGATGCGATGCCCAATGAGGGACGGGTGGCTCAAAAGCATTGGAGGGGCTCAAATTCTGAGACGATCTGAGAAATTGATCAACAAACTCTTGAACTCTCGTTCAAAATGCGGTACCATGAGAAGGAACTTGAGTGCTGGCTTGAGCATCGACATCATGCTGTCTTGAGCGACAAGCTCAAAGAACGACGGTCGGTTGTGCTCGAGATTGAGATTGAGATGCGCAGCAAATTCTGCCATTGCTCAAAAATAAAGACTGCAGAAAATGGAATCGTCTGCACCATTTCGATAGCGGAAAACTCACGGCATCCGCATTGTCTTGGCTGTGCTTATGTTTGTGGAACGACCTTGCCAGGCCAGCAAGCAAACAACAGAAAGAATGATGATGGCTGTCCTCATATACACCACAAGAATCAACAACGACAATACACACATCCACACACCAGCAACAATTTTTTTTTGTTTGTTTTTTCTTGTTTTTACGCTTCGGGCGCCCGGAATGGTCGAGTAAACACCAGCATGTTGACGGGATGGTTTTTGTTGTCCAGCACGGCCTGTGTCTTGAGCGAGTTGGAGAGCGTCCAACCAAACTGAGACATGGTAGCGAGGACGGTAGTCACTGACACTTGCTTGTCGATAAACCTGGCGATTGCAGCCAACAATGAACGGTTAAAAAAACACAGCCATGACTGAGCGCGAGATCGACATCGGACAAGCACAATGGCTGGACACGCTCATACCATCCACGCTCGTCTTTGCGCTTTTGCTTGGGAGTAATGCCCTCGCTGAACACGGACAGGACGGACGCCTCGACGGCGCCGTTGATTCGCAAGCCGCTGTCGACAAAGCACTCCGCCGTGGCAAACTGCAGTGTTCCCTGTTGCATTGTGGGAAAAGGCCCAACAACCAGCACAAGAGACAGAAGTATTAGTTTGTTCAACCAACCAGAAAATGTACAAAGGTTGGGCTTGAGCGCAAAACAGTCCATACCGTGAGATAGCGCGGCTCCTCTTGCCAGACAGACTTGAACATGCTAATCCAGTCGTCCATGTCGGCTGCAGACTCGGCACAAAACATGTACGCGCGATCGGGCGTATCCACTCGGAAGCAGTACGGGTAGCGATTGTCCTTGCGCGACTCTTCCTGATCGATGGTAATCGAGCGCATATCCTCCACATACACAATTCCTGCGTATTCGCGATCCTGCGACAAAATCATGCAGTTAGAAATCGATGCTTTCTTTTTTTTGTTTCAGCAACCTCTGTTCTGCTCAGATTCTAAGATTAAGATTAGGATTTGGCCGATAGTCTGCTGCTCTCTCTCTCGCGCGCGCGCGCGGGGCGGGACCCCTGCCGTCCAGAGCCACAAAGGTACGACAAGTTCACTCTCGCTGGACGTGATTACCTGCTCTGACTTGAAGTAGGCGAGGCAGTTGTTCTCAAAGACGCACCAGCGGCGCTTCCAGCCCTTGTTGCTGCCGCCCTGCTTGGTGAGCCAGCCGGCCTTCTTGCGCGCCGTCGACTGAGACCCCGCCAAGACCCGCAGCATGAAAAACACAGAGACCCACCAATGAAGGACGGATTGAAAGGGGGAACGAGTAAGTCAGCCATAATGCAAAGTCACTGCAAACAACAAAACAAAATTTGCTCAATGCCAAACCATAGAAGAAGCAAAAGAGAGGGGAGTGAGATCAAACAGGACCTACACTGGCTCCGTATGAATGAGATGTCTGGATTGGATTTGCAACGACAAACTGCACAGTGGAGTGGATGAAAAGAGCTCAGATTTTGCAGTACCGATTGAAGTGAGGTTTTATCCCACCATTGTGTTGCCATCAGCTTCGACCCCATTCGCACGTCTGGGACTTGTTGAATGAGTTTGATGGACGTCCATGACCCCTTTTCGGCCTTCAATGGGAACCCATAGAATAAAGAACCCATCGAAAGCGAATACGAAGAGTGTTTTCTATCCAGTCTTCATCCTTCGTCAGCCAAATTCTGAGCTTCCACAGTCACCCATGTCAGCGCCAAACTCTGCAGCGGGCAACAGCAGCACACGAGAGACCTTCCTCTCTGTCGATCTGGCCAAAGCAGTGCAGCACCTTGCCGACCGTGGCACGACCGACCGCGTACTCTGCGTGTTTGACTTTGACTGGTAACGAACTGTGGTCAAAATCGCTGATGACAGCGCACAGGCCACGTTGGCTTCGACCAGTCATCTATGACTGAAGCGTCATGTAATTTTTTACAAGCTCATATCGTTGCTTTTGTTGTTGGCAGGACGATCGTTGATACCAATTCGGACGAGTACGTCATTGAGCAACTCGCGCCCGATCTGCACTCTCGCTTTGAAGAGACGCGGCTGTCGACGCCATTGTTCCGGCAGAGCTGGCTCGCGTACATGGTAGGCAGGAAGTTTTTTCTGTTTTTTGTTTCGGTGGCTTGGAGGTAGATGTTGCTTTTTTATAGGGATGGATTGATTTCGGATCCCTCACAACAACACTTAACTTTGTTTTTGTTTTGTTTTCCACCTCATAGAATTACCTCATGGGCCAGTTGCATGAGCTCGGATTCTCTGCCGCTGACATTTCGAGATCGCTCAAGGCGACTCCGCTCGTAAGAACTCCGAAAATCAGCCATTGCGATCTTGTTTCGTCTGATTTTCACTCCAGCACTGTCTCAAAACTTAACACCTCACCTCATCTGCTATCGCTCGTTTAGTCTCTGGAAATGCAAGAGGTGCTGCGAACTCTGACCGCGTCCGGAAAGGTGGACGTCGTTGTGCTGTCCGACGCGAACGAATTTTTCATTCGCGAAACATTGCAGGTTTGTTTCATTGGCGGTAGCTTTTTTGCAAATGAACTGTAATTTTGTGAAGGGCGCTTGGTTGGCTCATCTGCGACAAATCGGGGGCCCTATTGCTTGCGCAAAACACAACTGCACAGCATTACAACCTGCTCGAGCACGTCTCGTTGATCATCTCCAACCCTTTCCTCCACGACCCGCGCTTTACCATTCTGCCGTTCAGTCCCACGCGTCACAGTGACCACATTTGCACCCTTTGCAATGACAACATGTGCAAAGGTATTTTTCATTCAAGGCTTGAGCACGTCCCTTGATTGATTGATTGATTGATTGGTTTTTCTAATTGTGCTTTGGCTGTTTGTTCTCGAAACAGGAACTGTGCTTGACTACATCCTGGACAAGACAGAGTACCATCGCGTGGTCTACATTGGAGATGGTGGAAACGACTTTTGCCCTTCTACCAGATTGTGCAGGTGAGTTTGTGTGTCTCTTTTATGCTGTTGTGCTGCTTTCAGATCGCCATGCGTTTGTTTCTCACTTTTCAGATGCTTGGATATTCTTGCTCGCTTGTCTGTCCGTGTTTGGAATGCATGCCAGCTCGGATGTTGTCATGGCGCGAGATGGTTTCCACCTCGTCCGGTTGCTGCGCAAGTACATTGCCGCAGAACGGCAGAAAGCAGTGAGCACGCATGGTGCCCACCTCCATCGCCGTCGTCGCGCCAAGCACACCAGCCATCCGGAAGGCCTCCGAGGTCAGCGACTGAACGCCGACAAGTTTGACGTGGACGCCGAGGTTCAAGTCTGGTGCTCGCATGCCGATCTTCTCGCCTTGTTCCGCAGTTTGCTGTTGCCCCAGCCATGATGCTGCTGACTCTTTTTGAGCGATTTCGGCACGGGGGACTTTGTTGGTGTATTTTTGCTGTTTTTGCATTTGGAGATGGCCTACTTGCTCGAAGCTGGGGGTGAGGTGGCCTGTTCGTTCCCTTTTTTTTCCACCCTCTCCTGCTTTCCTGATTTCCGCTGTGCACCCAGTGGTCCAAATACAACATAAAACCCAAATATCTTCTCTTTTGAATACTGGTTGTTAATCTGCATTCCGGTCGGCTTTCTTGATTTGGGGTTGGTGACGAGTATTTCTGGCGCAGTAGAATGACGTTATCCATCCCCGTTCTCTCCCTTTTCCTTTTCACTCGATCGCACCTGTTCGCAATTTTCCACCATTTGCTTGAGTTGCATGTATCACTCTGATTTCCTGATTTCATGGGCCATCCGACAGCAGCAAAAAGGCGAGTTTGCAGAGTGAATGAATCAGAAGCGACAATCTTGTTTGTAAGAGTTCTTTGTTGATGTCGACGTCACCATTCCGTTTATAACTCGTTTTGGTCCTATTTTTGCTTGAGTTCACTCTTTTCGTTTTAGTATTCTTCTTCAGCTTTCTTAGGTTTTTTCAACTTTTCGTTCGTTCTCCTTTTTCCTTTGGCCTTCCATTGACAGCAAACACAACCAGCCTTTCTTGTTATTTTTCTTTCTTTCTTTCTTTTGTTCGACCACACTTCACAACGATTCAGAAACGCAAACACACTCAAACACAATGCTGGTTCAAGGCGACATTGAAATCGAGCATCAGCAGCAGCCGGCAATGCGTCGGAGCTCGCTCACCACGCAGCACATTCTCGCTGCCGTCGCAACCATGCTCGAGAATTCCCACAACGGCACAGACATGAGTGGCGTGCTTGAGATTGCGGCTTCCGACGACGCGAGCAGCAGCAGCAGCAGCAGCAGCAGCAGCAGTGTGGACGTGGACGTCGTTGAGGTCAGCAATCCGTCATCAACGCACACGCAAGTGACCAACGCTGCCAATTTCGCGGCTTCACCCGCCTGTGCCACTGCGCACTGCTGCTGCGACGCGGCAGTGACTGGCGCCCACACGCTGTCAAAGCCGGCGGCTGCGCTGGACGGCTGCGGGCGGGTGCGCTCGTGCTCGGACTCGGCCGCTGTTTGCCCTTCCGCACTGGCGGTTTTGTGCGACGCGCTCGCAGACTCTGCCTCGCTGCGCTCAGACATGTCCATGGACACGGCTGCGCGTGAGACGGACACGTCCTCGCGCCCGTCCATCCTCGAAGTCGACGACGACCGGGAGCGTGACGAGCACAGCCATGCCGACGAGCTGATTCGGGAGGACGCGAATACCATTTCCGTCACCAACTCCGACACGCCCGACAGCGTCGGCATGCACTCTGGCCCAGTCGCTACTTCTACTACTACTACCGCTGCTGCCTCGGATGAGGAGGATGTGCAGCCCGCTTCCCGCTCGCTGGCCAAGAAGCTGGTCGGGTTTGTCTTTCCCAGCAAGTCTAACCCTAAGTCCAACCCGCGCGTTGTTGCCGTTCACGAACTGGACGAAAATGACGAACAGGATGCTACTGACGCCCACAGCACCATGTCGTCGTGCTCGAGCTCCTCCGAAGACGACAGTGATGGTGGCGAGGATGACGACTCGGGCTGGTCGACCTACTCTTCTTCCGACTCGGATTCAGTCGACTTGGCCGACTTGAACGCGAGCACCGTGCGCCAGTGCCGAAACCAGTACTGCGGCCTCGGGTTTGCCTCGCCTGCCGAGCGCAACCAGCACGAGTTGGAGACGGGACATGTCGACGCTAGCCTTCAATCTCTGCACAATGCCATCCCCGCGCCCCCGCCGCTCCCACCAATGTTTGGCCCTCTGCCGCGTCGCAGCGATGGCGACAAGTGGCCAAATGCTACCCGCTGGCCCAAGCCCGCCTACCAAGACTGGTTGCGCTCGACTTCGTCCAACTGGATGCGACTGGTGGCAACGCGCGCTCTCGACACAGAGCACACTGCGCCTCCCCCGGCCAACCGAGGCAACGGCGCATCCACCAGCAGCAGCAGCAGCAGCAGCAGCACTGCTGCGTCGTCCACAAGCGCTGCATCCGCAGCGTTGACGGCCAAGAAGATTTTCATGTTCTCTTGCATCATTTGCTTTGACGAGCTCCCCATCGAAAGCGACCGCAAGACGAGCTTGTCCGCGTGCAGCTGCGATGTCTGCAAGACCTGCCTCAAGACCTACTTTGAGGAGCGCATTTCGGTCGGTATGGTCAAGCCCTGCTGCCCCGAGCCGACTTGCAAGCTTCCCGAGAGCGACGCGGCACTGAAGGAGATTGTGTCCAAGGACAAGTTCTCGATGCTCGAGCGATTCCGCATCACCTCGAGCGACAACCCTTGTGTGCGAAGCTGCCCATTCTGCTTTACACTCAACTACCGCTCTGCCAAAGGCCAGGCCACTGTGCCGTACTTGAGCCCCGCCGAAGACGGTCAAGACGGCGACAAGGACGAGGAGGGCGACAAGGACGAGGTTGCCACTGGCGCTGAGCCCCTTCCAGCCGACGAGCAAGCAGCAGGAGTGGAGACCGAGACGACTGGCGATGCCGTCGTGACAGTGACACCTCCCGCCGCTGTCGAGGCCACCAAGGCGGAGAAGCGGTCGCTGCTGGCTCGTCTGCGCGAGAAGCGTGTCGTGGTTGACGAACGCGACCAGAAGGTCCAATGCTGCTCGTGCACGCAGGAATTCTGCTTTTCGTGCCAGGCGCCCTACCACACTGGCATGTCCTGCAAAGACTTTTCCATGGGCGACATTGGCGTGGAGGACTGGTCGCGCCAGGTGGGTGCTCGGCGCTGCCCTCGCTGCAAAACTCGCATTGCGCGTGATTCCGGCTGCGATCATATGCATTGCACCGTTTGCTCCATGAACCAGCACCAGCGCAAGAAGCGGCTGCTCAGCAGCGTCTTCCACCAAAGCGACGAGTGGTGCTATGGCTGCGGCTGCCGCTACATTTCACTTGGCCCGATTGGCAACCATCACTCTGCCTTCTCCATTGTCGGCTGCAACAATCTGCTCTTCAAAAACATGCCGCCATTGCGGATGGCCACACGAGCGACCGCGCTTGTTGTCGGTGTCCCAACAGTAGCCGTCGGACTGACGCTGTACGCGACACTCGTCCTGCCAGTCAAGGGAGTCCGAAAGCTTGTGCGGGCTCTTCGTTAAATCCTGGAGAGTTTGGCTTTTGTTCGCTTTTCTTGTTTTGGTTTTCCCCCCCCCCCTTCCCTTTCGGGTTTTTTTTCTGCTTTTGTACGATATCTTGTATGATGGGTTGAGCTTTAGATTCTGTAAAGTTTTGTAATATTGTTAACACCGCTTCTTTGAAAGAAAAGAAACTTTTTTGCTTTTATGCATCATGCTCAAACCACAATAACTTGATCAACAAAGTTGCCTAATGACGATTGGTTCAGGCTGCAAGAAACAGTTCAATGAGTGACGAGGAGACATCTTTGCGTGATTGCTGTTGGCAGAAAGAAAGAACAACCTAGGATATCTTACATTGACTGGTCGCCATCCCGACTCAATGCGGCGACTGCAGACTCGAATCGATGCTTGATTTTGGTTTTATTCATCGCCTCCTCCATCGTTGCTTGTGCTGCCGCTGACAAGTTCTTGGAAGCTATCACGATTGAAGAACACACGGGTGAGTGACGGAAAACCAAGAACAATCAAAAAATACAAAATAATTAAAAAGATAGAATTAAAAAAAAAGAGGCCCAAGAGGCCTATTGTGCATCGCTTTTACCTTGCAAGATACCACCCATTGCCAATGCGGCACACTTGAATTGGTCGGCGTTCGATACCGCTCCAAGAAGCTCTTGCGAGGCGCTTTCTACGGCTGCGGCACCACACTTGACCGTGGACGACGCAAAGAACGCTGCAAGTGGGCTCCAGCCGCTCGCGTTCACATTACCGGACGCAACTGCGTCTGCGTTATACTCGTGCAGCTCGCGAAGCGCAATGTTCATCATGGGCCAGAGCAGAATGCGCGGATTTTCGTCTCGTTGCTGGCAAACGTTAAACGCCTCGACAACGAATGGGCGAAGCGCGCTCAACTCCTGGAGTGTCGAAATGGCAGCAGATCGTAACCGTGATAAGTAAGTTGGTAAACACAGCTTTCGAGCAAGCCCCCAAACACATCACATCCACAACAACAAAGTCGCACCTGCTGGCACAGCACGTCGTCGTCGCGATAACGCTTGCCGGTCTCGTTGAGCACAGTGTCGAGCACAGTGCCAATGGACAAGCGGATGCGCTCGAGATCACAATCAGGGATGCGGTCGGTGGCCAGAGCAACGGTGGTCATCTCCAGCAAAAGGCGACCACCAAGAGCTGCAGGCAAGATGCCAGCAGTCGCCATCTCGCAGGTCAAGCGGCAGACACGCCGAATGAGCTCGCCATCAACAATGCCAACAGTCACCAGATCCAGGACAAAGCTCAGAATTGCATTCAAGCAGTCGGCGCCAAAACCAATGCGCACGTGAAGCGCAATGTCCCCCTGAATCTCGGTGTTTGTCTCGGCATCCGTCTCTGCCTTGCGTTTGTTTGTCTGACGCGCGGCGCGCGGCTTGGCAGCATCCACTCTGTCGTTGACAAGCAAAATTTGATTCAAAATCAAAAACAAGCGTCGAAATCAGTCAACCCGTGAAATGCCATGATCGCAAAGTAGCCGCACACTCGGCAGGCACAACACCAAATCTTACTTGAGGGCAACCAGCATGGGCAGGGCCTTCTGCCGCGCCCAGTTCAGCAAAGTCACCACGTCTTCGTCAACAGTGGGGGCAGCAACATCCTCAAGCTGAGCGCGACGCAAGTGAATGGCACAGCGCATCGATCCAATCAGCATTTGCAAGAGCACAGACAGTGCAGTTGTCGGTTGCAGCGCGGACAAACGAGCCGGAAGAGCGCCGAGAACCATGACGGACTCAATCTCGGCACAGGCGTCCAACGAGGCGAGAAGGCGCAAAAGATCGCTGGGGTTTTGCGACAGAGCCTCGCGGGCATTCGGAGCAGTCTAGCAGACGCATTTTCAAACCCGAAAAACAAACAATCCAAGTGAGCAACACACAGAAACTCTTTACAACCCACAGAAACTCTTCGCAACACACAAGCTTTTTTGAAGTATGCTTTTTGTTCGTCACGTACCAGAATATAGTGGAGCATTGAAAGTGCGCAGACAGGATTGAACACGCGGCTGTTCGATGACGCAGAGGGTGCTGCGGATGCTGTGGATGCTGTGGATGCTGCTGCTGCTGCTTGTGCTTTCTTGCCGCTGGGAGCCGACTTTGAGCTCGAGCGCGCCGATTTCGGGGCAGCGCGAACGGCATCGCCCGGAGTGAGCAAGTTGGAGATTGTGTCGACAATCACCGACACTTGGTCCCACGCGCAAAGGGCGTCAATGAGAGGGGCCATTTGAGAGTAGGCGCTGGAAGACAGCGCGATTGGCACCACCGAGTTAATGACCGAGGCCAAGGGGCTGAGCAACGATGCTGCCTGCATGCCCGACGACGCTAAATCAGAGGCGCTGGGGTGATGCACATTAGCACCAACGGCCGTTGCAGCTGCGATAGCCTCGAGCTGTGGAAGAATGATCTCGTTGCACAGGGTCGGGACGTGCTCTCGCGGGAGCTGGGCTGCAATGTGAATGAGCGCCTCGCTACAGGGACCATCGCTGAATGCCTTCATAAATGCAGGGAGGCATTCCTTCAAGTTGACCACCAAGGCCTGCTGGAGCTTGGCATGGCGAGGCTTGGCCAAGGTGGAGCGGATGGACCTCCAGCAAATGACGACCACCTCCAGCAGCCCTTGAATCAGCTCTGGATTTTCAACAACGGCATCGGCGGTAGTGTCGGCACTTGAGGCAGTGGTCTCCTCGGTGGCTGCCTTGCCAGCCGATTTCGCTGCTGCCTTGGCGCGTGCTTTGCCTTTGCCCGCCTTGCCAGTCTTGTTTTTAGCTGCCGGTGCATCGCCAGTCTCCTCGCACAGTGGATCGGTCGTGGCTGAAATGTTGAGCATGCTTTCATCGGACACAGTAGTCGCGCTGGGGTCATCCACACCACCCGACTCGGTGAGCCAGTCTTGGTCGTTGGTTGCCGAAGCTGCATCACCACGACGCCACGTCTTCTTGCTACTGTTGGAAATGTCCTTGAAGGGCTGCTGTGACTCTTTCGGGGCAGCGCTTGCCGACGCGCCCGTCGCGGCATGATGCACGTAGCGGCACAAGTGCATGATGAATGTGGTCAGCAGTGGCAGCGGCACATACGCATGCAAAAATCGGTAAAACTGGCGCGAGGCAGCACGATTGCTGGTGACAAGGGCAATGCAGCGGGTGAGGCGGGCTTCCGGCTCCTTGTCTTCGGGAAAGTACGAGTTGGACAAAAGCTCGACAATTCGGCGGGACGCTGTCGTAGCTGCTGGAGCGGCAGAAAGAACGGACGCCTCGGACTCAAGACGAGCAAGCAAATGGTTGACGGGGACGACATCCCAGAAACGAATCGTACGAATCTTCTTGATCAGCAGGAGCAAGTCGAGCATGGCAACGCGTGTTTGCTCGGCCGTATCGTGAATCAAGTTGCGAATCCGCGGGAGCAGCTGCTTGACGGTTGCTTGAGCAAGGTGGTTGTTGAGCAAAAAGCCCAGACCCTGAACTACGGCCGTGCGCACTCCGCTCGAATTTGAGTCGAATGCCAGCTCGAGCGTGAGTTGGTCGAGAAGGGCGCGAATAACCCCTTCCGGGAGCAAGTCCCAGTACATGCTCAAAATGCGGCAGGATCCCTGGACGGCAATGCAGCGCACCGCAGGCGAAGGCTCGTTCGAGAGCAGCATGCCCAGCGCTTCGATTTGCTTTTGTAGCAGGGCATCGCTTTCGCTCGCGGTAGCCTCCGGGTTGCGCAATGGGAATGCGTCAATGAGGATGGCGGCAGCATTGCAACGGACGGCTGGGTTGGCCACAGAGAGGCTGCGCCAGATAATAGGATCGTACAGTCGTACGAGCATCTCGTCCACGCCGGCAACCTTCTTTTGGCTGTGCCAGCAGCTCAGCACCCGGCGGAGCACCGACGAGAGCGAAGAGAGGCCCTTGCGCGAAGCATGTACGGCGCACGACATGAGGTCTTGCAGGCACGTTTGCTCGATGCGCGTCAGGAACGGCCCGGTGCTGATCTGCCACGCAGCGAAATAGAGGTTGCCGTAGGCAGTGACGTGCTCGGCCGAGCACACTGGCAGTTGGTTTTTGATGGTGGAGTGAATGTCCGCCACAAACGGCAATGAAAGCGTGAATGCGTAGGCGAGAAGCTTGCAACCGTCGTTGCTGCCGAGGTAGACCGGAGCCAAGTAGCATCGCAGCAGCAATGTGCGGATGGATTGCGACGATTCAATGTCGTCAAAGTCGATCAAGGTCAATCCTTCTTTGAGCTGCTGGACGCGCCGCACAAACCCTTTGGCAGAAGAAGTCGAGCCTTTGGTGGCGTCGTCTTCGTTGTCCACTTCAGTGTACTTTGTTTTGCGCTTGGCAGCTCGTGACTTGGACGGCTTGTTGGAATCGGCGTCTGCGTTGTTTTCAGTGTCGTCGTCGTCGTCGTCGTCGACGCCCTCAGCCGAGACCTCGAGCGAGCGGAGCAGAAGATACGAGATGGTTTGCGGGAAGATGCCATTCCGCTGGGGCAAGTCCAGCAAAAAGTAGCGCTCGCATGCCTTTGACACGGCTTCTGCGACCTTATGTGAGGCGATAGTTAGGAGCGAGTCTGTGATGGAGAGAGAGAGAGAGAGAGAGAGAGAGAGAGAGGCAGAGTGTCGGGTGAGTTAGTATGTGTGGGTTTGGTAATCACAGCGACCACGATGGAGAAGAGGCGTCTTATCAAACGAATTCTCATATTTGCTTACCATGCAACACTTGGAGAGTTTCGCGCAGCTCGGGATAGACGGTGGGGGCCTCCACTTTGAGACTGCAAACAACGATGCGCGAAATGTCCTCGATGATCCGAGCGCACTCGGCCGGCTGATCACAAACCAATCAAAGAGTACAAGAGAATTGTCCCAAACACAGTGAGATTGATGAGGATGTCTCGATTGAGTGAATGGGAGGAGAAGGAGGTTGGATTGCGCTTGTTTGGGCTTTGGAGCTTACAACAACGACGACGACCGCCGACTGCTCGTCCGCCTGCGGGGCTTGAATGGCCGCAATGGCTTTCGTGGCATGACCTCGCAGACCAGTCCACAGGCGCACGGCGTGGTTTTTCGGCAGTGCTTGGAAGAGTTCGACCAGGTCGAAGGCGTCGGCTTTGGATTTCTGTCCAACGGCGGTCAAAAAAAAGTGAGATTTGAATTCATCCATTGACCCATTGAACCCCATCCATTGGTCCCCCCCCCCCGCCTCCAAGTAGTCGACTTCTGTGTTGTCGCCCCCTTCGCGTCGCTCTCTGTTTCAAACCGTCTCTTTGTTGATTTTTTTTTGATTTTTTTTTTCCGGTTTCAAACAGTTTTTTTCGGTTTTGAAACATTTTTTTGCGCGCCTTTTCTCGTCTTTGATTTTGTTTTGCATCCAATGCGACTGAAGACTAGCGCTGGTGACGTCCTACACAAACATCAGTCTCGCTCAGTCATGTGAAGTGCAGGGTCCAAGGCAGCATCACGACGCAACGCCCCCTTCCAAAACGAATGCGAGTGAAATTTTGGCGCGCTTTTGAAAAATCAAACAATAAAAAAAAAAAAATAGAAAAAAAAAAAAAGCCGACACTTTTCTTGTTGTTTGCCCCGACCGTGGTTCGTGAAGCGAGTCAGTCGAGCACAAGCATAGATTTGACAAAGTAGAGGTGTAGCTAAGGATGCGAGGTGCGCGGGGGGAAGGAAAAGACTCACATGCTTGACGACCCAGTTGTGCACAGCGTCGAAACTCGCTTCTTCGGCTGCAGCGACAAACTGCTCGCGATGCTGCTTCGACATGACAAGACAAGAAAAGTACAAGGGGGGGAAAAAAAAATGGAGAATGAAGAGGCGAAAATTAGAATGAATGAAAAGGAAAAAATCACCAGGTGGAATTATCGCAACAAGAGCAAAATGGTTCAGAGGACTTTGTGAACCCAATTCAACAAGACCTCGCTGAAAAGCTCCTTTTTTTGTTTTTTTGTTTTTGTTTTTTTGCAATGTCACAAACCAAATTGGAACACATTCAAACGGGGAAACTCTCTAAATTCAATCCAACAAAACAAAACAAAACACACACACAAATCCAGCTCAACTGCTTGCATCTGCAATTTGTGTGGGTGTGGGCGACGCCTCCTGTGCGTGATGGTGTGGTTGCTGTTGCTGTTGTTGCTGCTGCTGCTGCTGATGCAACTGCTTCTCGTGTAATACCGCGTCAAGCACCTCTTCCTGACGAGCTCGCTCCGCTTGCTGCTGCATGAGCAATATCAATGCCTGTTGTTCCGGCGAAATAATTGTTTCAACACTGCTCGCCTCAGAATACGAGTGCCGGACTCGCAGGCCTTCGTTCTCTTCGAACGAGCGCGATAGGGGCGATGATGGCGGCGGGGTGGCAGGATTTCCAGTCAACGACTCGAGTGGTTCGGGTGGAGCAGAGGCCGAGCGACCAAACCGAGTTCGTTGGTAGTCCTGAAGGAACTGGCGACGCTGAATGACTTGACGCCGCGATGGATAAATGGCCTCGAGGATGGACGGCATGTCCTTCTTCCATGCGGCGCGGCGAAACCAGGCGTCAGGCTTGGCAGGTGTGCCGTTGCCGTCAAACGCCCGCTCATAATCAAAATCCGATCGCAAAACATCGACGCGGTTGTGCACTGGCCGAGACCCGACAATCCTGCATCGCGGCGGCAAGAGCGACCGCTTTGAGCTCTCGCCCAGCCACCCTGAAATGAGTGACTTGAAAATGCTTTGGCTAGGTGGTGGTTGTTGAGAAGGGTAGAAGGGAGTTAGTCGGGCGGGGGGCGTGCGGGATGTGTTGAAGATGGAGCCGTTCGAGTTGGACCGGTGCACAGGCGACGGAGGGGAAGACATACTCGAGCCCCCGTTGGCAGTGGATGGCTGGGGGTGTTGCAATGACGAGTGTTGTTGTTGGTGGTGGTGTTGCTGTTGTTGTTGCGGTTGTTGCTGCTGCTGTTGCTGCTGTGGTGGTGATTGTGGCTGCTGGTGCGGTTGCTGTTGTAGGGTTGAATGCGATTGTTGGTGCTGCTGCCGCTCCTCGTCCTGCAACTGACGAAAGTTGTCGGCTGTGAGCAGAACGCGCTGTTGGTCTTGCTGGAGACTCAACCATGCTTGTTTCATTTGCTGTCGCTCTAGTTCGTCGCGGGCTGCAGTACTGTCCTTCGGGGGTGGCGCAGACGAGCGTTCTTTGGCTGCTTTTGCAGCTTCATAGTCGACCAACGGATTTGCCTGTTCCGGCAACAGTCCGTGCGCAGCCATCCAATCCTCAGAAAAGAATTTGCGCACGGCAATAGACTTGGAAGTAACACTATTGGCCAGGAGGTCCTGCAAACTCGAACAAAGTGGATGAGCAAAACCAAGTGGGGAAAAAACAAACACACACACACACACACACACACACACACACATTCAACAAAAGAAGAAGGGGGGAAGACTCAACCTACTTGTACAAATCGGTCCAGGCCTTGCTGTCTTGATGCAATAAACGCGGGTTCGAATTTGTGCATCTTAATCAAGCGTTTGGACGGCATTCGCACGTCATCGATGAACTGTGTTCAACGACAACAACAACAGCAACAAAAAGTAAGAAGACAAATTCCCGCACACAAACCAATCACGCAGGTCACAGAGTCGTACACGAGCAGGAAATGTGCTGCACAGTTCCTGGTAGAGGTCATCGAAATCACTATAACGTCTTAGCGCGGTCCAGGCGCGATTGCCACAAGTCACCTCCTGCGAAACGATCACAGCAAGCACAGGTTTTGTTGAGTTGTCCATGTTTTGAGCGCAGAAATTCGTGTTGCGTCGCGCCGACCAATCTCCACTCGCACGCACGCATCTTTGCACACTCTCGAGTTTTTGGCTCGGGCACGATCTCTTACCAGTACAAAGACGACATGCGGGTTCTTGCCACTGACAAGTCGGACGCCTGTAACATGTGCTTGAATTTCAGACCTGGTTTGCACAGCAGCCGCCCAATCAAAAAAACAAGCACATCGAGTAAGAAGAACGGATGCACACACACGCATTACGCACAGGTAGACGACCAAGTGGCTGTCATCGAATGGCTGCAATGCAAAACATTGAGCGGCAAACCACACAATAACAAAAAAAAAAAAAAACCAATATCAAACCCTATTCTGTTGAGTGTGACAAAATGACGTGGAGAAGCAAGGTCGGTGGATTCGTTCGAATCGACACTTGGACGTGGTTGCATAGAGTGAGACGGGACGGTACTGATGGAGGAATAGAACAAAGCGCGGCGAGAAGGGAGAACAAAAAGCGGGGAAAAGCGAGGAGGAGGAAAAAAAAAAAAAAAAAAAAAAAAAAAAAAAAAAAAGGGGACTTTTCCAGCTTTGTTGGCTCATCACTCTGACGCGCAGCGGGTCGCATCGTCAAATGGGAAGCGGGTGATTGAATGAATGAATTTGCAGGGCACAGGCAGACAGATGCGGGAGGGGGGGGGAGTTTGGGAAGCGCGAGGTAGGACACGAACAAAGCAACCCCCATTCAAAGACCAAACGGAGATAATCGTGCGATGGGGTTGCTGTGTGTGTGGCTACGTGGGGGATCGCACCGTGATGATGGCTGTGCAGGGGGAGGTGCTGCATTGGAGGTGAGCCCGATGGAGCCAACTTTGTGCTGCGTGCTCATCGACGGCATCGCCACAGAACGAACGGAAGGTCGCGCACAATGCGTCGGGGTTTCAAAAAAAAAAAAAAAAAAAAAAGGTGACTGGTGATGAGGCACAAAAATGGGGATCACTCTGAGCTGTTGTGCTGAGATGGAACGGTGGGGTTAGGAGCAACGTCCGCCAGGAAGACAAAGTGCATTCAGCCACATGGGTGTCGAGAGGCGGGCGCGAGATTTGAATTTGGGGGGGGTGGCGTCAGATTTCGCGCGAACGCCAATGTCGGTTTGGTCCCCTTGTGTAACCATCGCGTTCTCTGTTTGTCGTAATATCAAAAATTGAATGTGTGGTGTCTGTTTTACGTAGTACTTCTTTGGCTGTTTGATTTGTGGCCAGGTCGATGGTCAGCAGCCGAAAGTTTCAGTTTTTTCGGTTGCTGAACAAAAATTTTAGCATCTTGAGCATTATTGTCAGATCGATGACCGAGAACTCGAGCCAGGTGACACCACCCATCGTTGAATGCTGCCACCATTCATGCCGAATATTTTGACGTGAACGCGCAGAATCTGGGTGGACTGGAAGCAGCACTTCCAGCAGTCCAAATCCGCGAATTCGCCGCCGAACTGGTTCCCAATACCGCGGCGCCATTGCGTTCTTTTTCAGCTAGAAAGCAATAGACAACCATATTTTCCTGCGATCCAAGCCAAGCAGTCCGCCGATCGACACTGTCTTCGTCCCTACAACACCAAGCAAAGTGCGCACTCTGCCAAACATTTTTGTGCAGTTTTCCCACCATTCCTTTTTTTTTTTTTTTTTCCTTCTTTACCTTCTCACCAATCATGTCTGGCAAGGATTTCTTGTCGACGCTTGCCAAGAATGCCGGCCGAGCCCAAGAGCGCGTACGTTGTCTGCTGCTTCCTTCTTCACGATGGACCATGCCACGAGCACACTCCCTCCGCCTGACCTGGGCTCTGGGGGGAAGACGGAGAGAGAGAGAGAGAGAATCAATGTGCGGACACAGTGTGACATTGTCCTACTGAGCTGTGCCATTGTTGCCACTGCGCGATGGCGTTGCTGTTGCTTTGTGACTACGTGGATGACGTGCACTGACATGCATTGACATGGAATATCGTGCTTTTCGGGGGCTTGTGAGGGGTTGAGCTCTAAGCCGGAAGCAATGGAACCCAGACAAAAAAAAAACGAAAAAGAAAAAAAAAAAAAGAAAACTCGTTTTCTTTGCCTTTGCATTGCGTTCGATGACCGACCTTTTTGACCAGACTGCGTTTTCAAAGTGCTCACCTGTTGAACACCTTTGTTTTATGCGCTTGCTTTTCATTGCTGTTGCACGGCGGGTGCCCGTCGACCAGGTCATGCAAAAGCTGGGCAAGGCGGACGAAACTGTGGACGAAGTCTTCCAGACACACGTCAAGAACTTTACCAAGCAGCTCGCGGTCGCCACGCGGCTGCAGAAGGATGCACGATCCCTCATGCAGGCCATCCAAGGTGAGTTTTGTCGGTCGGCCAGCTGACTCCCCACGGCGCCGCATGCCTTTCTTTCTGACGATATGAAAAAAATCATTCGTTTTTTTTTTTTGTTTTTTTTTTTTTTTTTGACTTTGGCGCTGACTTTCTTTTTTTTTTTTTTTTTGGTTGTTGTTGTTCTGCAATGCCGGATCGTCACGATCGTCACGATGAAAACAGCAATGTCGAACGCAACCAAATCGCTGGCGGATTCCATGGTTGAGGCGTTCGACGACGGCTGGTCGGGAGCCACTGAGTTCCAGGTTTGGCGCTTTTTTTTTCTTTTTTGTTCTGGTTTTTTTTTTTGTTTTTTTTCGCGTCAACTTCCTCAACTCACGTTGTTGTGTGATTCACCCAACTGACACACAGGAGCAAGCGGCAATCATGGTCCGATCGTGCCATCAATTCCAGCAGCACGCAGGCGAGCTGCTTTCGCAGTCGATGAACGGTTACGTGAACGGCCAGTTCCCCGACCTCAAGAACCGCATTGCCAAGCGCGACCGCAAGCTGATTGACTACGATCGCTATCGTCATGCGCTCCAGGGCATCAAGGCCAAGTCCAAGGCATCGGATTCCAAGCTCACGCAGGCCGAGGAGGAGCACGCTCAGGCCAAGGAAATTTACGAGGAATTGAATGCCCAACTCAACAACGATCTGCCCGTGTTTTACGAGGCCCGCATCCCCTTCTACAAGGGTGTCTGCCACGAGTTGTACTCTGCCATGTTTAGCTTCCACGAGACCAGCACTGTCACGTCGTGCAAGCTGCACCAGATTTCCGCCGAGCGCTCGGACATTAGCCCCGCCGCGGCTGCCATCGAAAACCTCCCATCGTCAATCCCCAATGTTGCCGGCCTTTCAGGATCCACAGGCTTCCTCGGCACTGCCAGCTCAACCTCTCCCAGCCACACCACGACATCGAGCTCGGCCGTGTCGCAGAGCGCTTCCACGGGCTCGGCAAACGCTGCCCCAGCGCCGGTTTTGAGTCCTGCCGGCAAGGCTCCGAGCACCAGCAATCTGCACTCGTCCTCCAGCATGGGGGACGTGTCAGGCAACAGCCCTTCGAGTGGTCGCGGAAGCACTGCGTCCGGCACTGCAGCAGCAGCCGCCGCCGCCACTGCAAACGCTGGCAACCGCAAGCTGTCTGCTGCCAACGACGACGACGCAGAAATTACCAAGCGCCTCGAAGACCTTGCGGTTGAGTTTAGCGGCGATTCTGAGCCTTCTTCCGAGCCTGCTCCCGTCCTTCCCCCTACCGCCGCGTCCGTCGCAGCTCCGGCCGCCAGCTCACCAGCCACTGCCAAAAAGAAGCAAGGACCCAAGGTTTTGTACACGGTAAGCGGAGGAGGGGGGGGGGTTTGAAGGTGTTTAAGTGTTTTTTTTTTTCCCTTCTTCTTCTTCCAGTTGGCTCGGTATTTTGTTGGAACTCATTCACTGTTTGTCAACACGCTAGGTCCGCGCCACTCACCACTACGATGGCATGGAGGATGACGAACTCACATTCGGCAAGGGTGACATCATCATGATTGTCGACACGCCTCCAGAACTCGAGCTCGATGAAGGCTGGGCGTACGGTGTCCGGCAAGATGGAAAGAAGGGTGTTCTTCCTGTCAACTTTACGGTAGGGCTTGGTGGTTTCGGACTCTGTCTGTACTTCAGGTTTGGTTGGAAGATTCTCAAATTTTTTCTTTGGTTTCGTGATCGTTTAGGAACGCCTCGAGCGTACCAGCAAGGCCTACATGCTTTGATCAGGCAGCAAATGCTCTTCTCTTTTTCGTTTGATGAACTCCCTTGACGTGAATTTGACTTTATTCGGCTGGATTGCACTTTCTCGTTCCTTGTCTGTGTCATTTTCTTCATTTTGTGTCCCGAGCATTTCGTGTCGAAATTCAGCGCAACTCCATCCAACCTCACCTGTTCACCAACCCAGTACAAACTCGCGTCGTTGTCCACCTCTCGCAACAGACCAAATTGCCAACACGCTGCGGGACTTCCTTCAATTTCTTTCAGTGTAGCTGATGTGTTTGTGTCATGATTGTCTTTTGTCGTGTTGAATGGATGCACGCTCGAGTTCCAAACTAAAAAACGTTAATTGAAGGTCAGACGACAGAGACACGCGAACATTCAGACAACAAACGAAGGCAGACAGACAGACAGACTGGCAAAGCAAAAACAGAAGGAGAACTGCGAAACAAAGCAAGACCAACCACAAGCAACCAGTCTTCCAGACAGACAGAATGAGCAAAGAGTACAGAAACACGACAAAAAAGAGATCGTCCTACTGTAATCCTCGTTTTGGAAAGGACGCCGCCACTCTTTGTTTTTTTTGGTAAAGTGTCTGAGAAAACAACAACAAACAGAAACCTCGCAAAGCCAAACGGCAGTAACTAGATCTGCCTGCCGAAGCCCCGATCAGTTGAGCTGTTGGTTGAAGTACAAAGGTCGACCCAATGAGTCTGAGCGTATTCGAAGCAGCTCAGCAAGCGGCAGCCGCAGCTGGAATGCACCTACAAGTCGTCTCTGCTCCTTCAGCAGCAGCAGCCGCGGCTGTGAGTGCGGATTAAAAGATGATGAGCAAGCTTGGTCGTATCGTTGTTGCAGTTGCAGAGCGATGCTACGCCTTTGGCCTGCTTCTCAGTCGTTTGACTTTTGTTCTGACTTCTTGTGCTTGGGGCCCTTCCCTCCCAAACACCCTTGTCTCCTCTCTCGATGCAGATCAATCAAGCCATGTCACAGGAGCCTGTCGAGAGGCCCCAAGTCCACGGAAGCACTGGTTGCTTGAAGTGAGGAGCGCAACATGAAATGCGCTGTTGTCTCGAGACCGCTTGCTCACACTTCACTCACTCGTCGCCAACTCCTTGTGACGATTGTCATGCTCGCAACAGAATGAACAAGAGGCACCTCAAGTGGCTCGAGAAAGTCAAAAACGACGAAACCCAGCTCTCGTAACCAATTCACTCACTGTCAGCATCAACCGACCGACACGCCGGAAGCACTCAGTTCTGCTCACTGATCATTGAAACAGTCTTCCTAGACGCCACATTGTTGATGAGGACATGCCCGTCATCATCCAAGCGCTGTGGCACAACCCAGAGATCACGAGTGTCCAGTGAGTCGTACTAGCGAACTGCACGTTGTGCCGCATCACTCACACAAACTCATACAATACCCGACAGTCTGGGTGACAACAATTTGGGAACCGCTGGAGTGGTCCAGCTTATGGAGGTGCTCAAGGACCTTGAAGCCGTGACTGATCTTAGGTGAGTTTCATCGATTCGCTTGATCGTTGCACTTGCCAAAACCAAGCATACACTCATTCCCCTTGCATGTATCGATAGTCTAAACGACAACGCCCTGGATGTCGATAGTGCTCGTGCGATTGCCGACATGCTGAAAGTCAGGACCAGCTACGTTCAACTCTTGTAAGAAACCTCCGGATGGCCGAGAAGGCGGTTGCAACACAGAAACTCATCAAGAGCAACCAAAACGGATAGTTTGCCACGCAATGAATTTGGTGTAGCAGGCGTGCAAGCCATCGCCGAAGCCCTCAAACTGAACAAGACGTTGACTTTTTTGGAGTAAGGTTTCGCAAGTAGACACGACACGTTGTAATCGAAGGCCAATTACTCATCAATAATCAATATATCGCTCTCTTGTGCAGCCTTGGTTGCAATGCTATTGGGGACGACGGTACAATCTCGCTCGTCCATGCGTTGCGTGGTCACCCAACGCTTAAATCTTTGATGTGAGTGTTTGGCAGTGACATGTTTCCAAGCAATGTTTGGTTGTATTTCTATCAATCGATGTGGGCTGACAATTGTGGCAGTTTGCTTCAAAACGAGATTAGTGACGCAGGAGTGATCGTCCTGGCTGATTTACTCAAACAAAACAAGGCACTTAAGGAGCTGGTGTGGGTGTTTTTGGACATCTCGGCTTGCTGTTTCTCGACTTTTAGTTTTGAGCTAACAATCGCGGCAGTTTGTCTGAAAACGAGATTGGTGACGCAGGAGCGATCGCCTTGGCTGATATGTTCAAACACAACAAGTCACTCACAAGCCTGAAGTGAGTGGTTCGACGGTTTTGCTGTGGTACCTACCGTTGAAACTTCCCTAACGCGTGACAATTGTAGATTGAACAAGAACAAGATCACTGAAGTCGGGGCGCGCGCCTTCTCAAAGGCTCTGGAGAATGTTCCATCCAACGAACTCAAGTATATTGAGTAAGCAAGTGCTTGCTCCTTGTTCTTGACCATCGCTCTCTTTGGACGTCTTGTTTCGCTGCGCTGACACTGTTCTAGGCTGTCATACAATATCATTGGCATTTCCGAACAAGAGGCGAAAACAAAATTCGGTCATCGGTGAGGCCAGCCTTTTGCGCAGAAGCGAATATTGAAATCTCACTTTCACTCACCGAACGCCGGAGACATCAGCTTCTTCATTGACGTGCAACGAGATCCTGCGACCATTTACCCGCCTCTTCGCCCCGAGTTGTCGCCCCTGATTCCTGAAGGTGCGAGCACACAGACACCAAGGGGCTCGATTCTCGTATTGCACGCCGTCGACTTACTTTTTGTGATCTCCAAACATGTAGATGTGCGACAGAACCTGACGCCGGTGCAACGCAAGCTGCTTGAGAGCCTCATGGAAGCAGGCGATACATTTGCGTACGACCTCGTTTTGGTGCTCATGGTCGTTGGGAAAGTGCAACTGTTGTTGATGGCTGGCACTCAACGAGCTGCAAACTATGTGAATGGTGTCTCAGACCCCGACTGAGAGTGTTTGACGACGCCACTGCTCGTGTGTTTGCCGAAGGTCTCAAAGTCAACACGACCCGAACCAAGCTCGAGTTCGTGTCCTACTGCGTGACTGTGGTTGTTGTGCGCGTCGATATTATCGCGCTGTGTTGTTCTCACGACTTTTTGTGCTTTGTTTGTCGTTTCAGTCTCATGGGCACTCGCTTCACTGCCACTGGCCTGGCCAGCCTGGCTGAGGCCATTGGAGTGAACAAGACTCTCACCGAATTGGAGTACAGCATGAAAATTATGGAGCGGATATCGTTGAGATTTTGGATTTTCGCTTGCATTGTCATTCTTCGTCCTTCACTGACGATACTCAAAACATGTGCTGTATTGTACACGAACCAGCATGACCAACATGAACATTGACGACACGCTTGCACTCTCGGTCGCCACAATCCTTCAGACGACCACTTCTCTGACTGAAATCCGGCAAGTTTCGTGCTGTTGTTGATTCGAGTATCTGTGAATTCTTGCTGTTCTCAATTGTTTGCTCACGCCATCCTTCCTCTGATAGTTTGATCGACAACCAGATTGGGCATGTAGGTGCGCAAGCGATTGGACAAGCTCTGCGTCATTTGAAAGTGCCCCACCTCCTGAAGTAAGCTAAGGGATAGTGCGCAGATTGCAGCTGGAGCTAGGCCTGCGACGCTGATTTTCAACTCATCATCACTTAGTTTGTCGGGAAACCCGCTTGGCGACTTGGGCGCTGCCGCCATTGCTGAGGGTCTGAAAGAAAACACGGCTCTTTGGCGCATCGAGTACGATATCGTTCACCGTTTGTAGGTTGATGTGGGCGAGATCGCCACTTACACAAACTACACGTATAGACTGAATGATGCCGAGATTGGTGATTCGGGCGCAATTGCTCTTGCGGAGGCTCTGAAAATCAACCTCACGACGCTGTCCATCATGAGGTATGCTTTGGCTCTTGTTGATAATCCTGTCCTATTTTCCGTTTGTTTCTGTTCTGACTGGATGACATTCCTCGTGCGACATTGGATCCCATCGTGTGATTGAATCGCAGCTTGGACCAGAACCACATCACGGAAGAGGGTGTCTCCGGCCTGTTGGACGCTCTGAGAGTTCACCAAAAGCTGTGGTGTTTGAAGTGAGTGTGGATCAAGTTTCACTGCTGTTTGATCCCAATAAGCCAACACTCATCTTTTGAAATTATTGCAGCCTGGAGGAAAACCCGCTCAGCGAGGAGGTGCTGAAGGCGTTTATTGCCCGGCCGATTGGAGACAAGCGGTTGTGGTTTGTGCCTGATCGGTATTATACTCAGACCCATGTCGGTGCCGGTTGTTGCGAGGAGTGGTTGTCCTCACACGTCTCCTTCTTGCGCTTCTAGTGGCTCCAACAGGTGGAAAAGTCTTGTCCGACATTGGAATTTTGCTGCTCAACCCCAAGCACTTACCTCACCGCCGGCGCTTCCAATCGGCAATCGACTTGCTTCTTTTGGCAGCTCTGACCACAAGATGCTGAGGAACCCCGAACACACCTCCCTTGCTGCTACTGCACCTCCAACTCACGAGCCACTCGGCTCGGTGTTTGCTGAGGCACTGACGCGATTCCGGCGGACGGCACGCTCGCTCGGCAACTACGTCTTTTCGTTTGTCTGGCGCTCCGATGATCAACGTAAGTGCCACCATGTCATCAACCAAGCGCGATGCACGATTGGCTTACCTTCCGACGCTCCGATTTCGGGGCAGGTGCTTTCTATGAAGCCTTGACTCCTGAGCAGCAGTTCATTTACGACCTGATTAAGAATGGAGACAACCCTGGCACTGGCCAACCTGGCTGTGTTTCGTAAGATGAAAACTTCTGCTGGTGACGCATGTCACGAAAGTCTTCCTCAGTACTGCGAGTCGTCGGTTTTTTTGTTTGCTTTGAACACCGACATACAGACTGAGTCAGATGCGCATTGGCAATGAAGGTGCGCTGACCGTTGCGGCTGCGCTCAAAGTGAACAAGAACGTGACGAAGCTCGAGTGAGTGTGCTTTGTGGCGTGTGGACTGGAAGAGCGCGTTTCAGTTTTGACTCATTTTAAGGACACAGTTTGTACCAAAACGGTATCGAAGCGGAGGGAGCCAAGGCCCTTGCTGAGGCGCTCAAAGTGAACAACACGCTGGGAGAGCTGTGGCAAGGCTTTCTGCTTTTTGGTAGAGTTAACTGAACAATGTGCAGGTTTTACTGACGATTGATTTTGGTTGGGCGACAGGCTTTCCGACAACAACATTGACGATGAAGGCGCGATCGCGATTGCAGAAGCGCTCAGGGTGAACACTGGTCTGGTCAAGTTGTTGTATGCGAAGCGATACTGAGGTTGAGGAAAGCGTGCAGTCCGTTGATTCCTTGGTCCTCACCCCACAAGAATGATCTTGCATGACAGCATGGGCGACAACCGCGTGGAAGATGCAGGTGCGATCGCTATTGCAGCGGCCATCCGTTGCAACAAGTCCTTGCGTGTGCTGATGTAAGTGCGAGCTGCTCTGTGCAAGGGAACGTGCGACCGATTCCGGCAATTGCTAACTCTGGAGGTTATGGTTTGCTAGCTTGAGCAACATTTGTGACCCCTCCTGGATTCGGGTTCAAGGCTGGACGGCACTGCGACAGGCTGAGCTTGCCAGCGGTGGTCGCCTGCGACTTGAATCAAGCGAGTAAGTGAGACACTGTCGGATTTGTTGATGTTATGGTTGTTGTGGTTGGCATTCTCCTTTGAAGCTGATGGGATTCTGTTGCTGTGCATCCATTCAGCTGGGATTTGATTCCTGCCGACGAACTGCGCAAAATGTAGGACGACGGCGGTGTCGTCGTTGCTTTCGTGGTTTTGATTGGCAGACTCGTGTTCAAATTGTTTGTTCATTGAAAGGAAAATACAAGTGCAGATAGAAACCAAAATCGAGAAAACTAGTAAAATGGGCCTGATAGGAGTTGGTTAAGAATCGCCAAAATGGAATAAATGGGCGGTTCGTCGTTTTTCGACCTCATCTTGACGCTGTAGCCCGCATCCAACATTGGTCAGTGAACATTCAAGCAAGAATAGTCGACTCAAAAAAGCAAAAAAAAACCCCCACAATCTGTCAGTTGGCCTCACCTTTTCACGGTACCGCAACCCCCAAATGACGACCGCCAATGCGACACAAGTGCAGATGAGGGATACACCAGTCCATAGCATTGTTTCTCCGGGAGATAGATACAGCTCCATGATCCAACTGCAGACGCACTCCGGCACTGAAATGAGCGCCAACCAACACACAAGCAAAAGCTTCTGAGCGAGCTTTTTTTTTCCTTTACCTGTCTGGACTGTCCAAAGGTGATGGGAAAATCACCACTTGTGAATTGGGTATCAAGGAAGGCCACTGACGAGTTGGAGCGGCCTGCATATCATAAGCGAGACGCGATGAGCAAAACGAGACACGATGATGAGCAAAACGAGATACCCAAAGACTACAATATAGCAGTCCTTGACAATATTGGATGGATGAACGCTTACCCCGCCAATAGTGTATGCGACACCGACATCAAGCGTGTCAACATAGCTGGTAGTGCGGCCAAGTCCAATCAGGACAAACGGCAAGTCGAGCGCCTGAAACCCGTTTTGCGAAAGCTGGACGCTATGCAGACTTCGAGCGTCGCCCGACTCATCGGCAAACGTACACAAAACAGATGGGCCATAAGTGGAAATTCCGTACGGCTGGTGGTGCAATGGCGGCAAAACGCCACAAAGAAATGTGAGCAACACACAGAAAGCAAAGTAACCGGCATGCGAGACAAGTTTGCCTCCTACCTTGGCATCAGGAATGAGTTTGCCGTCACACGAGCTATCAGGACACACGCCGTTCGAAATATACACTGACAGCAGATAGACATCGTCGGGGCGCCCAGACACAACGGGCGTGATACGATGGTTTTGAGAAGTCAGAGAGACACTGGAGACCACCATGTCTAGGTTAGCATTGGAGCCAAGGTCCATAAAAGCACATGCAAGAATACGGTCGTCCGCTGAGAGGCTTGAGGCCGCAACCAAAGAGGATGGGGAGAAAGTGTGCATGTAGGAATTGACCAAGAGAACAGCTGAATCCCGGTTTTGTGTAGGATTCCGCACGGCTACGAGCACATCGACAAACCCGTCCAAGTTCAGATCGCCGACGCGAAGCCTGGGCTGAACGTCCAAACGGACGTTGTGTGAATGGACGACAGCATACGGTAGAAAGGTACATGAAGGACAAATGCCTGACGTTGCCGCAAACGCCGCTGTGGTCCAAGTATGGCCAGCCACATTGTCCGAGCTCAAATCAAAGCCATACAACTGGCCCGTCTTGGGCAGATTGGCGTTTCGAGCAACAACAATCTCACTTGAGCTGGCACACGATTCGGGCGGGTTGCACTTCGGGAAGAGCATGTCAATGCGCCCATCCGTATCGACGTCCACAAACGTTATGTGACCAGTTCCGACTGGCAAATCCAACAACTGGTGCACACGATACGCTCCACGGCCAACATTTTGCGCGACTAGCAGTCGCCCACGCCAGGCTTGGTCGCTTGTGCGGAACATGGCCTCGGCAATCAAAATGTCAGCCATGAGATCGCCGCTGACATCGGCAACGGCAAACGTCGGAGGCAAAAGAGTCCATGCAGAAGGGTCTTCCTCTTGATTTCGTTGAATCACGAGTGGCACGGTTGTGTTCAAACCCATCCCGTGAAAGTCCGAGCCTGTGGCGTGCTCAAACTGGCCAGTTCGTGCGTTGGCCCAGCACGTATAGCGCAGAGTCGTTGCTGACACGCCAAAGACATCTGGCACCATATCGCCAGAGCAATCAAAGATGCTCGGAGCCACCAGAGACAAAATGAGCGAGTTGTTGGCATATGCTGCTGGCGCCGAAGCTGGCATCTCGAGCGAGCGGCCATTGCCCCTCATCACAACGACAGAATGGTACTCGACATTGTCGCTACCCGTGAAGGTGAAGGTGATTGCAGCATCGGTGATTCCTAATGGCAAGTTGTTGGCAGCGGATTCCAAATCAAAGGTGAAATCAGAAATCAGCCCAAAAAGCGCACCTCGGCTCGAGTTCAACAAAGTGCCGATGACACACGCAAACACACACACACATATATATCGCAAAACGCTGCTTCAAAGGTTGCTGGCCTACCATCGAAATTGACGTCAGCAGGAACGACGCCCGTCATCGCCGCGCTCGTGTACGGCAACGGTGGATCCGTGGATCCGTCATCATCGCGCCTCCGTCGGGGGTCTGTGCCATTGCCAGTTGGCTGCTGGTCAGTGTCAGCAGTGCCATCCGTCGTCGGTGCTTGGTCCTTGACTGGCAGCAGCAGTCTGGTCGCCAGCGCTCGGTTGACTGCCTGCCAGACGTCAATGTTGGCCCAGCTGACTGTCGGAGCGCCAAACGCGCCCGTCTTGGCATTCCACATGGCGATCGACAGGTTCCCGCCAGTCGACGGCGTCAAGTACCAGGCGTCGGACGAGAGGTCGCCGTCCACGTCGCCTTGCGCCACGAGCAGTGCGTCACCAGCCAGACCACCGCCAGTCGTACCCGCCGCCACCATTGCCGCGTCAGTCTCATCGATGTGATTGTCGTTGCTGGCTGCGTGCGCTGCAATGATGCCACCTGCAAACGCACGCGGATGCATCGGCTGAATCAACGGCAACAGTAGCTGCAACGCCACAAACGCGACCAACGCTGCGAAGAGCCACCTCATCAGAGTTAGAATGAAAAAGGCAGTCGTACCGGGACTGGCGACACAATGGCAGACTACAAAAATAGGTGGGGAAAGGGGATGGAGGTCAACAAGCAAGGAGGGGAAAACCCAGCTTTCATGTGCATGTACAAAAAATACTGTGCAGGTTCAAAGAGGTACGGTACAATGCAGGCCAAAGTGAAGCAAAGCAACCACTAAAGGGCACACCGTAAATGTCTGCATGCGTGAATGTCAGTCAGCCGCATCGCGCATTTCAAACGCAGTTTAGTGGTAGACAGTGTCGGTGGTGAAGGCTCCGGCAATGCGGAATTCGCCTTCTCCCTGCAGACAGTACATCCGGTGTGCGGCAAAACGCGCTCCTGGCGTTCCAGGTCGTGGCGCAAACGCTCGCAAAATAAACTCGCGCGTGGTGGGTCGCAGACCGCGAGGTTCGCCGGGTGTAGAGGAGGCTTCAGAGTGGTGCGCGGGCTTTGCCGTGCTCTTGTTGGCCGCGGCCGCGGGAACATCCCAGCCAAGATTCTTTGAGGCGAGAAGCTGCATGACAAGCGCTCGGTGCGCGTCGTTCAAGACAAGCTCGTGTCCGCTGGTCAGGGCGTTGGCCAAGTCCGGAGCTGCCGAGAGCTTTTGCTGCAAGGACATGGCGGTCGCAACAGTCAGCTCCACTCGCGCCATCGCACCAAGAACCTGATGTAGCTTGGTGTCGAGCGTTGGATGCGCGGAAAAGGCAAGCATGTGAAGCATACCCCCACTCCCGCCAGACAGGTTGGAACCGTAAAGCGAGGTGGTTGGAGTCAAGTTCGTCAACGATTCAACGGCTGCAGAGATCAGGCCTGTCGGGGCCGAATTTGCCGTTTGTCCGGACATGGCAGCGGCAAATGCAGCTGCAAGATCTTTGGAAAGAATGCTGCTGGCAAACTCCAGGTCGCGGATGACAGGGGCGCAGGAGGGCCATTTCGAAACCGGCGACGACTCGTCAAACGTGGCCAATGCCGCATCGAGCACGCAGGGAAGAAGTTGTGTCAACAGGGTCGCCGGAGGAAGGTTTTCGAGGAAGTGCAGCACCTTTTCCGCCTCCTTGGTGAAATCAAACAGTGACCGCTGCTTGGCGACGGGCACAGACCGCGCTCCCTCCCACACTTCCACCCAAGTGTTCCCTGGTTGCTGAAAGCGCTGACTCAGGTGGCCCAGAGAACCGTTGACATCTTCTTCAACTGGACTTGGATTGCTGGTGGGCGCGTCTGGCAAAATCCAGTCCCGCGGCGAATGCCAGCGCACAAAGTCCTCAAGACGGCACCCGGGATTGGCAGCTTTGAACGCTTCCATGTCAGACAGCAACGAGGATGCCTGCATGCGAACTCGAATGCGAGCGCCTTCTTCGCTCTCGCCCAACTTGATCAAAATCTGCTGCTGCTCGTACACCATGTCCTCCGTCATTGGTGCGGGCTCCTGTGTAAGAGGCACACAGATTGGCTGGTGCGTGTCCATCATCAATAAGGGCGTCTCGCGAAGAACACCCAGTCGTTGTTGTTGTTGGGCGGACGACGCAGCTGCACGATCGTCCTCTGTTTCGGGTGCAAGGAAGAACTCGTCTTCATCATCTCCGTCGTCATCCTCGCCATTGGCATGGCTTTTGCTGGATGAGCCAACGGGAAGCGGGGTGACGGATGAGGAAGCGGATGCCTGGTGCCGAAGTCGGTCCATGCGCAGCTTGCTCGTGATGCACAGGTTGAGCATTTGAAGCTTTTGGTACAACAGACATGCGGACATGTCGGGCTCGGCGTGTGATGTAGTATGAGAATCAGCAGTTGGCTCTGTGAAGACGCGTGGTAGGACTTGCAGCTTCTCCCAGTGTCGACGGATGGCATGAAGAAACTCTCGCCAAAGAGCGGCAACAGATGGCAGACCCACGGATTTGTTCAAAAAGCAAAAGTACAATGACAGTGCGTAACAAAGGCTGTTGCGTGGAGCGGCTTTGGTCAAGCGAGCGGGAACGGGGAGTAGTGTTGTGGCGGTGCGGTCGGACGGTGCGAGCAAGTCTTCCAAAATTGCAGTGATGCGCATCGACATGGCTGCGCGCTGCTTTACGAGATCAGAATTGGGAGCACTGCCAGGGAAGGACGGTGGAGGAGCTGACTGCGCGGCAAACCTGGAAAGCAACTGCTGGAGCGATTCGCGCGAGTGGCAGCCCAAGGTAAACTGCCTCACATTGGAAGTAAGCAACAGCAGATCAAACGTGTTCACGGTCAGCTTTTGGTGAGCCAGCGAGACAATGCGCGCCCGGAGCTCAGGGGCGACAGACCAATTCAAGTCGGAATGGACACTGTTATCGACAAGATGGTCTGCCGGACATGCCGGCCAGCCAGCTGCTACCTGCAACGAAGACACGGGGTCGACGGTGCAGCCCCATTCGAGCCATGTGCGATCCCCAGTCGTCGCGGGAACAGGTTCAACAGCAGCAGCAGCAGCAGCAGCAGCAGCATCCTGCGAGTATGTCGCCGGACCGAGCGCGCTGGTGTCGGTCGATGAGCTGGGTGAAACACCTCCGACACTGCCTGTTGAAAACCACCATGACAAGACATAGGTAAAGCGCACGGCAACAGTCGTCAAGACGGTGGCAGCCAGGGCGGGAGGAAGCGCAAGTTTCGAGTTGAACAAATCAACGAGCCCGGTCAAATGGCGGTAGTGTACTGGACCGCTCTGCAGGGTGAGCGTGTCGAATTTGGTGTGTGCTTCCGCATCGCAGCTGCTTCCGAGATACATTTTGCGCCATGGCTCGTACACTTGAACGAAAAGTGGGATGACGCTGCGCAGTTTTGGTTCAGAGCAGTCCACACGGTTTGTTAGGTTGGATAAAGTCGTAACGGCGGGTATCAGCTACAAGTTCAAAGCCTTTGTTTGTTGGGTGCACGTACCATCGCGATTGTACTGCCGCCAAATTCAGAGAACTGAAAATCAGCTTGGCGTCTGAAGGAGAGATGGATCCGCCGTTCGCCGAAGTGACTGCAATGTATTGGTTGAGCCCAAACCTGACAGTAACGAGAGGTTTGGTCGATGAGGGTTGGCACGATCAATGAGGGGTTGGAATACGCACGATACAGCACAGTTCAGACCCCGAACATTTCAAGCAATCAAACAAGTGCGCCTACCAGTTGCCGAGATCGTGCGTGTCAAAAACAAAATCACCAGAAGTCTGCATCATTTGTGCGGTCGCGTGCGTGTGGACCACTGGATGAAAGTCAAACAGTTTCAAATTAGCGAGAAACCTGGCCAAGTTGAAGCAAAGTGGGTTGGAGTACATACAGTTATTGCGAAGATTCGCCGCGACGGAGGTCGTCATGCCGCGAATGTGCGCTGTAGCCGTCGTGTCTTGAAGGCGAGCATCAAAGAACAGCGTGACGCGCACCAGGGTCTCTGACAAGTTGAGCACCTGGCTGCAATAGCGCTCCGAGGAACCCGGCAGTCCAGCAAGTGCCGTTGGGAGTGTCGCGAGTGTCGGACACTGCTGCTGGTCAACGCCCCACTTTCGGAAGAGCTGCTCTAGACTTGAAGTGAATCTGCGTCAAACAAGACGATCCGTGATGATCCGTGAGTGACTGAGCGGCGATCGAGCAAGTCCGAGCAAGAATTCTGTCAAAGCACGCCTTTACCGCTCCCAGTGCGACGCCGTCGTAAAGTCTGAGATTTCAAACACGGCATTCCTCTCGTCGTCGTCGGGGCTCGCAGACGCACTTGGAGATGGGCCGTCGGTGGCCTCAGCCTCAACACCCGCGTCATCGCTCAACGGCGACGGAGACAGCTCAATGAGGCCTGCCAGACTCGCGTCTGAGCCAGACAACGTGTCGTGGCGGGACTGTGCACTTGCTGCAGCAATGTTGGGGCTCGTGCTGGACTCGGTCGCGGGTTGGTCGGCCAGCGAAGCCAACGCGGCCTCGGCTGCTGCTGCGTCGTCCGAGTGCAGCGACGCGTAGACGGCAGCTGCATCGGCCTCAGCAGCCTCAACAGCAGCAGCAGCAGCACCTCCTATGACATGAACATTGCCGGTGGATGCTGGTGACTCGGCAGCACTGTTCGCCTCGTCCTCCATCGAAGCGCGGGTACAAGTAAGAAAAAACTAACTTTTAGAGGGAGTGAAGTGACGCCCGATTTCTGAGCAATCGAGACGCACGCGCACGAATCTTCTACCCCGACGTGGACTGCACAGCCGCTTGTGTGTGCGCGGACCATCTTTTCACTGAGACCCCCTCTGACAAAAAGCTCTTTGAATTTGTTTGAAGCTTGTTGATCAGTCAAGCAGAGCAAGTCGGGCTAGAAATCTCTTTGAATATGCATTGATCCCGACGTCCATTGCTTTGTCCGACAACAGGAAGGGGGGGGGGGTGAATTCCTTGTTCCGAGATGCATTGGCATCGGCCTCGTTGACAATCAACTTTGTTACGCTTGTCCTTCAGCGCGTCCACTGTAAATCTGCTGGACTTGTTATGATCAGAGATCCTTCCACGAAGATACGAGTAATGGGTTGATGATGAGAGTGATGATAGGGAAACAAGAGACTTCACTTATACAAAGCGACGAGTGAACACACTCCAAATACAGATACACATCAATCCATAACACTCCGCCTTCTTCG